TGTCAAATGATATGCGTTTGATATCCGTAGAAGGGTAACTAATTCTCTACAAAATAATATTTAAAAGAGAACTCAAACAGCGCCTCAACTCAACAAAGGATCATTTTTTCACAAAATCGATAAACTGTCATCTAGAGTAAACGGTTGGGAGGGATCTTCCTGAAAATTTGGTAACTTATGTAATTGAGTGTGCTCTATCTTTTTTTATATAAACACCAAAGGAGGTTTATGTGGAAGAAACTGTTCAAGCAATGAGTCGGACTTTTTTGTCATTTTGATTAGCTGTGTTTGGGAATCCATAAAATCCCAAAAAAGAAAAGCTTTGTGGAATCTCTCAAAAGCCATTTTGTAAAGAAATAGTGGACCATTTTGATGAAACAAAACGCGTATTTAAAGAAGGTTTTATGGGTGCAAAAAGTTTCTTTAAATTTTCCGACTCATTCTCCCCAACCCAATAGCTAAAGATGCTCAAAAACTTGAAAGTGAAAAAGGCGGTGGGCTCATAAAAAGTAGGGAAAAGACAGAAGAGTCCTTTTGTGATAAAACTCAATAGCTAGAGCTAGCAATAAGGCTTGTTCATGCTATTTAAATGCTTTTTTGGCGAGTCGGTTTTTGGCATAAATCCAAAACGTTTTTGTATTAGAGCTTACAATTAGATCAACTTCTAAACAAGAACATCCCATTAAAAAAAAACAAAAATTAACATTAACAAATTTATTCTCTAGATTGCTTTCAACAATTTTGGTTTATCTTTTCTTGAAAATATCTCCATGGGTGGCTGCACAAGCGTGCAAGCGTGATCAGACCTGCAAATCTTATAGAAAAACAACCACATCAAGTTCTTTGATTTAGCGTTTTGTAAGGCAATCGTTATGCATTTCATTCTATTACAAAATCCTTTTAATGCGATGATAATTAAAGTTGAGTTTGTTCACAAACTTCACAAAGTTTTTTATTAAAGAATTTTCAAGATTGATCAAATTAGAGGAAAAAACTTCATTACTTTGGGAATGGGTGTAAAAGTGATGAGTCTAGAGAAATAAAGAAGAGACTAAACTAGGGCCAAAGAATGTAAGGGGCACTTTTTGTGGCTCTGTAACTCTGTAACTCTGTAACTCTGTAAGTCGATCTGTAACTACATGGTGCCCCAAAATTACCCGAACCAATAAAACTCACGGTTTAAAAATCTTTTCATCGAAAAAACAAAGTTTAACATTAAGAAATTTATTCTTTAGCTTGTTTTCAACAATTTGTTTTATTTCTTTTCCGAAATATCTCCATGGGCTGCACGTTTTGGAAAGCCGTCGATGGTGGCCAAAAGTTCAGCGAGTTCAGCCCAAGCTTTCAGCCCAGCGAGTTCAGCCCAAGTTTTCTGGAGTGATTTTTTCAATGAATCGATACTTGAATGTGCTTTTGAGCAAGCTTTTGAGCAAACTTTTGCTTCGAGAACACTCCAGACTGGGTAAGCCATCAGATTTAAATCGGGGCTTGATGGTGGCCACTGCTTAACGCTGAACGAAACTTTCCAGATGACATATGGAAAGTTTCGTTCACACCACTCTTGGACAATTCAGGCTTTGTGGACAGGCGCCCCATCCTGCTAAATAACATTTTAAAAGTCTTTAAAAGTTTTTAAAAGTCAAAATTTGTATAATAAACAAAAAAGCAGCAAAGATAGCCAATCCAAAAGCGTGGCAAACGGCGGTTGATTTGGGTAATATTGAGACACCCTGTAAAACAGAAGATTGTGATTTTCAGTTTGACTCTTTCATGCCCATATACAAATCCGTATTTTCTCTTTGAGCTCGTTATGGCTAAAGGAATGAAATGACTTAATGACTGTAAAACTGCTGAGAATTTTTCATTTTGGTTATTTTTCTTACGCTTAGTTATCAGCAAATAAATATTAGGTGGTCCAGTATAGTAACCGGGTCGTAGGGTCGATCTTGGGAGATTTGAAACACGACCCGCCTCTTTGCCATCGACAATCCAACTTTGAGCTCAAATATCTTCGTATTGGGTTGCCCAATTGAAATAGTTTTTGTACCAATCGCTAGAGAAAGACTTGCCGCATCTAATGATACCAAGAATATTTAAATTCGACAGCCCAACACCAAGATATTTGAGCCCAAAGTTAGATTGTTAATGAAAAAGGGGCGGCGCTATCAAATGTCAGATAATCTCCGCCCCTTATTTGGTGCGTTTCTTAAAATGCCTGAAAAAGTTCTAAAATAAAAGATTTTTCAAAAAATTCAAAAGAGTCATTTTGTATTGGGTTGGGGAGAATGAGTCGGCGCCGAAATTTAAAGAAACTTTTTGCACCCATAAAACCTTCTTTAAATACACGTTTTGTTTCATCAAAATGGTCCACTATTTCTTTACAAAATGGCTTTTGAGAGATTCCACAAAGCTTTTCTTTTTTGGGATTTTATGGATTCCCAAACACAGCTAATCAAAATGGCAAAGAGTCCGACTCATCATTTGAACAGTTTCTTTCACATAAACCTTCTTTGGTGTTTATATAAAAAAGATAGAGCACATTCAATTACTTAAGTTGCCAAATTTGCAGGAAGATCCCACCAATGGTTTTTTCTAGATCACAGTTTGTAGTTTTTGTGAAAAAATGGCTTTTTCTTGAGCGGAGGCGCTGTTTGAATTTTCTTTTAAATGTGATTTTGTAGAGAATTAGTTAACCATTCTACTCACATCAAACGCATATTATTTGACGAAGTCGAATAGAAGTTTTAGACATTTTTTTCATTTTCGGCGCCGACTCATTCTCCCCAACCCAATATTTCGAGTGCATGGATCGGCTTTGTAAAACCCCTTCAACTATGTGGCTTTTTCCAATATTGTTGTTAGTTTTTACGCGTAAAAAGCGACTCATTATTATTTAAAAAAGCGACTCATTATTATTCAAGAGAAAAGAGCAAAAACCTATTGTTTCAAGAAAGAAAATGAGCATTAGCTTTCTCTTGAAACAAAGCTTCAGTATCAATCAATATCTCATCTGATAAATCAATATCTGATCTGACGTTGATTTATAAAGTATTCCACGAAATTTCTGTTTTTTTTAACGTTCTCGCTAAAAGCTCTCGGTTGATTTGGTTTCATGAATGTTTATAGCCAAAAGATACCCAACCTTTCACAGAATTTATTGCTTATTATTGTTTTTAAATAGCTCCTTTAGATTTCGACTTATGCTTTAGATTCGTTGCGAAAGCCAATTCGAAAAAAGTTTCTATGCTCGCTTTTTTATTGCAAAAATATTTATATCAAAATTATAAACTTATTGAAAACTGTTGGTGTAGTTTGAAAGTGATAAACAATTTTTTTTTTGCAGATTTCTAGTCGTGTGAGTTCTAAGGTTACCGTATTTTCTCTAATAGTAGTGCACCCCGGCGAGCCGAGTTGGTGACGATTTTACGGTTTCCAAGCTTTTGCAGAAGCTCAACACTCAAATCCCCCACTAGATCTCATCGTCAGCTACATTTTCCGATCCCACATCGATAGGTTCTGATAAGCGGTTCTCGAGATTTCGAGCAATTTAGGTGACGCTCAGGGTGCACTACTATTAGAGAAAATACTGTAATATTAGATTGGTAACTTGAAAGTTGGTACTGGTAAAGTAAGTTTCTTATACTGGTAATAACTCGTGCGATTACAGAGCTCACAAAAATGGTGATAACTCAAAAACTAAAGAAGCTATTTAAAAATGGTAGTAAGCCTTAGATTCTGTAAAAATCTTGTGTTTTAAAAAAAGAAATGGAAAAATTTCTGTCTGAGATAAAAGAATCTAATCTTTTCCGCTGGGTACCTCTACGCGGATTTGTACACTTTTGGTGGATACATGTTCAGTTCAAAGCTTTATGTTTATATGGCATTCGGTGATTGCTTTGGTTGGTGTTTTGAGAAGAATATCTAAATCGAATGCCTTTTTAGAAGAAAAGAGTTTGCTTTTCGGGAATTTCTAGACTCAGACTCATAAAAATCTTGTAACACAGCAAAGACCCGGATTCTGTTTAGTTTGGATTTACCAGCACGATTACTATTTGTTCGCTAGCTTTTCGGTTTTCGCTCTAATTGTTGATTTGGCCACAATGAGAAAACTTCGAAAAGTGATGCTCGAAGCGACAGCTGAGAACTTGGTAGAGTTTTTTTGTTCTGAAACCTTAAAACTCTAGCAGAGAAGCGTCACCGATGTTCAACAAAAGCGCTCGGCTTGACTCGGTGTTCAAGTGAGCAGAAAACAAAGCAAATCGACCTGAATTCCCTACAATTCTAATTCGAGAAAAGCAGTGTTTAGTAAAAAAAAGCTTAGACTTTTAACCCACTAAAGAATCCTCTAAATGAGGCTCTCAGAAAATTTCTTTTTTGGTGATCTGTAGAAATGCCCATTGGATTACTCAGTCTGGAGTTTTCTAGAAGCCAGCACATGTGCAAAAGCACATAAAAATATCGAAAGTTTGAAGAAGGTGCTCAGCAAAGCATGTGATACCCTCGATGATGCCTATTTGCTCGCCACGGTCAACGCGCTTACTGTTACTGTTACTGTTATATGTTGTCAACTGTTATATGTTGGTCAACGCGTTTCCCAAACGTTTGCAGGCCTGTCTGAATGCCATACGCAAGCTGATCATTTATACAGTGGAATACTATTGGAGAATAGAAAAAAGAATAACTAGGAGGCAACAATAACTACCGTAAATACTGTAATAGTACCCCACCCCCATAATGACGGCGCGGAGTGTTGCGTAGTCTAGCTTTGAACGAGTTTTTCTCGACACTGGTTTATGCTACAATGCTCGTTTAAATATCAAAAAATAGCTGAAATTCAGGGCTTTTTTTGATATAAAAGACGCATTTTTTTGAAAGTACGGGCGCTTTGAAAAAAATGAAATACTAGAAAACTTTTGCGACTACGCGACTTTACGAGGGGGTTGGGGTACTATTACAGTATTTACGGTAGATGTTATTTTTCCGGATGGTTTCTCGCTTCAGCACAGAGCCAAAGAGGCACAACACGTAGCCGGTGCTCCATTGAGTCGACTGCATGCGGCTAGCGAGTTCATAAACTGTAACTTTTCTCTTATTTTATAATCTTTTTTCCTTTCTCACGTTGTAAAGTGTGCCAGCACAAGTCTCATCAAAACTGCACGAGGACATTATTATTGGTGCCATACATTCAGAGTCCGAACAGCCTTTGGTCTCGGCCGTCTAAATACAAAAATTTGAGCTAAAACTTTAAGCTTTAGAGCTTTCTCTGTAGATTATAAAGAGAAAACATAGCATTTGTTTATTTCTTTAGAATTTACATGTGTAAGTTACTTGTTTTTTTTCCAAGTTACGAACGAAAATCTTAATTAAAAAAAGGAGCTCCCGGAGCGCCAGCAATGGGTTCGCCACTATCGGGTTAATTACCGTAAATACTATAATAGTACCCCACCCCCATAATGACGGTGCGAAGTGTTGCGTAGTCTAGTTTTGCACGAGCTTTTCTCGACACTGGTTTATGCTACAATGCGCGCTTATGTATCAAAAAATAGCTGAAATCCAGGGCTATTTTTTGATACCAAAGATGCATTTTTCGAAAGTACGAGCGCTTTGAAAAAAATGAAATACTAAAAAACTTTTGCGACTACGCGACTGTACGACGGGGGTGGGGTACTATGAAAGTATTTACGGTAGGTATAATTAGTTTAAAGAAAAACCTGAACGGTTGTCTTGCATTGAGAGCAATACAAAGCGCTGTTTCCAGCGTGTAACAAGCAAAAGAGGCAAAGAAGTGCGAGAGCAAGTCTCATTGTGTCTAAAAGTGTAACGCATACTTTTGTTCCCTTTTTATGGTGGAACCTCTTATCGGAAAACAGCGTAAACGCCCAAAAATCTTCGTAAAAGCTCATAAAAGAGAATTCCATTGGGTTCTCTAGCCATCTAAAGCTTTTATGAGCAGTTTATTGAAGCTATAAATGTATGGTTTTTTTTTGTTTTAGACTAACAAATGTGTTTATGCCAGAATAAAATTTGAAAATCATGAAAATAGAGCACATTAAAACATGAAATATAAATTCATTTATTATAGCTGGTTTTGTGTTTGAACTAAGCCTAGTTTCTAGTTTTATCTGTTTCCAACTCTTAATCAACGAAGAAATAAAAATACAGGATTCCCCAAAATTACCCGGAACCAATAAAACTCATAGTTTAAAAACCTTTTCATCGAAAAAAAACAAAAATTTACATTAACAAATTTATTCTCTAGATTGCTTTCAACAATTTGGTTTATTTTTTCTCGAAAATATCTCCATGGGTGGCTGCACAAGAGGCTAGACGTTTTGGAAAGCCGTCGATGGTGGCTAAAAGATACGCACGATGATTTTCTGAAGTGATTTTTCAATGAATCAATGCTTGAATGTGCTTTTGAGCAAGCTTTTGCTTCGAGACAACCGATGCTACCGATGCTACCGATGCTACCGATGCTACCGATGACAATTCATATTGTACGAGGTGAACAAAAAGTTCCCGCATACTTGACAAAAGAAGCTCGATTTTTCAGCTAAAACCCAAATCGAGATTCGACTTACTATCTACAAGGTGCTCCAAAATTACCCGACGACGACTTCGACCAATAAAACTCATGGTTTAAAAACCTTTTCATCGAAAAAAACAAAAATTAACATTAAGAAATTTATTCTCTAGCTTGTTTTCAACAATTTGGTTTATTTCTTTTCAAAAATATCTCCATGGGCTGCACGTTTTGGAAAGCCGTCGATGGTGGCCAAAAGATACGCACGATCGAGTTCAGCCCAAGCTTTCTGGAGTGATTTTTTCAATGAATCGATGCTTGAATGTGCTTTTAAGCAAGCTTTTGAGCAAACTTTTGCTTCGAGAACACTCCAGACCGAGTAATCTATCAGATTTAAATCGGCGCTTGATGGTGGCCACTGCTTAAAGCTGATGACATCTGGAAAGTTTCGTTCACACCACTCTTAGACAATTCGGGCTTTGTGGACAGGCGCCCCATCCTGCTGAATAACATTTTAAAAGTCAAAATTTGCATAATAAACAAAAAAGCAGCAAAGATAGCCAATCCAAAAGCGCGGCAAACGGCGGTTGATTTGGGTAATATTGAGACACCCTGTAAAACAGAAGATTGTGATTTTCAGTTTGACTCTTTCATGCCTATATACAAATCCGTATTTTCTCTTTGAGCTCGTTATGGCTGAAGGAATGAAATGACCAAAAGAGCTAGCTAATGGTAAAAACTTTAAACATAAGAGCTTCTTTTAAAGTGGTAAGCCTGCGTTTTTCGATGCGTTTTTAAATTTGACGTTAAAAATCTAAAATTCAGTCAAAAAAAGGGGAAAAAGAAGCTTTTATCCTATTGAAAATTTTCAAATCGTTTTCTTTCTGAATATCTGGAAAAACTTGTTTCTTTTGGTTTTTCTGTAGTCGAGAATTTACCCGAAAACTTAGAAAGCCTGACCTTTTCGGATAATTATACATTCGAAAGAGATTTTCAAAGGATCCAGTAATTAACTAAATATAGAGCTTGGGCTGTTTTTAAAAGCTCAATTAAGTTTACCGGAAGTAGCCCGGGTCGCTTTCAAATAGTTGCTATTTTCAAATTGAAAGATGTCTTCTTCAAACTCGACAACAATCGATGATCAAGAGGAAATTGTGGAGCTTTTGATCATGACATTGGTAAGTTTGTTTGGAAATGTATGATTTTTTAACTGGCAAACAATACCTGAGATTTATATGATCTACCTTTTGTTATATTTGTTACATCCGAAGCCGATCTAGGCTCCAAATCCGATCTACAGGGTGCGTCATAATTATTGCAACAAGAGTTCAAAGACCGTTTTCCAAACAGCTTTCTTATTTTTTTTTGGCCCCTTTTTTGTTGTGTTGCGTTCTGTCTTCTTTATTCTTGCCTAATTGCTTCCCGCTCACACGAAGAAGACGGTTCAGGACTGGTGTGTGGCCAACTTTCCCTCAGTGATCACCAAGGATGAATGGCCTCCAAACTCACCGGATCTCAATGTGATGGACTTTTCCATTTGGGCAATCTTAGAGGCTAATGTCTGCTCTCGAAAACACACAAGTTTGGATTCTTTGAAGAAGTCTTTGACCTTGAGGAAGTCTTTGACCAAAGGATGGAAGGCGACTCCTCAAGATGACATTCGGGCCGCAGTGGAGGCATATCCGAACCGATTAAGGGCTGTTATCAAGGCAAAAGGCGGTCATATCGAATGATCTCTTGTTTCCTTATTTGTTACTGTTAAATAAAGCTAACTTCTTGGTGTGCAATGCCTTGAGTATCTTGTTGCAATAATTATGACGCACCCTGTAGCGTCCAAATCCGATCTAAGGAGCTTTGAAAGACAACCGATTTGGTGTCAAAAAGAAAAGATGTACAAAATATAGAAATTTTATATCGTAAAATTGATTTCAGCTCATTTGGTTCGGTAGAAATTTTTTTTCCGGGTTAGGGCCCGAAAATGCCTTAAAATAGCTATAAAAAATTTGCCACTGAACCAAAAAAGTTTTTTAATGGCTCATTTTGTTGCAAATTTTACGTAGATTCTTAAATTGGTGCTACATTTGACATTTCTCTTTTGTGAATGGGAGAAATGTCGCGCCGACTGGTTTCAGGGGGATCCCCTAACTGAGAAACAAGGACTGAAGTTAGTCCGCGCAATTTTTCGCCCATTTTGAACCTCCCAATAAATGTTTGATTTAAATAGCTTCACTTTAAGAATCTAAATAAAATTTGCAACAAAATGAGGAATTGTACAACGTTTTTCGTTCAGTGGTAAATTTTTTATAGCCATTTTCAGGCCCTCACTTTCGAACCCCAAAAAAAATTTTCTACCAATCCAAATGACCTGAAATTTATTTTACGACATAAAATTCATCTATTGGATTCAAATATCGGATTCACATATCGGATTCGGATGCTAGCTCGGATTCGGATGCTAGCTCGGATTCGGATGCTAGCTCGGGTTCGGACGCTAGCTCAGATTCGGACGCTAGCTCGGATTCGGATGCTAGCTCGGATTCGGATGCTAGCTCGGGTTCGGACGCTAGCTCAGATTCGGACGCTAGCTCGGATTCGGATGCTAGCTCGGGTTCGGACCCTAGCTCAGATTCGGACGCTAGCTCGGGTTCGGACGGACGCTAGCCCGGGTTCGGACACTGGTTCGGGTTCAGACGCTGGCTCTGGTTCGGACGCTAGCTCAGATTCGGACGCTAGCTCGGGTTCGGACGTAACACATACAAAATCGTCGGCTAACCGGATTCAAATTCGACCGACATTTCTTTGAAACTCAAATCCTCCAAAATGAGCAAAGATCCTTTTTTCGTTTTTATGAATGGGCAAGCTTTTTTTATGAATGTTTAATTACTTCACCCAACTATTGGAAAATGACTATCAATAAATTTAATAAAATAAGTTTTCAATCACACAAAACACCAATAAACGATTTATTTTACAGTTGGGAGTGATGGGCACAATGATGGGTCCAATCGGCTTCTACATTCTTCAAAAGTCGACCTTTGTAAACGGTTTCTTTAGCCATTGCTACCAAATTTTTAAAATTAAAAAAAATTAGGGATTGTTCGACATTATTGCCTCACCGACATCTACGGCCATTTTCTTGCCAGCTTTTGCCATCTTTTTTGGGGAGTTCCGTGCTTTATTTGGTAAAGCAATTATCTATTATTCAGTGCGTTTCACATAAATAAACTCACCAATCAATAAAAGCAAAAAAAAATAGAAAAGAATAGAAAAAAGTTCACAAGACGTTAGTGGGTTTATTGATGTGAAACGGTCGTTTCTCATACTTTGACGATTTCCAAAAATTCAATGGAGACTTGCTTGGTTCTAGTTAAGTTTATCTAGGTTATCTTGTCTCCTCTTTCTAATAAAAAAAGAATTAGAACTCTAACTCTTACGCATCTCAAGTTATTGCAATTTTTTGGGGGCCTTTATTGATGTGAAACGCACTGTATATAATCGAGGAATGTCTGTCCGTCCGTCCGTCCGTCCGTCCGTACGCAACTTTCATCTAGAGAACAGAAAAAGCTAGAGCTCCAAAAACCCTTATAGATTATATAGCCCTTATAACCCTCGGGGTCGCCGAGCCGAGAAAATTGCCAACAACGTGAATTCAAAACCGACATTACTTTTTGACTATATAGTGGAAAATGACGCCCTTTATTCAAAATCATTCAAATTTCCTTCAAAATAATTAAGAGTTGGGATCATTTCATGGGAAAACTTTGTTTTTACAATAATTTTTCTTTTTTGTGAAAAAGCCGCTTTTTTTGACAATTTTGAGGGGTTTGAACTTACGCTTTATCTAAATTTCTGTAAATGCATTTCCGTTAGACTTTTTGAATTGATATATAGTTATCCTTTTTTTTAAATCTTCAATTTTGGGAAGCTAACTCTATTTTGACGACACTAAACTTGTCCCTAAAGTGACTCGATTCCTTTTTTGATCACTCGCATTTCGCCCTCGAAATTTCTTCAATGCTTCGATCCATTGAAGCAAGTTTAGCTCAGGTTAAAGACTAAGCCATGCTTATCTTAGTTCAGATATCTGGTTGATCCTGTCAGACTGCTAGCTCAGGTTAAAGACTAAGCCATGCTTGACTCTATTTTGACGACACTAAACTTGTCCCTAAAGTGACTCGATTCCTTTTTTGGTCACTCGCATTTCGCTCTCGAAATCTCTTCAATGCTTCAATCAATTCAAACACGTCTTAGCCTATTTTGTAGAGGAGATTTACAACTTTCAAATAGTTCATAACATTCATCGATTCTAGTTTACAACATCAGGTTTCTATCGTTGGAAATTTATGAAAATGTTGAAATCCGCATTTCTTATGCATGTACCTAATAGTTTTTTGAAAAAAATGCATAAGAATAGTTGGCCATTTTCAAGTTGCCAATCCAATAGTTCATCTATAAATGTCACAAAGCTTCTCAAAATTTCTTTCCAACTCCAAGCTTTTCGTAAAACTTCTTACCAGACGCTTTCAGGAGCTTGGATCTCTCCTATCCGACGATCAATTACATTTTCGGCTTCTTTGCCTACTCATCAATTACAATCAATTGGACATCAAAGGTTAGGATTGCTTAACGATAAACGCTAATCAAATTCGTTTGCGACCAATCAGCAACTAATTTAGTCGTCAATATTTTCGGAAACTGATATTACAAAAAAAATTTATTCACTTAGTGTTGTCCTACCAACCTTAAAATCGGTTTAATAATGGTCGGTTTTACTTTTGGTGATCTGGGGTCGAACCAGGATCGCACGCTTACCGGGAGCGTGAAAAGTTTTCAAAAGTTTTTGCATATAAGCAAGAGAAAGTACGGCAATGAGTTTCAGCTTTCGAAAACAGATTTTGGTTATTTTTGATTATTTTTGAGCCTATTTCACTGGATAATACCCGCGTTTTATCGCATCTTGATTTACCGTATTTACTCGAATAGGAGACCGGTCTTCTATTTTTTTTCAATCACCCCCTAGACCCCGTCTTCTATTCGAGGCCAGTCTTCTATTCAAGACGGTCTTTTATTATTTGCATTCACGAAAATTCTTCATTCTCACTTGATTCAATGTCATCCTTTATTAAATCCGGATCTTGCAAAATTCCATCAAGTCCCTCTGAGCTCGAAATTGAATCGTTTTCACTCTCATATCCATTGTTTCTATCCTCGTCGGAGTCGATATCTTGACAAAGTTTTGCTAATCTTCCCTCCAATCTTGCAATATCCAGCTTGAATCGACCACTCTCAACAGCTTCCCCTTTGCGGAAACAAATAATCTGATCGTCCTCGCTGTTGGACTCCTTGTTGTCATTTTTTGCCGTCTCAAAAAATTCGAAAGCCATTCATTGCTTGCAGAGAAAGACTTTGTGAAATCTAGGTTCGATTCGCGAAAAAACTCCTTGGCTTTGTCCTGAACCATACGTCGAGAAACTTTTAGCTTTTCCTCTCGTTTTTCTTTGATCCATCGATAAGTGGCCTCCTCGACTGCGCGAAATTTAAGCATTTCGAATCTGAAATCCGTGCTTATAGCTTTTATAGCTTTTTTTTTTCAGTCTCTATATAAGCGGCCTTTTTTTCATGCCGTCAAAACTTTTCATACCCCCTGTATTAATGGCATTGTTATCGTTAGATAAACCTAGCAAAATAAAGTAAAGTAAAGCAAAATAATGTCAAATAAAGCAAAGTAAAGCGAAATAAAGCAAAATGTTATCAAGTTGGCCCAAAAGCCTCGGCAAGTTTTTTCACAGAAATCAAAATCTCTCGAGTTTTTGTCCACAAACTTCAAAAAGGGCAAAAGAAACATTGTCTTTATCATTGTTTTTTATTTTTATGAAAAAATGGGAACACTTTGATGGTTAAATCTTTAGAAAACTCAAAAAATTGAGGTTTTTGAAAAAAAAAATTGATATTTCTTAAAATTTCACAGAGAAATTAGACACTCAAAAAAGCCAAACTTGCTTAAATTTGGGTTTAATTTTGAATAAATTAAATACTTTTATTTTAAAATATATTTAAATAAAAGTATAGGAACACTTCTTTTGAAAAGCACTAAGAAAAAGAGAGACTTGCGCGCCAACATAATAGAATTAACGGATTCCCTTTTTTTAACGGATTCAGTTAACGGATTCACAAAGAAATAGAATAGAAAATAGAATTAACGGATTCAGAAAGTGAAATAGAATTGGTATTTTAAAAGAAAAATGAATACACTTTTAATTCCGTCATTTTTCCATTTCCAGGTTCTCCTCGGAATGAATCGTTTCGTTTCGGTGGCGCTCCCGTGGAAATTCTATCATAAGCTGCAAAAATATCAACATATTCAGTATTTTCTTTTGATACTTGGACCAACACTGTGCGCCATTCCACTGCTCATCCGTAAGCGCACCCAATGCCACTGCTCTACCCATTCGTTTCTCTCAACCATAGGATGTTCCAAAAAAAAGTGGTCATCTTTTTCACCATGAAAAATTTTCTTTTGATTTTCACAGCACATCGTCGTGTCAAAAATGGTTTTGCCTCAGGGGCCACACAATAGCAAAAAGTTGATTTTTTGACAATTTCATGAGTCATTTGATGATCGAAGACACAAAATTGAAAAAATGAAACATTTCTTTTGACCTGACCAAAAGGTATGTGTGTCGTAGCCGATTATGAATGAGTTGGTCTAGGAGCGTCCAACCATCAAGTAATTGGTATCATTCAACGCAGAATCATTAATAATTATGTTAAATTTTTTAAATTAGCAAGATTTGATAAAAAGAAAAAAAATTATGGGGCTTCAAAGTTTTCTCTTGAACAAACAGTTTTTTTGCTCTAATTTTTTTTCTTTTTATTCAATCTTTCCAATTTAAAAAATTTAACATAATTATTAATGATTCTGCGTTGAATGATACTAAATACTTGATGGTTGGACGCTCCTAGACCCACTCATTCATAATCGGCTACGGGGGTCCCGCCGATTTTGAATGAAACGTTGTAGCGCGGGCAATTTTTAACCTAAACTCACAATTTTGGTACTAATCGACGCAGAATTGAATTCGCTACAAGATGATATAATATTGTCCTCATACATTAAAGGGTTGCTCTACTAGAAAGATTTGCCAAAAAATTTCATTCATAATCGGCTACGACATGTACGTATTCATTTTTAATTTCCTATCGATCATAAGAAAGTTTGTCGAAATCAGTCCAGCCGAAATCTAGAGTGTGACGGACGGACAGACAGACGGACGGACAAACGGACGGACAGACGGACGGACAGACGACGGACACTTCTCTTTTATATAGTAGATAAAGAAATGAAGAAGTTCTATTAAATTTAGAGGACCATCTTTTTGAAAGTCACTCAAAAATGTCAAAAAAAGCAGCTTTTTGCTATTGTGTGGGGGCAAAACTGGGGCAAAACCAATCTTTGACACCGCTATACAAAATCCGAAAGAAAGATTTTTCATTTTAACAAAGATGATCACTTTTTTTTGATCACCCTGTAATGCATTTTCTAGAGGGTGGAGAATTGTGCAAACTATTTTTAAAACCAATGCCAATGCATATCCGCCCTACTGAAACTATTCACCCTCCAGAAATCGCAATATCGACTTGTCAGATATCAACAAATTTCTCAGGCCATATTTTAGCTGGTTGTCATGGTTGTTTCTACTCACGTCCTGTGCCAAACTTCTGGCAAGAAGAAAGCGATTGCACAACCGAATACACGAAAATTGTTATTGTTAGTTCTACGTTCTACAGATTGTAGTACGAGAAAATATTTCTTCATTTCTTAGATCGGCATTGGTTACGTGAAGCTTGGATTAATCACTTTCTTTGACTTTGGAACACTGATTTTGCTGCCTCGGCGCTTAAAAGTTTGAATAATTCATGCCTAAAAAAAAGGGAAAGCCTAAGGAAATCCGCGCAAATCAACGCTCTTCGTCTATGGAGATCTCGGCACAGATTCGTGTCACTCTTATGGTCGGTTTCAAAAACAAAGCGCTTCTTTTCTGAAACGAGACCACAAAAAAAGCTAAAACTTTTAGTTGGTCGTGTCGGCGAATAACGCGATTTGGATTCAGATTGCCACCACATTTGGCACTTACTATCTCACATCAATCTTAGGTCAATTCATCACGCTGACCGCTATGTGGCAACTCACCTCCTGCATCGGAATGTTGGGGAGTTTGACCATTTTTAACTATTGGGTTGGTGAATTAAAAACTGCCGGACTTTGAACTAAAATTTATTGAACATAAAACCATGAATTGATTCGAAATAATTTCCATTATTATTGACGACTTCTGCCCATTTTACAGGCAATTTGCGGATTCCTCTTTCGTAGTAGGATTTTGGTTTGTGTGTGAGACAAGTCTGAGACTCAAGAATGGAGGACCGGAGGCTGGAGATCCCAGTTTGAGCACTTTCTTCAAAAGAAACCCATTTTGGTGTCAATGGAAAAGTTGTAGAGAATCAAAAATCAAGCTTATATCCAAATTTCCAAAAGGATACACTTAGTAGTTTTGCTTAAAATGCAAGTTTTGTTGCAAGTTTCGTGAAAATTCATAAATTTGGCATTTCTTGAAAACCAGTTTTTGAATCGTTCTGAAAATTTGGATATAAGCTTTATTTTTGATTCTCTACAACTTTTCCATTGACACCAAAATGGGTTTCTTTTGAAGAAAGTGCTCAGACTGTCACCTGTGACAATAGCCGGCAGTTTTTAATTCACCTACCCAAAATATTCAAACTAGATGACACGTTCAGTAGAATTCAATGGTTTCGGTATAAAAATAAGATTTCTTACATACATACAGAGTGTCCCACAATTACGATAACCAAGAAATCTAACGCGTTTGGGCAAAAACTAAAAACGCCATCGTGTTGCCTGTGTCCGACTTGCGTAAGTCATATAGCTTTGGTTCGAATTCGCGCTTGCCCAAGAAAAAGCGCCTTAATAAAAGAAAATCTAGCTAGATACGATCACACTCACTGGTTGTGGGACACCCTGTAGTTATGAAATTGTTTTCCGCTTTCCATAATCAATAATCCATAATCTGTGCCATAATCAAATACGAAAATTAGAAAGACAAATTATATTCTCAAAAAGTACATTAATCAAATAAAATTAAGTGCAACATACGCCGTGTTTCAACGTAAATGGCGCCAGTCAGGCCATCGAAATCTGGCGGTTTCAGTCACGGCCTAGTCATGACAAGGGGACTTTTTGGAAGATGAAATCTTGAAACTTGAAATCTTTGAATAAACTATCTGTGCACTCGATCTCTCAAAAGAAACAAATTGAAAAACTTTTAAACGTATGTTGCCGTCATTTGTTGGTCTTTTTGGATTTAAGAATTTAAAGGAGAGGCTCAAAGAGGCTTTCGTTCAAGCTCTCGCACGAGAGAAGCCGATTTTGCTCGCGACGCTAAATAAATTATTTTTATGTGATACATAAATCAATGTTCTACAGGGTGCGCATCAATTATCGGTGTGTTCATCGCGAGTCAGTAATTACTCGAGTAATTGCTCCAGTAATTGCTCGAGTAATTGTCGAGTAGTGCGTTTTCTAAAAAGTGCGCGCGCGCGAAAAAAAATATAAAAGCAATCTTTTGCACAGGTTTTTCAAAAAAATCGGGAGTGGGACAAATGCTACCTTTTTTTTGCTGGAAAAGGCCTTAGAAAAGGTTGTAGAGCTTCAAAAATGTTTTCGTAGAAGGGAATCGTATGCGTAGATTCCGAATTTCGACAAATCAGACCTCGCTGACACGTCAAATTTGGGCTAAAAGGCAAAAACTGCGGAAAAGCGTTAAGTTGCGTAGTTTTTGCCTTTTAGCCCAAATTTGACGTGTCAGCGAGGTCTGATTTGTCGAAATTCGGAATCTACGCATACGATTCCCTTATATAAAAACATTTTTGAAGCTCTACGACCTTTCCTAAGGCCTTTTCCAGCAAAAAAAAGGTGCGCAAAGGTCCAGGTGCGCAAAAAAGGTCGCATTTGTCCCACTCCCAAAAAATCATTTTTTACATTGGAAGGGAATTTCCCACCAAATCAGTTAAACGGCTGAGTATCTTTAAAAAGTGTCATATATAATCCGGGCCTCGTCATTTTTTTGCAATAATAGAAGTACGGTAATTTTTTTCCCAATTGTGCGTTTTTAAAAAACGCATTACCCGCGAGGAACACACTCTAATTATGGGCCTCCCGATTTAAGAGACTCTCAGCTAGAAAATGTGTTCTTTTTTGCGTTCTAAAACAAACAAAATCTTTTTTTTTGACAAAGCAGCATTTTCTTTAAACTTTTTGACAGGAAAAATCATGAAGTTGCTGTACAGGATGAGCATATTAACGCAATTTATTGTTAAATCTTTTTCAAAAGCCACGAATGTGGCCAGCGTCCGTGTACCCGCCACCAAGTTGGTCCCAGGCTTTTGCGAGGATTGTTGCTAAGAAACTTAACCTCCCATAAACAGATTATTGAAATTATAGTCTTTGAGATTGAATTAACAAGAAAGCCCAAAACATTCAAGTTTACCAAAAAGCTCTGGAAAAAGCGACCGTAATCCGGATGTTTTTTTAAAATTCTTACTAATGAGCAATCCTGTAGCTTTATCTGGTTTTGCAGTTTTACAGTTTTCAACGATTCCTACGCGTACCTCGTTTTTGTCAAGAATAATAGACAATTGCTCCATCATCAAGAGATTCAATTTTTTACATTTAAATTTCTCCGAGTAACCTGCAATGCTCTGGAAAAAGCGATCGTAATCAGATCCTATCAGATCCGAATTGAATCAGATCAGATCCGAGTTGAATTTTGTGAGATCCGAATTGAATCATACCAAATCATATCCCGATTCGAGTTGAAAAACTCGCTGAAATTTGTGCACCTGGTTTTGTGTGGGAGAAGAAAGGCTATAGACTCATCACAGAGTGGTAATATTCAACGTTTCAATGAGCATTAATTTATTTCAAATTAAACAACAAACCATTTAAGACAAAGAGTTATTAAAAAAACTGTGAAACCAAAGATTTTATTCGAATGATTGCAAAGGTCTCCCGAACAACAGTTATACGTGGTGCCGCCGAAAAGATTCGGGCCTTCTTGCTAAATTTATAGGAATTTGTCTGAAAAGAAAGGCTATTAGAAACATAAACAAGATTATAACCGTCTTTTTATTCAATTTCATTCAATTCAATTTCAGTTTCAGCTCAGTTCAGTTTGTAAATGACTCACCGAGCAGAAATCAGCTTTCCCGTAATCCTTCAGATATGAGCAGCCACAACCCCAAAAGTGCCAGTCCTGAAAAGTAAAGTTTTACCTAAAAACGAAATAAATCAAACTTAAAGCTTTTTGAAAGTGAAAACTGCTTATTGAATTGAAAAAAATAAGAAACTTAAAGCAGACCACTTACATCAGCACTTGTCCATGACGCACAATAAGAACCGCACTGGCAAGTTTCTTTTGATTTCTGAAAACTGTGCACTGAACTTTAAAGCTTTCCCTTATTAATACTTTATATTATTTCCGCTCCATAATTTTGAGCCATAATCCATAATCCAAAATAAAATACTTGGTGAATTAAAAACTTTGTGAATTAAATACTTGGTGAATTAAAAACTGCCGGACTTTGAACTAAAATTTATTGAAAATAAAACCATTAATTCATTCGAAATAATTTCCATTATTATTGACGACTTATGCCCATTTTACAGGCAATTTGCGGATTCCTCTTTCGTAGTAGGATTTTGGTTTGTGTGTGAGACAAGTGTTAGACTCAAAAATCGAGGACTGGAGACTGGAGACTGGAGATGTCCCAGTTTGAGCCCTTTCTTCAAAAGAAACCCATTTTGGTGTCAATGGAAAAGTTGTAGAGAATCAAAAATCAAGCTTATATCCAAATTTTCAGAACCATTCAAAAACTGGTTTTCAAGAAATGCGAAAGTTACGAATTTTCACAAAACTTGCATTTTAAGCGAAACTACTAGATGCATCTTTTTGGAAATTTGGCTATAAGCCTAATTTTTGATTCTCTACAACTTTTCTATTGATACCAAAATGGGTTTCTTTTGAAGAAAGTGCTCAAACTGGGACATCTCCAGTCCTCCATTTTTGAGTCTCACACTTGTCTAAACATTCATTAAACATTTAGCACCATCAATTCATTTCAAATAATTTCCATTATTATTGACGACTTCTGCCCATTTTACAGGCAATTTGCGGATTCCTCTTTCGTAGTAGGATTCTGGTTTGTGTGTGAGACAAGTCTGAGACTCAAGAATGGAGGACCGGAGGCTGGAGATCCCAGTTTGAGCACTTTCTTCAAAAGAAACCCATTTTGGTGTCAATGGAAAAGTTGTAGAGAATCAAAAATCAAGCTTATATCCAAATTTCCAAAAGGATACACTTAGTAGTTTTGCTTAAAATGCAAGTTTTGTTGCAAGTTTCGTGAAAATTCATAAATTTGGCATTTCTTGAAAACCAGTTTTTGAATCGTTCTGAAAATTTGGATATAAGCTTTATTTTTGATTCTCTACAACTTTTCCATTGACACCAAAATGGGTTTCTTTTGAAGAAAGTGCTCAGACTGTCACCTGTGACAATAGCTGGCAGTTTTCAATTCATCAACCCAATAGCTTTATATTATTAGAAATAGAAAATATTTAACTTTGTTTTTATAAATTTATAAATTTGCTTTGTGAAAAACAGGTCTCAATCCAATACCGCGCGTCCTAGCTTCGATTTTTGTTCAGCATCACCCCAGCATTGAAGAGTCGCGACTATTGAAATAAAGACAAAGAAAAATACCAAAATTGAAGTTCTCATATATGGAGATTGGTCTAAAGATTTGAAAAACTCAAAATTTCCCTTTGGAAAAGTCTCTGAAAATAAATCTTAAAGGACATAAAAAAGACTGCTTGTTGTCTCGTAGTTTTGCATTGATTCTTCCGCAAAAAGATAAGCAAAATGGCGTCTTCGATCGATAGAACATGTAAAGCTCTGTCATCAAGATAAGACCTTGCTGACTTTTAGAGAAATGCGGTTTTGTGTGGGAAAGGGGAAACCCGTTACGACAAACATACATTCTACGAAGTGTGTTAAGTTTTTTAATTGCGAAGAATTTCGCTAATCTCAAATAAACTATTGGGCGAAGAACAAATAACACAAAATGGCTGAGATCATATTTTTAGTATTACGAAAAAAAATTGAGTACATATTCCTACATTGAAATTTGAGGAATAGAGGCTTCTGGTGGCTTCTTCTTGGCTTCGAGGCTTCTGGTGGCTTCTTTTATGCTCCCCTGAATACCTTGAGGATTCGGGATCGATTCGGGATCGATTCGGGATGTCCGATTACATCTTTTCGGGTCTTCATCCCGTGTTTTTTAAAAACTCGATACACTGTGGTCTTTGAAGTTCCAAAGCAGCAGAGTTCCAGCTTCTGAAAGTTGAAAGAATCACTTTTATAGTTCACAAAAGTTTCGTAGAGTCAACCTTCACTAAACATTGGAAAAGAAATCAATTTTCCATCTTGTGTTCGATGCTGTGAATATTGCTCGATTATCGGCACTCATTTTATGAAGATCAAACTTTATTCACCGTAGCCTGCAGATCTTGTTTCTATCGTTCAAGCATTCAAGCACTTTCTTCAAACTTTTGCTTCCAATAATCGATCTCCACATCTCTTATGAATCACATCTCGTTCCTTCCTGGAAAAGCCGCCACCAGTAGAATCATCACGAACAGAGAACAATGCATTTCTTCGTTTGGAGCAGTGTATTTGATTATATGAAGTCATTTCTGTTGAGAGAGCACACAATTCACAAGCGACTTTTTGAGATATCTATTTTCGATTTTAGATCCCTACTTTGGATGTCTAATACGCTGTTTGTCTCGTAAAAAAAGGCTATTTTCTCATCCAAAAATTTCTCAATGCTATATCGATTGCGCCGGTGAGTTGCATTTGGTTCGGGCGACTATGTGAAATATTGAACAGCTTGCCGACACGTTATAAAACCTATTTTACACTATATTTCTCAGTGAATTAATTCCAATCGAGATTTAAAATACTGGACTGCGAAATAAAGATTGTAAAAGTTTTTTCGTCCTTGTGAAAGCGCTGAATTAAAATGAGAAACACTGGGTCTAAATATAAGTCAAGGAGTAACTCTTTCATGGTCCAAAAAAATCGATTGCTTCAATCGATTGCTCAAAAACTCTTGAAATTCTCACGACAAAAACTTTGTTGAAAAGCTTAATTGTATTTGGTTTTTGAATTGAAAACTGCCGGACTTTGAACTAAAATTTAATGAACATAAAGCCATGAATTCATTCTAAATAATTTCCATTATTATTGACGACTTCTGCCCATTTTACAGGCAATTTGCGGATTCCTCTTTCGTAGTAGGATTTTGGTTTGCGTGTGAGACAAGTGTGAGACTCAAAAATGGAGGACTGGAGATGTTCATATGTGACAGTTTGAGCACGACCTTCAAAAGAAACCCATTTTGGTATCGTGTAAAAAGTTGTAGAGAATCAAAAATTAGGCTTATAGCCAAATTTCGAAAAAGATACACTTAGTAGTTTGGCTTAAAATGCAAGTTTTGTGAAAATTCGTAAATTTCGCATTTCTTGAAAACCAGTTTTTGAATCGTTCTGAAAATTTGGATACAAGCTTGATTTTTGATTCTCTACAACTTTTCCATTGACATCAAAATGGGTTTCTTTTGAAGAAAGTGCTCAAACTGTCACATATGACAATAGCCCGCAATTTTCAATTCACCAACCCAATATGTGTGTTGTTTTCTGAAAAACGTGCTGTGCTTATAACAATTCGTAAAACCATCGAGAATTCACTAGTTTTTAAATCAAAAAGTGAAGAATTCTAAGAATTCCAAGAATTCAAAATTGATTATTACATATGCGTTAGCTTTATTCATCATGTGATTGGTCCAACGGTCACTTTTTTTTGTCTCTCTGGCCGTTTTCGCAGGAAGAGAATATTCAGGATACTAAATAGTCATAAATGAGAAAACTGTTTTCCTCGGCGAACCTGCTGACGAAACAAAGTAGAAAGAGATGATTGGCGATAATACAAGACTCAAAAAAGATCATAAATACTTTCGCTAACAAAAAACAGCGAAAGCAATAGGCTAAAGAATATGAGTCCGGAAGTGATGCACAGGATGATCACCGAGTTGAAGATCATCTGAATCACACAAGTCTATTTAATTTGAATTCTTCACGGAAATGCAACGAAAATTCTCATTTTTGACTCGTTGTTTGTGGAAGACTTGATTTGGTTGATTGAACAGAGAATAAGCAAAAGTTAGAGACACTAACTAGAGATCGTTGTTTATTTAACATCGAGTTTCGAAGTAGAACCTAGCCTATTTTCTAGCAAATTTTTCGCTGATTTCGAATATCTAATCTTTATGTGTAATGGGTTTAAATTTTCGATAAATCGACAAATCCGTTTGAAGTTTGAGTGCAAAAAAAAGCAGTTTTTGCGTGTTGCGTTTTTGCGTGCGCTATTTCTCCAGCTGCGCGAGTATCAAGCGATCTTGCGTTCCAGCGAGCCAAAAATGGTTTTGGCTCTAGTTTTGACCTTGAAAAGTGCCCCAATAGTCGATAGCTCGAGCACACAAATTTAAAGTTAAAGTTGCATTTAAAGTGCAAAAAAATGTAATTTTCAACGTGTCGAAATGGCAGTTTTTCAGTTGAAACCCTATGCTAAAACTGTCAAATTATTGCAACAGCAACCTCGATTACCCCTAGAAAAGTGAAAAAATCAAAAATATAAGTGGCTACCTAACCCACAAAGTACCAAAAATTTTAAAAAAATCAAAATTTTACCCAAGTCCGGGCTCGAACCAGGACCAAAAAGCCTAGCGATTATTTTGAGAGCCTAGCGCACTTACCACTTGGCTACGATGACGTATCTTTGATGGACGCAAGGTCGTTTGATAGTCGCGTGGTCAGAGAAATAGCACAACACGGAAAAACTGCTTTTTTACACAAAAACTTCAAACAGATTTAAATCGAAAATTTGAACCCATCACAGAAAAATGGCGTAGATATTCGGAATCAGCGAAAAATTTGCTACAAAATAGGCTAGGTCCCACTTTGAAACTCGATGTTAAATAAACAACAATCCCTAGTAGGGAAAAGCTAGATTTACAGGGAATATCTTGGCATAATCACAAGCTTTTTCCACTTAAACTTTCTTTCTAATCACTGATTATTCTCCGCTTATGCCCTTCAAGGAAAAGAAACGAATTGGTAAAGAAATTTAGGAGTCACTGTGCCCGATCCAAAGCGTTTTACAAAGCAAGAAAATAAAACCAACCTGCATCATCAATAAATGCTCTGTTTGTGACACCGGTTTTCCGTATCGTTTTCGCTGAAATTGAGAGTTAGAAGAGGAAAAGATATCTTAGCTGATCTCACTTTATGTCTGCATAAATGCCTTCTGACTAACTTCACGTTTACTTCTGACTAACTTCATGTTTCCCAAAGAGACTGTTCTCGGTTTTTTTATTTCAACTTTTCTCACTTGTTTCAACTTTTCATAGGTGACGACATCAAGAGCAATCATCAAAAAATACGGGAATTCTTCAATATTGGCAGCGACATAGGAAATGAAAGAAAGGGATGTGATCGTGCCATTCGGAATCAACAAACGATCGCTCATTTCAATGGCCACTTGCAGGAGATACGGGATGATTAGTTGAATCAAAGGCCATTTTTGGGTGAATGAAAAGTAGGCTCCATCAAAGGAGACAGCCAAGAAACGACTGGAACAACACAAATTTTAATTAACACTTTTATAAAGTGTCAATTTAACGGAAAGTGTCAATTTTACGGTAGCTTCTTTTAGGGGCATAGATTAGACATAGTTAAGAGCATCATTTTGTGCGAGTATGGCCGCGAAGAAACGTATAATCTCTGCAAAAGTCTCCACTCACCTTAAAGAAATCATCAACTGGCAATATTGTGAAATGGTCAACAAATTATATGTAGACAGAAAATCCAATATATTGTACACGGTATTGGCGTAATTTTTTGGGCAACTTGAAACGCGTTAAGTTGTTGTTTTGATGACTGGAATAAACCTTAGCGTTTCAACTTCAAGCTCATCGAATAACTCGCAGTAGATGTACATCGAAAAAATCACACAGTAAAGAAATTTATTGAAGCTTTCAGTTGTTGCTAATAATCTGGAAAGTTGAATGGTTCCCGGAAATGCGTGACCGAATCCGTAACTATATTTTACGGTTAATTGTTTAAATAAATGGATTTCTCACTTGTACAGGGCCATAATTGTCGCAACAAAATTCGCAACAAGAAGATAAACTTCTGATTTTAACGCAGAGAAGAGCAAAAAAACAAATTTCTAACTGAATAACATTTATTGTACATTAACAATTATAAATCAACTATCAAATTCGAATCGGCCACCATCAGCATTTGAGCAGGCTCGCAGGCGTTTTGGGAAGGCGTCAACGGCGGCGACCAAGTAGGCTGGATCGAGCTCTTCCCACGCTTTCAACAGTGATTTCTTCAAGCTTTCGATGTTTTTGTGGGGCTTTCAACAAGCTTTGCCTTCTAGAATCGACCACATTTTGCTTGTTAAGGAGGCTCTCAACGGTAAATATCGTTTCATCTGTGAACAAGATATTGTGATGCTCGATTCCATTGAAGCGCATCAATAACTGCTATCAATTTTTGCTTGTTTTTAGCGGCATTCGAAAGAAGTTGAGCCTTGTTTTTCTTGTAAGCAGTAAGTTTGAGCTTATTTTTGAGGATCCGACGCAATGAGGCGCTTGCTTGAAATCACCATCATGCAGTTGCCATTTGCCTTGCCGACTGGTTTGGCCTCTTCCGAATTCAGTCCCTCACACGATTGATGTTTTTCTTTGTGACGACAGTTGGGCGTCTACCGCTTCTTGGTGCATCAGCAATTGTTCGCGTAGCTTCGTTGCGTTGAATAATGCGGAAAATGACACTTCTGTCGACTTTAAGACGCTTATGAATCTCCGGTGCCGAGACTCCTCGCTTGTGCAATTCGATGATCGATTGTCAATGCGGGGATTTTCTAGTCATTCTAAAAAACAACACATTTTATATGAAAAAAGTTTCAATCATATTCCAAAAATAATAAAAATACAAAAAAAAAGCAGAAATGAAGCTTAAATCAACGAGTTATTGTCCTTGAACGCCGTGATACCTTGTTGCGACAATTATGGCGTACCTTGTATTATGGCGTACACTACAGAGTGCGCAAAAGCTTTAGGTGAACAGTGCATAAAGGGTTTTATGTGTACCATAAAATTAAAAAGTAAAATTGGGTATTATATTCTTAAAATACCGTAAATGCTGTATTAGAAAGACACCCTCTAATAGAACGACACCCGGAGGGGGCATTGAAAAATAAAACGACACCCCATTTACATTTGAAATAGAATTTTTTTAATTTGTATCTAAACTGGGTAGCTACGCAACGTTTAAAATCCATTTTCAAAAACTCATTCTTTTCATTTTCGCGCCAAACATTTATTGCATTTATCTCTCTAACTTTTTGTTGCGATTATATTTCAATAATTTATTCTTTTTAGGAATGGGATTCATCGACGAAAATTTCAAGAATTTCAAGAAGAGATGGATTTCAAGACGAGAATTTTGAGCTCAACGAGAAAACGATGAACGAGAAGAATACTTCAAGAACAGAGATGATGAACAAGTTGAGAATCTGCGAGGAACAGCCAAGAAGGACTCCGAAAGGCAATAGGTCAAAATGAGAATAACCTGGAGTCACGTTCGTCAATCATTTATTAAAAAAACAAGAAGGAAAGCTTGGTGATCTTAACAATAAGAGAAAACGACTTCATGGAGGTGGCTGACATCTTTTGACGGCAGAAGTTGATCAGTTGATCATCGATTGGATTCGATCTCAATGCGACGATCAGAAGCGAACCACTCGAAGGATTTTTCTGGACAAGACAACAATGGAATTTACAAGAGCAGGAGTCAATTTCAGTCAATAACAAAGTAAACCATAGGGTCGAAATAGTCGGCTGTTTCTTATCCTTGTTGCGAGCTCAAAGTGCTATGCTATAGCATAAAAGCTCTATACATCTTCTATAGATTCGTCTGGAATCCATAATGAAAAGTGGGATCATACGCGAGACCATATTTTGTTAAAAACCGACAAAATGTCATTCAGGGAAAACGACTGGAGAGATTGAGCTGAAAATTTGAGTGTAGACGTAATTAAACATTCTCTACGTTTTTGATTTGAACAAGAAAGTAGGTTTGTTGAATGGAAATCTTTAAATGATCAACTCTCCATCAGTCCATTTTTGACTGCTGAAGTTCGATTATTTGAAAAAGTGTGAAAACAAAAGCTTTCCCATCTGGCTCAAAAGGCTCAATAGGCTCAAACGGATCAAAAAAGGATCAACTTCTGCCGCCAAAAGATGTCAGCCACCTCCATCAAAACCCCTCAAAAGGTAGGGCTTTCTTATCTCAAAGTTTACTATTAAATTTGGGTTGAAAAGCGCCTCTTGAAAAAATGTGCATTTCATGTGCAATGAACCTATAGAATGACACTTTCTAGTAAAACAACATTCTAGGGGTATTGAAAAATAGAGCGCGATTTCGTTCTAATACAACATTTACGGTATGCTCAGTCAAGGCACAAAACATCAACAGACACTCTTGAACACTTGCCTGATTGGCGGTGATAGTCGGTCGTTTCTCGCTGAGAAATAAATGGCAAAGGGAAGAGTGAGTAAACTTAGAAATAACACCTAAAAATGATTATGTGACATAAATGAATTGAGTCTTTCAGTACCAAGCAAATGCTAATCCCGATGAAGAGCTGGATATAGGAAACGGTTTCATCGTCAACAATGATCGGATTTGTCAATAGAAACCATCCTTGAAAACGCAAGTATAGTAGGAGGAGATTGAAAACTGAATCGAAAAGAGATTATTTTATAAGAACTAGAGATTTTTGCGGGTTTCCTACTTGTTTATTAGTTAACTACCCAACTACAAATTCTTAGTTTGTGAACTCTTTTGATCAAGCATTCGCCCCGGATGGTAGCCTTTAAAAAAAGCCGCAAAAACTCAATAAGTAATGTAGTAAGTAGTGGCGGTTTTTAAATTTAAATTAATTATAAAGCCCACATACCGGTAAGAAGTACTGTTACTAAGGCAACACTGAGGAAATCGCGATATTTTTGAAAAAACTGGGTATTTCGAATCAATTGCATCATGAAGAATCAAAAAATAAAAAATTAAGAACAAAAATCGAATGAGTTTCTTCACTAGTTCACTTTATCTGATTTGCTTAAACAAATTATCGACAAATAATCAAAAAAATTAGATTTTACGTGGGGTGACGGAGCTCTCTTTTTGAAGGGAAAAAAGAAAAAGAAAAACTTTTTTTATGCATTTTTCAAAAGGAAATCCAGGAAATTTATTTTAAATAAAATGTCATAAAAATGAGATCGAGAAAATGAGAGGAAAGGCTCACGAAGCGAGCGGAAAAGATTCGGTTAGCTTTTTCGCTTCCGTTTGCTCGGATCTTTTTCTGTCTAAAATTAAAATTCGAAACGCTCATAGAAAATCTTCTCGCTTACATCGAAATCTGTCTGTAAAATACTTTCGATACGGTCGATAGAGGAGGATTGTGATGAGCGTGAAAACAGAGCCATAGAAAGTGCGAATAAACGACGAAAAGTCCATGACAGCTGAGGTTTTCTGAGTCAAATGAAAAAAGGGAAAATTACCTTCTGATTGCGAGGATCCAAGTCGGTTCACAATTAAGCGGGCCGCGGTTGGGCTCGCGAAAAAAAGAAGTGGAACGAGAAACTAGAGACATTTCAGATTTCTATCATCTATTAATTCTTTTTATTTCTATTATCTAATAAGGGGAATCAGGAAATCAGAGTCAGAAGTGACTGTGAGATTTCGGGAAGAAAATGATTTAAAATCTTATCCTCATTACATTTCAAATAACTGATAACGAAAATGACACAAGTCGAGTACGGCGAGTACAAGTACGGCACAGTACACAGTACACAATCGAGAACGGCGAGTACAAGTACGGCACAGTACACAGTCGAGTACGGCGAGTACAAGTACGGCACAGTACACAATCGAGAACGGCGAGTACAAGTACGGCACAGTACACAATCGAGAACGGCGAGTACAAGTACGGCACAGTACACAGTCGAGTACGGCGAGCACGATAGCGCTTTTAGTTTTCGCGTACGGGCAATGGTTTTCGAGAAAAACGCGTTTTAAATTTAGGCATTTACTCGGAAAACGAAGTCTAGAGGTTAAAAGATCAAAATTTATCGTTAAAATTCCAAATTCCTAAAATTCGATTTTTTTCAGATGTTTTAAAATATTAAAAAGATGTAAGGTCGCAGTAATTTGCCGAAAACGCTTTTTTGTTTCTGCTCATTGCCACACAAAGTTATGTTTCACTCATTTTTTAAAAAGAACTCTACTTTTGTTAAATTGTTATTCTCATTACATTTAACATACACTACTGGACAATGAAATATCATATTTGAAAAAAGATCGCCACTTTCGCGCGTCTGTAACTCCCTTGTCTTTACCGTATTACTAAATATTAATATTACGATTGTGTAGCCCTTGAAAAGAGCTTTCAGAAAATGCATAGCACTAAGAGTTTAAACGCAAAGACAAGGGAGTTACAGACGCGCGAAAGTGACGATCGTTTTTCAAATATGATATTTCATTGTCCAGCACTGTAAATTCTAGTATTGTCTAGCAGCACGAGAAAAACAAAAAAAACGTTTCTATTGGGTTGGGGAGAATGAGTCGGCGCCCAACTTTAAAGGGACTTTTTGCACACATAAAGCCTTCTTTAAACATACGTTTGGTTTCATCAAAAGGATCCACTATTTCTCTACAAAATCACTTTTGAGAGATTCCACAAAGCTTTTCTTTCGTGGAGTTTATGAACTTCCAAACGCAGCTGGTTAAAATGGCAAAGAGTCCGACTCATCATTTGAACAGTTTCTTTCACATAAACCTTCTTTGGTGTTTATATTAAAAAGATAGAGCACATTGAATTACTTAAGTTGCCAAATTTGCAGGAAGATCCCACCAATGGTTTTTTCTAGATCACAGTTTGTAGTTTTTGTGAAAAAATGGCTTTTTCTTGAGCGGAGGCGCTGTTTGAATTTTCTTTTAAATGTGATTTTGTAGAGAATTAGTTAACCATTCTACTCATATCAAACGCATATTATTTGACGAAGTCGAATAGAAGTTTTAGACATTTTTTTTCATTTTCGGCGCCGACTCATTCTCCCCAACCCAATAAAAGTCTAAAACAAAAAAGCAAAAAAATCCGCACCCGGGGATCGAACCCGTGAGCAAAAGTTGACGTTGGTTTCACAGCCGAAATGACTATCCATTACACCATCGGCTTCTTCTCAAAGAAGGGGAGAAGCCTATTTTAACCAGGCTCCACTTTCCGAGTAAATGCCTAAATTTAAAACGCGTTTTTCTCGAAAACCATTGCCCGCTCGCAAAAACTAAAAGCGCTATCGTACTCGCCGTACTCGACTGTGCACTGTGTATTGTGCCGTACTTGTGTTTGCACCACATTTTCGTTCCAAAATCTTACGGTCACTTCTGACTTATAAGAATTACCTATAAGAATAAGAATTATAAGAATTACCTGTATAAAGCTGTTAGCAAAAAGCATTTTCTGTCTTCTGATACACGTTCGCGATAAAGTCTCGATTTGAAACGAAGATAAATGTCTCCACATAACACAAAACAGTGCCAATAGACAGAGGAATGGGATTCCAAAGCACAAGATGAAACTCACATTGATCGGAGTTCTTGTTTTCACAAATATACTACGAGATGTTGAATTAACCGAGTACTCAGCCTAGAAAAAAATCGGATTTATGGATTTGCATTGAAACCTGTATAAACCTCGTTTCCGCAAAGGAAAAAATTGATTGAATAGGCGGTGATTGCAATTCCATTCATCAAAGAAATCACGGCAATTCCTCTAAACAAATAGAGGCAAAGTTCTCTCAACGCAAATTTCAAAGGTTGTTTGCGAATGCGAGATTTAAAAGATACAAAAGACACACATTACTTGCAAGTTCACTGTCAAGACTTGTTACTTGTCAAGACTTTCTAGACAAAACTCTGAAAAAGACTTGCCAAGATAATATTGCATTACATTTAAAATAATGTTATCTCTTGTCTCATTTCTTCGCTATCTCTTTTTTACTGTCCTCCGTTTGCTTACTTTGTCACCAAGCGCTTTGAACATCCATTAGACAGAATCCGAAACAAAGCCCCAATAAAGAGACCATGCAAAGCAAAGCCCATATGCCAAGCGATCACGAGGAGAATCGTCTTAAAAAGAAACTCCTTTCGATTAGAATTTCTTTCTCTCACTTACAGCTTGCACCCGAACATCAACATTCCAAAGGCTCAGCAAACCGACATATTGAAAGAAGGGCAATCCGTTCTCGTTGACGATTGGTTTCACGGGAGAGAGCAATCCATGTCCGAGATCAAGCGCAACGGCGCCTAACTTAAAGTTTTCACAAAGTTATGGAAAAAACATTTCACCAACATTTGCATAAGCAATGTACTTTGATTGAGTTTTCATTTCCTTTGGAGCTTTTGATAACACAATAAAAACACAGCCGACGTTAAGAATTGAGCATAAAGCTGAAAAAAAACTGAATCAATCAGTTTTCCAGATTACAGATTGTTTTGAAATTTAAACAAGAAATATGTTTTCTGTTTTGGCTATCTACTATATATAAAGCAGAAAAGACGCTTCTCTGTCCACCTGTGCGCAAACGCGACGCTCCGTAATTACGTTTGCTCTATTGGCTCTATTGGCTAACAGACAAAGATTCAGCAGACAAATATTCCGCTGCCAGGGTTTTCGGCTATGCGGAATCTGACTTTTAGGTCCATTTTTAAAAAGTTGGCGAGGTTTAACATGGGTGGTTACGGTAGTTTTAGCCATTTGAATGAGTTTTCCGCCTTCCCAACGGAAAACGCGAACAAAGTTTTCCGCTGATCCCTAAAATAAGACAATATTAAAGTATACAAAAGTATTCTTTATGCAATTGTTAACTAGTATTGCTAACTAGTTAACTAGTATTGTTAACTAGTTAACAATATTAGAACTTTGTTTATTTTTGTTTACTATTGGGTTGTCCAGTTATGAATGCGCGTTTTTTACTATTTTGTAAATTTCTCAAGATACCGAAATCAAGAAAAAGATATATATATGAGTATTATTCGAAAGCTGAAGATCTCCTCTACATTTTGATATAAAAAGTTTTTGAATTTGTTCAGCTTTTGGGCAAATTGACTGCACAGAAGAAGAGGTGGCCAAAAAATGGAAGGGTGCCTTTGGATCAAGTTTTGGCTCCGCTCAAATTGAGTTAACCGTTTGCCGTTTGGCCAATATATATATATCAATACAACTTTTTTTAAAAATATAACAATTTCAGAGCATCTTTACTTTACTTTTCTATTCTGGGCAGTTATTTTACACCATAAAACTTGAGGAATAGCTAAGCCGGAATGGATTTTTTCGAAAACGACCTTTCCCTTTGTGCAGTCAATTTCCCAAAAAGTTGAATGAATTCAAAAAAACTTTTTTACTCCAAAATGTAGAGGAGATCTTGAGCTTTCGAATGATATATAACACCCATATACATCTGTTCGATATCTTCAGAAATTCACAAAATAGTAAAAACGCGCATTCATAACTGGACAACCCAATATAATACTTATTCTACTGATAAGTTTTGAGCTAAAGCTTTTGTCGATCGAAAATTCGATTCCTTTTTCTACTGCCAACTTTTGAAAACCATCGTAATCTTGTATTTAGTTTGCGTCGCGAATAAGAGAAAAAGAGAGACATCAGTCCAGATTACAGATTGTTTTGAAATTTAAACAAGAAATATGTTTTCTGTTTTGGCACTACTATATATAAAGCAGAAAAGAGCTTCTCTGTCCACCTGTGCGCAAACGCGACGCTCCGTAATTACGTTTGCTCTATTGGCTCTATTGGCTAACAGACAAAGTAATCAGCAGACAAATACTTTGCTCCCGGTGGTTTTCGGCTATGGGGAGTCTGATTTTTAGGTCATTTTTTAGAAAGAGGCGGAGCTCAACATGGGTTACGATAATTTTAGTCATTTGAAAGAAAGTTTTATGCTAAAAAGTCGCCTGACGAAAACAATTTTATTCTCCGTTTCTTGTTGCGTTCCTTTTCACTTTGTCTTTTCGTTTTCTTTTGTACTTTTTAGGATGGCGTCGATCAGAAAATTGGCTTTGGTGGGGGAAGAGCAATTTTAGCTCGAATCAACAACTTGGAAGAACAATTGGCTAGAAATGGTTTATCTGGACGTAACGAGGTAAACTTTCAAAATTTTTACAAACATTAAATTGGTGCATAAGTCTTTACAATTTTTTCCAAACTTTTGTTTCCATGGAAGCGATTTTGCAGAGAAACAATTAGCCTTTTTAATAATTCAAATAGAAATTTTGTTTGTAGCGGCATTCTTTATTTTTAAAAGAGGTTTCGAAAAAAAGATTGTAAGGACTTATGCACCAAGATAATACATTGAGTTTTGTAAATTGTTTATTTTTAACACCGTCGAGCAGTTCAGCCATTGGCACGCGCTGGAAATGATTCATCTATTAGGTTGATGCATAAGTCTTTTCGTTTTTTTCGTACTTCTGTTAAAAAGTAACAAATTCACCAATTAATCTATAGTTTGCTCTATAAAAAAAGTGTTTTTTTGTTCAATTTGCATCTTTTTAAATGAATTTCGGTTCACTTTCAAGCAAATTCGAGAGTGAAAACGCCTTTTTCGTAAAAATCTATAAAAAACTCTACGGAAAAATTGGCTGAATGAATTTCTCTGAAATTTTGGCGAAATATCAAACTTTTTTTTCTCTATCTTTTATCTATTGACACGAAGATAGGTTTTCTTTAGCTAAGGTGTCTAAACCGCATCATCGAGTTAGCCCTTTTTGACTACCCGACTTCATACTCTCAAGAAAATCCAGGCATTAAATATTTTTAAACCCGTTTTAATGTTATTTTGCAGAAAAATAATTGGTTTTTCTAATGAAATCAACCGTAGTTTAATTCGTGCATTTGTTGGCTTGAAACGGCAGACGAAAAGGAACGAAAAGACTTATGCATCAACCTAATAGATGCGCTGGAAATGGTTCATCTAGATGTTATTTTTCTTTGTGATTATGATTAGATTTTTTTTGTTTAGACTTACAACATGATTAGAACAGTTGATGCTTTTCGGACTCAAATCCAGGAATTGCGAAGAAAAATCAACAGGACTTTTGATTTGTTTCAACAGGAGTTAAATGTTTTGTTAACATTTGTTAACAGTTGAATGATTGTTGTTAGTTTTTTTTGTTAATAAATGGTAAAGATCTCCATCAAAGTACCCAAAACGTAAAGGACCCCAGTTCCCCCTTTTTGCTGGTGATTATAATAAATTAAATTGAATAAAAACACGTACCAGTTGTGCCGTAGGCCAATCGAATAAGTCCAAAACGATCTTGAAACCACAACATCAATTAAAATCAATTAAAAATAGGTTTTCAAGCAAAGAATGTCAATTTTTGGAGAAACCCCGTGACATTTGGTACAATTACATTAGAAAGCAGCTTGACGAACAATGAAATTTGAGCCAAAACCAGCAATATAAAGAAATTGGAGACACTCGAGAGAAAAAAAAGAAAAAAAAGGGTTGGTTGGAGATAAATTGCCCTAATTCAGAAAAAAACAGAAAAAGAACATTCAATTTTTATGGAAATTCGGGTATTCTTATTGACGAATTCTTATTTTTATTCCCGAATTCTTATTCTTATTCTCTTCGACCAAAATCTTATTTCCAATGACACAATTGATAAATTAAAACTAGATATTGGAACGGGGACAAATTCAATTCACTTGGACGCATTTTGATGTCACCTCTCGATATTTTTTTCAATCTGAAGGAGCCATTTTTCGAGCTATACTGAGCCCTACAACATTGGGCTCGGCTAGTTTTGCAGTTTTTTGACTTTTTAAAAAATTGGTTTGGTGGATTTTCTTGATTTTTTTGGGGGTGGAATCAGCATAAAATTTCCTATCGAACAAAAAAAAACTGAATCTCGAAATTCGACCTGGGCGTCGAGAAAAGTGGTTGTGACAGACAGACAGGCAGACAGACAGACAGACAGATAGGCAGACGCCTCTTCTGCTTTATATATAGTAAGATAATCAAGACAAAAGTTGTAGATCAAAAGTCAAATATTTCTGGGCCAAATATTCACAAAGGGTGGAAAATTGGCTTGCCTTATGTTCTGAAGTGATTATTGAAATCAGGAAGTAAGCCATTTACTGATTCATCTGTTGAATTTTTTTCTCAATGCTTTATCACCATTTGTTTTTGATATTTCTTCACATTTACCTCACAAATTCTCTCTTTCTAGTTCACTTCAATGTTTTTTTTCTTGTTTGAGATTATTTTTCAAGGATTTGTTTATTCAATAGCCCACACATCGAGATTGATCGCTCAACAAGTATTTGTTGTTCACCGTTTATTGTTTGTTGTAAACGATTCATCAAAAACTTTATTTCTTGCTCGTCGAACAGCTTTGTGTGTCACTGCATGCGCGCTGAACGAGAGCTCGTCTTGAGGCTCTCTCCAAACCTCGTTTCATCGCTTTTTTCAACAAGTAAACATTTGTCAACCTAAAAATTATTACTATTGCATTCTTAATCTCAATTAACCCTTGAAAGAATAGCCCTCCCGCGTACATGAGCAAGTTGCCGACATAGAAAAAGAAATCGGACACCCAGGGTAACCATTCGTTAAAAGTCACATAGATGAATGGACAGAGGAGATACGAATAGGCATAGGGAACATTGTTGACGATGATCTGAGACAATATTTTCTGCTGCTATGTAAGAGAGGAAGGAACCTGTGCCAGCAAGAATTGCTCACTCGAATAGGCGACCACACGCTGCGTCTTCTGAACGGAGAAAGCAATTTCGGAAAAGGGTATACAATTTATGTATTAGCCCAACTCCATATCTTCGACAACTTATCGGCAAAGTACACTCACCCACATCTTGTATATCAACATGAAATCGAGGGAAATCGTCGCCGCAACCAAAGTGATTCGAACACCAACTGGAACTCTTGTTTTGGATATATCGACAATCGGCTTAAAAATACAAGGTGCGCCAAAATTACGAGCACACATTTTCAGCGTTTCAGCAAACGTCGCAATCAATTCAAAAAACCCTAAGTGCTGTATAGAGAATTGAAGCCTGAATCCTTGCCTACATTTCTATATCAAAAGATCTTTCATTGAAATTTTGCAGCCCATTTTTCAGACCCTCAAATGAGGGACTATGAAGATTGTGCCGCTGTATAAAAACGAAAATTGCGCTGAATGGATTTGCCATTTACCAGGGGCTTCGCTTTTTGCGAGTCTGGTATCAAATTGTAGCCGGTTTCAAAAATGCTCCTATAGAATGGGTACTATACAACTTGTACTAAACAATAGTTTTTCTAAAAGTTTTTTTATACCATCGTGTAGCCCATTTGAAAAGCTAGATTTTGCTATCAGACTTGCACAAAGCAAAGGCGTCTAATCAGGTTAAACCTTCTGTCTATGTCTACAATGGAATGAAATCTGCTGAAAAGGTGTGCCCGTAATTTTAGCGTACCCTGTAGGTATGGGGACTAGATAAAAAAGGCACTAGTTTTGAGCTACATACTGTGGGGAAAGTGAAAAGTTTAGTTGATTATCGATACCAAATGGTTGGTATCGATAAATCGCCATAAAAACCATAATTTCAAAAGACCCACACAGCTTTTCGAGCCATTCTTTCGTCACAAAGCCGATAAGACAGGGTACGAGAACTTGGAGTCTCTCGTGCTGTTGAACGCGATGAAAATAGCGACCATCGAAGGAGAGAGCGAGAAAACGATTGAGTGTCAATGCTGAATCGATTTACTTACAAAACTATCAGTTGGCTGCTTAATCGTTTATGAAACAAGCTGATAAGATCCACCTCATCCGCGGCTGAACGTTGGCTTATCACTCAAGGCCTTCTACCCAGCCCAACATTTGTGTGTTTCGATAAAATAATATTGAAAACGTGAAAGAACTGTCAACAGAGTCGAACGGATCCTTTCACTTTGCCGGCCGCCTTAGGGACGAGCGCGCTAACCATTCCGCCATGCCGCTATCTGATCAACCTTTGAGGCGGATGACTTAAGAACTTCTCACGCCGCAAAAAGGGCCGCGGTGAGGCCTCAATTTTAACTTCCAAGGGAATGTCAACCGGTTGTGGTGGCCAAATGGCACGAGCCATATACGGCCCGACGTAGAATTTTGCGCTGATTCCGAATATGGTTCCCGTTTCTGCTATGGAGCACTTTGTCAAAATTTATAAGCCTGCAAAGATTGTACGGAATTTTAAAAAGCATCTGTTGAGGCAGATTTCCCGGAGCCTTTAGGGATCAGTGGTGGCCGAGTGGTAGGCGGCTAGAATACAAAGCAAACCCTCTATAGTTCAGGTCCGCAGTTTTTTTTTTTGCTTTTTAATTGATCTCCATTTCAAATAAAAGTCTTTTTCAAACTACTTCTCATAAAAATGTTTATTTTAACGATTAACGTTGGTAGTACGCCGGTTTGGGGAGGGGGTTGGGCGCTTTTTTTTCTTCAAAACCACTTTTTCTGCAGTAGTTTTATGCGTAGATTCCGAAAAACACAACGAGAGCTTGGGAAAAGGCGTTTTAGTGGTTGAAAAGGTGTTGGGGCTTCAAAGTGCGTGCTTCAAAGTGGCTTCAAAGTGTGATGAGAGATACTTCGCTATGTGGAGCCCAAGCTAGAATTTCTAAGGGCACGATTTTAGAAAACCGACTGAGCCAAATAAAAAGTGCCAAAACAAAAAAGTCTTGTATTTTGGTATAGTTTCTGGTGTTGAGGGACATTTCCTTCCGGTCCACCAAAAGTGTGACGAAGATTTGATTTTTTATAGATCTTGATTCCTCTTTCCCACAGATTTATGCAGAGAATGAACTCACTTAATTGCAAAAACATTGAGATGTATCCGAACGATGAGAACATTCGTTGTCCCCAGATGTAGCTCTGTTTCAATAGACCGCTACACTGAGCAAACGAAACACCAAAAAAAGAGCCGCTTCTCTCCTCGTCCTTGAAGATGCTTAAACATTCGACTTTTTGGAGATAAAGCCCGACACAGGTCTCATAATTGAATCTTTGTGAGTAATCAGTAATTTGAGTAATGACTATCAACTCGAATTTAGTTTACGATTTAGGCTCAAATAACGATTTAGCTCAAAATATGATTCTTTTACTTTTCATACTGATTCTTTTCAATAAACTTACAATTCCGAGATCATACAATAGAAGGCAAGAGCGAGAAGCGCTGAATAGATCGAGCGAGCCACCGAATCCATTAAAAGCAAGAGATGGATGCTCTTCGAAAGGTATTTACTGTGCCAACAAATCCAGGCACTAGCCAAATTTATGAGAGTTGAGAAGATCGAGAACTGAATGTAGTCAACGTAGGAAAATGGTGTTTTTATTCACAAATCCTCATCTTTAGTTCTCTCCTTACCGTGAACTGAAAACAGGTGAATGTTGTTCGGAGTGTCTCGTAGCGGAGTGTCTTTTGCGTGATCCGGAACACGTCGATCACGTTTGGTAGCACGAAATAGATTGTGACGAGAACGGCTGAAAATGTTTGCTTTCAATAAGGAACCCAGTAAACGAGAAATGAGAGAAACTGCTCTTTCTTTTGTCTTTTTATTTTAAACTTTTTTAAACTCTTTCTATGTTCCAACTCATGATTTAATGAGTTGATCTAATGATCTAAGCACAACTTATTTTGTAATGACAACTTGTGATTGACGAAAACTCACCATTTATCGAAAGAAACGAGACGAGAATGAAGATGATCTCTTTGTGGACTCCTGTTTTCGTTTCCGTCTTTGAACCTATTTTTTGGAGTGTATTGAAACATTTTTGCAATCATTTGCACTCGCATTACGATCGCAAAGCAATGCAATGCAATCGCAAAGCAATGCAAAGCAATGCAATGCAATCGCAAAGCATTTGCAATCGCTTTACTATTTTACTATCTTTTTATAATCTCTTTACTATTTTTATAGGAGTTTTGCTACTATCAATAAACATACCCTACCGTAAATACTGCAATTGAACGGCATGTCGTTCTTCTTTTTCCCTCCCTCTCTACCCTGCCGTTCTATGAGAGGTTGCCCTTCAATTTTTACGGATAGCCCACGTTGCCGAAGCCCGATCCCCGATAATTTTTCGACAAAATCAAACTTGTTATTTGTCTCATTGATTTTAATCTATCTTAAACATATTTTATTCTAGAACTAAGCATTTTTATATTAAAAAATAACATTTACATAGTGGGAGATACATACACTACTGGACAATGAAATATGATATTTGAAAAACGATCGTCACTAAACGGTCGTCTGTAACTCCCTTGTCTTTGCGTTTAAACTCTTAGTGTTATACATTTTCTGAAAGCCCTTTTCAAGGGCTACACAATGGTAATATTAATATTTAGGAATACGGTAAAGACAAAGGAGTTACAGACGCGCGAAAGTGACGATCTTTTTTCAAATATGATATTTCATTGTCCAGTAGTGCATGTGATACAGCAAAATAAAACTATGTTTATAATTCAATTTATCAAAGATTTTATTTAACTCAAACAAAGTATTATATATCATTTGAAAGAAGAAGAATGCAACAAAATGGAACAACGAATTATTTTCTATCACTCCATCTTCTGATTTTATCAATTCTTAGTACTCTCCGCAAGACGCTGCACAAAACTTAGCTCCATTTTCCGCAGACAATACTTAATTCGGTTCAATAGTTGCTGCGTGGTTTTTGCTTTCCAAACGTTGGCATAAACTCACCCTTTCAAAATTGCCCAAAAATCTTCAATTGACCGAGCCTCTGGCAGTTTAGTCAGGTTATCTTCCTTAGCCACGTAATTTACGTTCTCCTGATCCCAGTGCTGCATCACAACTTTTGCGTAGTGGGAGCTAGCTTTATCCGGCAAAAACACGTAGTTGTCATTGTAGTTGGCTCGGATGTAAGGAATCAAACGCTTCTTAATGCACTCCTCTGGGTAAACGACACTGTTGATTGCAAAGTTGGACTCCTTGATGAGCGGCTCCGACCGACCGTTTGGTCCAATTGCTAGCCACGGAAAACCTTCTTCTCAAGCTTTGTTTTTGTTTTTTTTTGCACTGGAGGGTGTATTCTTGATGTCCGAGGTGTAGAAGAAGTTGTTTCCATTGACAGAAGAATGAGAAAGAGTGAAATATGATTCGTCATCAAGGACCCAAGCAGGATTAGAGAATTTTCGATACAATCGTCCACACAACTTCTTGGCATTTGCTTGTTGCTTCTCAGTACGTCGTGGAATCTGTTGTTTCGTGCGAGCTTTTATTTCCAACTTCTTCAAGGTTCTATGATAGTCGGCTGGCTGCATTTGAACTGTTTAGTTGCTTGGCGTTGTGAGATTCCGTCTTTGTTATCCATTGCTTTCCTTAGGGCAGCTTTTTTGCTTGTAGTCATCTTTCTGTTGGGGCCACTGGATCCTGCCTGACGAACTGCAGCCAAATTGAATTTGAAACGGTTGAGAATGCGACACATAGTTGCTTTGGGCACTCCTTCAGCTTGAAAATGGCGCACGGTGTAGAGTTTTTCGCATTGATGTTCGCAGAGTAGAAGCTGTACACTCTCAATCTCAACTTCTCTTACTTTGAAGCCATTTCTAAATTTCTGGTTTATTGCAGAAAAAAAACGAAGAGAACAAACAAAAACTAGAAGGAAAGCGCTACAAAACTGTGTGTTTACAAATTAATAGAATGCTAATACAATTATTTTCCGGTGCGTGTAATCGAGTCTCATTTTTGCCGTATCACCCATTATACAGGTGCATTTTGTTGATCAGTGATGTGAATCGGATCCGATATTCAGTTAATAGATTGAAGATTTTCCATAATAATTACAATAATTGATAAAATTTGCATTTTAATTCTATGTAAGTTTCTTTATTTGAATTTAAAAATTTTTGTTACTCAATTTGTGGGGGTAAACAACCGAATAATACCAACTATCACAATCAATAGAAAAATAAAACAAAATTAGTACTTAAAATAATAGAATAAGAAGCAGAAAAAGATAAAAATAATAAAATGTATGCTAAAAATACGTTAGTTGCTTGATTTCTTGAAAATTACTTAATTTTCAAGAAAAAATACATTTAAAACGTAGTTACGTGTATATTTGCGTAGGGGTAACGTTCTATTTTTTTTTCCCTCCCCTTCTACCCTGCCTTTCTAATAGAGTTTGCCGTTCAATTACAGTATTTACGGTAAGTTCTTTCTGTTACAAAAGTTTCACTTATGGCAAAAAAATCAGTCGGAAGTACCAATTTTCCTCCTCAAAGAAGTTCGCATTTTGTCGTCGATAAAAAGCTCAACAGAGAAGTCGAGGTTTTCAATTTCTCGAAAAACGGATCGTGTTTTCTTTCCATTGATAGACAACATCCGAAAAAATAGGGAATAACTAGGAAATGCTGCAATTTCGATAATAGAGTAACTTTCGATAATAAAGTTCTAATAGTTGTTCGCAATTTTTCGAGCTCTCTTCTATTATATAGAAGATGAATTCCGGTGAAGGGTTCCCGATGAGTGATGAGGCCAATTAAGTGGATGGAGGAAGCCGCACTGAAACATTGAACGTTTTGGAGCATCCTCGAGAATAAATTTGACATTAGGCTGATGGGGGGAGCACCGCTTTCTCTTCTTCTTGCTTAGCGTCTACAAGATCGACATTGCAGCATTTCCTATTTTTTCGGATGTTGTGGATCAATGGAAAGAAAATTAGATCCGTTTTCGAGAACTTGAAAATCTCGACTTCTCTGTTGAGCTTTTTATCGGCGACAAAATGCCAACTTCTTTGAGGAGGAAAATTAGTACTTCGAACACTGAAATCCGCAAACACTGAAATCTTTAAAATGTTTTTTGTCAAAAGTAAAACTTTTGTAAAAAAAAGAGCTTTGGGTATGTTTACGGATAGTAGCAAAACTGCTATAAGAAGATTTTCTCCCAAATAGTAAAGAGATTGCAAATGTGTCGCTGAAAAATGACTCTACAGAGTTCGTGATAATTATTGACTGCCTTTAAAAACCTTGTTGCTTGTTTATTAACCTGATTTTGGAGACAGAATTCATTTCGAAACATTCAAAGCAAACAGTCAAACAAAAAAAAACTCAATAAAACTCAATTTGGCCTCCTTTTGATTGAATGCACTTATGGAGACCAGGAAAAGCGTCGACCGTTTGCTGCAGTTATCAAGATCAGCCCAAACTCTGAGAAAAGCTGCCTTCAGACTGTTAATTGAGTTGTGAGATGAAGCACAGTCCAAAATGGTCCACACTGAGCAATCCAGCGGATTAAGATCCAGGCTGTTTAGAGGCCATTCTTGAGAGGAGACGAAATCGGCCAGATTGTTCTCTAACCATCGTTGCACAATGGAAGCCGTGTGAGTGGGCGCTACATCCTGTTGAAAAACGTAAGGATTCGCCTCAAAGTGTGAATTGAGCCACGGAAGAACTTCTTTAATTAAAATAAGATTCAGATAAAGTTAAGATTTCAGACAGTGATAGTAAGTGGACAATAATTATCACGCACCCTGGATTCACTCGTGTGTGTCTTTGGTGTAATCTAAACTTTCTAAGTGCTCAACAGGGCTATGCAGACATCCAGAACGGACATTTTCAAATTTTTTTGGATGTGGATGTGGGATTTTAAAACAATACCATGAATTTTCCTTGTAAAAAGTTTAAATTTTTTATTCCAGCTTCTATTGAATAACAGTGTCTGTGATGTGTTTGTCGCAATACTCTTCGAGATCCTCACCACAATACGAACGAGATGACACAAGAAACACCTGGAATCCATTATGTTCAGTTGTTCAGTATGGATTTTTCTTGAAAGTTTTGCCATTTATGGACTTTTCTTGAAAAACATAATTAAATTACCTACTAGGTTGATGCAAAAGAAATTTCGGTTGGTATGAAATGTTCTAATTTCTCTAATCTTGAAATCTTATTTCATTTTCTTTTGTATATTTGTACTTTTGGATATTTATTTGATTTTTACCCTTTTTCTGAGTCAGAGCTTTCACTTTTTAATTGATATTTGCTTTAATGTTGTCTAGCTGGCGGAATATCAACGTGCTTGTTTATTTCGAAGTATTAGAGCCCGGGAAAACAGTTGATTCCTTGTTTTATTCAACAGTTCAAGAAGATTGACCAAATTTTGCATCAAAAGGGTTGTCAATTTGTCTGTCAATTGTCAATGTCTGTACTGGACTGTCAATTTCCTCCGTGACAACTGCTCAATGGCTCAGCAAGCTCAAATGCCAATTCCAACTCCAAAGTCGGATTATCATGGGCACAAAGTGATGTTGTCTTGCTGGTGGAAGATCTTGTTTATCTCAAATTATTAGAGCCCGGAAAAAGAGTTGATTCCTTTTTTTATTCAACAGCTCAAGAAAATTGAGCAAATTTTGCGTCAAAAGGGTTATTAATTTGTCTGTCAATTGTCAATGTCTGTACTGGACTGTCAATTTCCTCCGTGCTCACACTGCTCAGAAAACGAAAGCGAAAGCTTGTCTGGAGTTAGAGGAATTAGGATCGAAGGTCTTACCGCATGCGCCATATAATCCAGACTTATCACCATCTGGTTTCCACCTCTTCAGATCGATGCAACATTTCATTGCGAATTGCCAGTTTAAGAATGCACAAGAAGTCGAGATTTGGGTGACCGACTACTTTCAATCACAGAATCAAGAGTTCTTCTTCGATAAGAGGATTTGCAATCTGAAGCAATGTTGAAGGGATTTTATAGATAACGATGGTGCTTATTGTTTTGAATAAATTGTTACCTAAAGGAATTTTGCTTAAATTTAATGTTTGTAAAAAAAGCGAAATTTCTTTTGCATCAACCTAGTAATTGGGTAACAAGAAAAAAAACTTGTGGGATTTTTGCCAATGATAGACTAAACAATGTTTACTTGTTTTCCATGCGGACACTCGGCACCGACTTGCTCAAGCCATCGCCTCGACTGATCGGCTAGAGCTCGAATACAAGTCGAGAGACAATCGATCCCGACACTTTCCTCGTTTTTCCATGGTGAAAACTCGTCCTCACGAATCACCTCCCAGCAATAGAAGTTACTGAATTAAGGAAATGTTGGTAGATTGTGTTTTACAGACTTTTACGTTCAATTCTATTTTAGATAGTTAAAAAAAGCTTTAACTTATTAGGGTGATAGGAATGAAACCAGCACGCACATATCTTTCTAAAAATAAAAAGGTTTCAAACTTTAGCGAATAATTGTTGTATACTGTTCGAAAGCCATGAGTCTCCTCTACAAAATAGTGCAAAAAGATTTTGAATTGGATTGATTATTGAAGACTTGGGTGAATTTTAAATTGAAAGGTTAAAAAGGACCATTTTCTGCTACTCGACCTGCAGTTACTTTTTAACATCCAAGTCTTCACTAATCAATCCAATTCAAAATCTTATTCCATTATTTTGTAGAGGAGATTCAGGGCTTTCGAACAGTATACAACAATTATTCGCTGAGGCTTGCAATCTTTCTATTTTTGGAAAGATATGTGAGTGCTGGTTTCATTCCCACCAGCCTAATAGTTTTCAAAAAAGCTCTAACTTACTTTGAAATGGGAAAAATGTCGAAGATGAACTGCTCGAGTTTGATGGCATTTGGCTGGAGGCTACGGTGAGTGACTCCATGCTCATTCACACAGTCGACCCGTTTCACCGCTCGATGATAGGGCAATTGAAAGGAAGAAGAGTAGACCCTGAAGAATAATTAAGGAAAAATACTTGGCTCTTGTGTAGTTTCCGGGTATTTTGAAAGAATCCGGGTATTTTGCAAAAATCCTGGTATTTTGAACGGATGGTCAGGCTTTGAAGGCCTATAACTTTTTCTAGAGATCATATTTTTGTTAACTTTTTATTTCATTGTACAGAGGACATTTTAGGCTTTCAAATGATACCAAATAGAGCTTGACAGGCTTTTTCATTCCCATGCAAACAAGGCAACACAACGCCCGAGTTGGATAGGCCTCATTTGCCCAGAGTTCTGATTTTGATTTTCTGATTCTGAATGGTTCTGAATGGTTCTGATTTTCTTGGACTGGATTATCCAATCAAGCTTTATTTAGTATCATTTGAAAGCCTTAAATGTTCTCTATACAATGATATAAAAAGTTAACAAAAATATAATCTCTGGGACAAAGTTATAGGCTTTCAAAGCGTGACCATTCGTTCAAAATACCCGGAAACTACACAAGAGCCAAGTATTTTTCCTCAATCATTCTTCAAAGTTATAAGCCTTCAAAACGTGACGACCCGTTCAAAATACCCGGATTCTTTGGAAATACCCGGATTCTTTGGAAAAAATACCCTGAAACTACGCAAGAGCCAAATACTTTGTTTGCCTATTCCTCAAAATTTTTCACTTCACTTTGTCTTTTCATTATTACTGGTTTAAGTATTTACCGTTCCAGAAAATTGAGCTCAAAAAAGTGAATGTTGATGCTGCCAGCCCGATAGAGCAACTTTCCGTCATCGTCCCTTTGTGCTTCGAGATCGCCAAGCTCCGAGTACTCGATGACACGAGGCTGTCTAGTCTCGTTTATTCAAAGGATTTTAGTTACCGTACCCGTCCATTCTCCATGATCACACTGCCAACGAGGTCTCCAGGCTGTTTCTCGAGAGTCTTTGATGCACAGTCGGCTTTCTGATATTTGAATTTATCAAAATGAAAGCTGAAAAAACTTTCTCCAACATCATGCCAAGCATCGCCGGATCACCGACTCGACAAAGAACGTTGTCGACATTGTGAGTCTAAGAGGAAACCTCACTAAACCTCAATAAACTCTAAAATCTTTCAACCTGAATGTATTTTACGCCATGTGCTCGCAATTTTGGCAAATATTTGGCGAGCGCTGAATGTACTCCTCCGTGACCGTTGGGAGCCGTCGACAACTCATCTTTCTTCGCCAAAAATAGATCACCCGAGAAGTCAAAAGTCGGCAAATTCGACTGACTGAACACGGTGACCTGTTAAGTGGAAAACCATTTATCGATTGCCTATCCACTCACGTCATTTATCGATAAACCATTGAGTGGAACGATCGTCTTCAAGTGTTCAACGGTCGCCTCATGTGTTCCCCGTGACGTCATCACTGCCCAATGAATTTTGCCGGAGCTTCCTGGGAAAGCCTTTGCGGCCATTCCTTGCAGTCGACTGATTTTCGAAGCCTAAAATCTTTCTTTAGTTTCGTTGGTTAGTTATGTTTTTTCGACTTGTCTGCAACATTCTTTTTTTGCCATAGGGATTTCTGAGTGGTGAATTATTCAGTCATTTGTTTAACGCGATAGTTGATGCCAAGCCCAGTCTAGAGATTTTGGGTATACATTTATGGTCAAGTGTCTTTTAAATGGTTTTATAGTAAGTATTAGGTATTAAGTATTAGGTACTGGTAGGTATTAGGTACTGGTAGGTATTAGGTACTGGTAGGTATTAGGTACTGGTAGGTATTAGGTACTGGTAGGTATTAGGTATTAGGTACATACCAAGGTACATTACAAATACGTTACAAATACAAAGGTACAAAGGTATATGTATTAGTTACTTGCAAAAGAAACCGCGGGTCATAAAAGCCATCATACAACGACTGTAAGTAAACCCGGCTGTAAAAGTAAAGGTGATCCGGCTTGATTAGTATTTTTAGAAACCACAATATTTTCTTTTTTAACAATATAAAAAGAATTTTATAAAGATTCTTTTTGGAAGGCCAGTGGAATTTCCAAAAAAGGCATCAAAAATGACCTAGCGGAGCCGAATTTCAACTCAAGATTTCTCCACGACTTTTCAATAAATGTTTTTTCACTAATATGAAATGAAAGAAGTTTAATTTTAAAGTCTAACTAAAACTATTTTGACAATAAATTTGACGAAACAATAAGATACAAATCAGATTTGATTTTTGCTTATTTTTTTGTTATAACAACTTTTGTAAATAAGCTTGAAAACTGAATTTTGACGCTTTTTATAACACTTCAAATGAATTTTTATCATGGAATAGTCCACCAAATTTGTTTTAGTTTTTTGTAAATAACTTCTATAAAGTTTGGGCTTCTGACCTACAATAATTTAGACGAAGGTTTCAGCCACCCTTTGTTAGGTTGGTAGGAATGAAACCAGCACTCACATATCTTTCTAAAAATAAAAAGATTTCAAGTCTCAACAAAGAAGTCTTGTATACTGTTCAAAAGCCATGAATCTCCTCTACAAAATAATGCAAAATAAGTCATTGCTAAGTCGTTTTTGGTACCTTTTTGAAACGTCTATATTCCGCCCAGAAACGATCACTGCAGAATTCTATTTATGCCGTTAAAAAGAAAGGATATTGTGGCTTCTAAAATACTAATCAAGCTGGATTCTCTTTACTTACAGTCGTTTTATGATGGTTTTTATGGTCCGCTGTTTCTTTTGCAAGTACCTAATACCTTTGTATGTACCTAATACCTACCAATACCTAATACTTAATACCTAAAACCTACCATAAAGCCATCTAAAAGACATTTGACCATAAATGTACACCCAAAATTTCTAGACTGGACTAGGCATCAACTACCCAGTTAAACAAATGACTGTACCTAATAAAAAACGGTTAATTTTCACTCAAATAATAACGCTTCTCGAGTAGTTTGATCAACTTTATATCCTGATATCCTGATAATGGCACAAAAGAGTTAAAAGCCTCCAGTAACCTGAAGAGCCAATAGACTGTCGCCTTTGACCACGGACACTCCATTTTCGACCGGCAATCCAAGTGGAAGAATTCCTTTGGGCTGTAGAGATCCGAGTCTTGATGCCTGTCCACCAGCCAACACCAACACGCATAACTCATTTCGAGAGATCGCCTCGAGGCCGACTTGGAAAAGTCTGGAAAAGGAGACTTGTCAAATCAGTTCAGCGATGAGAAAATTGGGCACTTTAGCATTAAACCCCCGCCCGTAATCTGCATTTTAAAAAATTCGCACATGAAAATTCCTAAATGACATACATTACATAAATCAAACCTATAAATTTAAAGTTACACAAATTTATTTAAAGCTACAAAATTAAATTTAAGGTCCGATATCAGGGGTCCACGTTGAAGCAATTCTATCGAAAATCCACTCGTCGATGTTTTTTTGTCTTTCAGTTCAATTCTCCCGTCTCTCGACAAGTTCCTCCAAAAATCCATATCTATGGCAAAGTTCGACGCACAGTTCGCTTACCTTTTGCTGAAAAAGATTTCGTCAATTTCTACGATCTTGCCTATTCCGTCAAGATGTTTGCGAGCTCCCTCGAATCTGAGAAAATATTCGACACAGATCTGAGAAAGATAGTGATTGACGGTCCTCCATCAGACACGGTCCCCATCAGACGCAACGCAATAACAAAATAACGCAGTTACTTGCATGAAAAGGAACTTGCAAATTTTGCTGGCTAAGGAAATTTTGAGATGCAGATTATGGAGGAGGGGTTAACCTTATAGTTCCGAAAATTGTCAGCTCTCACCGATCGAATTCTTCTGTGGATAGCTTTGATGAGACGACATATCTACTGCTAGGCACTGGTCGAACATTGGCAAAGTCTGGCACATGAATTGATTTAGAATCGATGAAAGCTTTCTAAAGATCAGAAAATTTATAGGGGTTTCAGCAAAATTGACTAGCAAGACTTGGAATAAAGAGTAAGCAACGATAAGCAAAGCAAAACCACGAAATTTTGCGTTTAGCCTTTTTGATTATTTAGGCGCATTCATGAAGTGTAAATCATATTCTAAAGTTTCAAAAAAGTGCTTCTTAAAGATAGCCAATTAACAAGAATAACTGATTCTAAGAGTTACTGATTCTAAGAATAACTGATTCTAAGAGTTATTGATTCTAAGAGTTACTGATTCTAAGAGTTACTGATTCTAAGAGTTACTGATTCTAAGAATTACTGATCCTAAGAATTACTGATGTTCCATTAACTTTTGAGCTCAGACTTTATTCAAATTATTTTCATTTCCCCCACCTTGCATTCGTCGACATCAATCTCTTCAAGCTGGACGGTCAAATTTGTTTTTTGTTCCTCATCTAACTCGTCCCAAAATTGTAGCAAATGCTTTTGAGAACCGAGACAATCTGCGAGAGCTTCTCGAGTGCTCATTCCCTAATTTTATTACAGTCAAAACTCGATTTAACGACTCTCGATTTAACGATAGAGAATCCCGACCTCTTGAGAATCGTTAAATCGAGGTTTGACTGTATTTAAAGGCAATAGAAATAAAGTTTAAGTGAAGAGAATTCTAGGCAAAATGAATAAATACCAAAAAAATTTTTGAGCGTAATGTGTCGTGTTTTCATTAGAAAAAGAACACTTGACAACAAATGACAAAAGAGAGAATCAGGGACAATCTAGCCAACAAGAGAAAACGAGTGATAAGCCGATTAGGGAGAGCATTGAAAAGTTGCATTGAAAAGCGGAAAACTGTTGCTGGAACACTAATTGGCTTCAAAGGTTCACGAGCACAGCTTTCACTACATTCGACGAGTACAGCAATGGGTTTCCAACGTAGCTAGCAATGATAATAGGACGGATATTTCGAAGAGATTGATCTCGATTTCGAGAAACAGGAGAGTCTGAAAAAACTCAAGGAAAGAAAAAGATTTTTAACTTTTCCTTTTTGTCTAATGGGTTTTTATTGTAGTTTCATTAGATGAATTCATAGATTTTAATACATTTTCTTGTAATGAAATACTACTACAAATTTTAAGATAAGGATAAAACTTATGGATTGAATTAGTCGATTTCTTGAATAGTATCCTTGGTGTTCAGACACGCGCATTTTCGGCTCGTTTGTCGATGGATTTAAAGCCGAAATTCACGTCTTTAGCCCTTTAAAATCGACTTTTTCAAACGTTTTTTCCAACATTAGACAGAGCTTGTAAAATGCGATCCAAAAAACATTTGAAAAGGTCGATTTTATCGATTTTAAAGGGTTTAACACGTGAATTTCCGTTGTACACCTATCGACGGACCGAAAATGCACAAGTCTATCGCTTATCTTCTGGTCTAAAGACCAAATTTGCATTTGAAAAGCACATTTCCATAGGTTTAGCTCTTAAAAAAGGTTGGTAATTGGGTAATAAATTTTGTTTTTGTTAGCGGTTGAGTTCATTGATAGCTAAAGGTTTTGTACTAGATTAGAGTTTTCAATTGATATCAAAGACTTGGCCACAAAAACCTTCAATTTGGTTTCATGTGACTCAGCCTAATAGTTTAATACTTCAGTCTTTTGTTACCCAATTTTCTGATATGTAGAAGTAAAGAATATTGAACTACGCGATTCAATAGGCCGATTCATTTCCACTTGATACAAGATAAGCATCTTGACACCCTTCCGTATTCTCTCAAGAAAAGCATAACAGAGAAAGCAATAAGCGAAAAAACAGAGATTGTTGACGACGTGGAGATAGATTTGCAGTCATTTCATTTTTCAGAATAAAAGCCAAGCACAATTGATCTCAGCCGGAATATCACCTGTTAATCACCAATCATTGGAAAATCACCAATTAAGGGATTTTCACAAAACACTGGTGGATCTAAAAATCTTAAAGAAATGGTATTGCTCAATACTAATTGAGGAAATACGGTAAACACTTTTTCTGGCAACCTTTTCACGCTTCATTAACAAATTCACGACGGGAAGGGACCCACATGGTGGATCCCTCGATTTTTTTGCTAGCCTGAGTCATCAGATCGACCCGAACACTTATGAGACTACCAAATCGATAGTGGGGAATCCAAATCCGGTGTTAGATTTTAAAAAACTGTTTCTCTGACAAGATTTTGAGCTCCTTTTCAACTGGGTGACATGGCGCAGACGTCTCAGACGTCCCGTCTCTCTCTCGACTCTCGTCCCAACATAACATTTGTAAATTAGTAAATTTTAAATTAAATTAGTAAGCTTCAAGTAAGTTAGTAACAAAAGCGAATTGTTGCCTTCATGTTTTCTTCATGTTTTCTTCATGTTTTCTTCATGTTTTCTTTCTTAAAAAGAAACATTTAGTGTTGAAGAAGCAATAGAAAATGATCATTTATGGCTTTCATCCACGATCCACACAAATGATACCCAAGTTTACTTGAAGTTTTGCGAAGAGCTCATTCGAGCCGCCTTTGTCCGGGTGATGCAAGAGACACTTTCTTTTGTAGGCATCTCGAGGTTCTTTGTCACTGACATTGTGATCCTGGAAGGAAGGCGTCGGCGTTCTCTAAAGCTTGCGTCGTTGCAAGCGAAAATATCTCGTTTGTTAGCAGACTTACTAAAAGCTCGCCATCAAGGGCTGCTCCAACTGGACCAAAAACCCCGCCGATAGCAGCCCCACCAAATTCGCCACCCACCCATTCAACAAAAAGTTCTTCAAATCTTCAGATCTTCAAAAAAGTACTCTAAAAAGGTTATCGATACTTAATGAGGTCTCGTTAAGGGTAGTAATTTTAAGGTTTAATGTGATTTTACTATCATATTAAACACTATTTTAAAGAATTTGTTTGTTGGTAGCAAAATGAAGCTAATAATATTGGCTTTCTGATAAAAAAAGTTTTAGATTGCTAGCAAATTTCAGTGCGCCGATATGACTGTCCGAACGGGAGCAACCCCAAAATAACGTTAGCCATGTCTAGTGTGTATTTGCAGTAGGCGTTGACATTCTCGCATCCCTTGTGGCCATAGGATTGACAGCTTATCACCGGACCACAGAAATTGTCCATTCTCGTGGTGAGCGGATCTTGTTGATAGCAAATTCAATCCTCGTGACCGTTCTCCTGGCAAATCCAATCCTCCTGGCAGACTCCAGTTGCTATGTTTTCTTTTTGTCTTTATTTGAGAATTATTGTTGCAAAAGTGCAAAAAAAACTTTATAAAAGTGTGACAACATTTAAATTTAAAAAGTTAGTTGAATTTAAAAAGAGTTAATTTTCCATTTAAAAAGTGAATTGAAAGAAAAATTGACGGCAAATTTTGTTCCAAATTGAATCTAAACTAGATGTAAGCCTTTTAGAATAGTACTAATTAGGAAAACAAGCACATTATTATATTATGTACACTTCTTTGGAGTCTTTTCTATGGAGTTGGAGCAATTCCGGTGATCGCACATCCTGCCATGCAAGCTTGGAAACACCCGGGGGCAGCCACCGCGCCGATTCCACCCGTGCCAACGATCACCCCGACACCACACGCGGCCGTGCAAACTGAAAATTCGGGGATACTGTGTTTTTTTTGAAGGATTTTATGACTTTTTTGAGTAGTTGCAAGTAGATAATTTTGTGCAATTATTCTTTTGTCAAAGTACGAAATGATTTTATTCGTGTTAAAAATAAAGCATTATTATTCAAAAAGCTTACTTGTAAGACACGCCGCATAAACAACGGGACCCGAGGAAGCCACCGTAATGACAGAGCAGATCACCAAGAAAGCGAATAATTTGGAGACTAACATGATTTTGGGTTGATTTTGAAATCTCCCAGAGAATTGCTGGATAATTCAACCCAATTTTAGGCCAATCTTTTATACGAACCGGTTTTTCTGACATTGAAATATCCTGACGTCCGAATAATTTCAAAATTTCGAAAGCAAGATTGTTTTTCATGTGACTTTTTGACTGCAAAAAGTCTGAGGCAAGAGTTTTTCTCTTTCATAAAAAACTTCCCAAAAAGAGTTCAGCTCTAAATTCTTTTGTCATATTTTTATTGCGGGAGGTTTTGCTAAGCTGCTTGGCTTTTTGAGCTTTTCTTGGCTTTTTGAGCAGAAAACTTGCAACACCAAATTCAAATTTTTGAATGTCTCAAGAGTTTTGGGTGTTTTTTTCCTTGCATTTTACTAATTTTATCATCAAATGGCCGGCGTAAAACAATCTTATCAGGCTTGTCACGATTTATAAGGAAATTTGCACAGAAAGCTTTGTCCTTGATACGTAGCATTTCTTTGGCTCGAAATTATTTTCGACTTTGTCGTTTTTGACTTTTCGATCGTTTTTAATCCTACTTTCTTTGCTTTTTAAAATAAAAGCTATCAATTCTGCAAAGAAACTCGAACCTTCATTCATCTTTTATCTTCCAGAAAAGAATTTCTCATGTTGGCTTTAAAAATTAAATTTAAACCTTTAGAAACATGGGCAGTCAGTCGATTCTGCTCCGCTTGTTTCTTGTCTTTGCTCTCATTCAGAACGCTCTCTCCGGACCGGCGCTCTATTTCTTTTGTGTTGGAGGTTAGTTGATCAAATGAGATCAAATTTTGTAATATTTCATTTTCAATAAAACTCAAAAATCTTTTGGGCAATTAAACAAAAAGCAAATCAAGCAAAAAGCAAAAAGCATAAACTGTTTGCTCTAATTGTCAGTTCATTTGTGGCAAAGTTTTGAAATACATAAACAATCGAAATGGCAAAGCAAGTGAAATGGCAAAGCATCGATTTTTCGCCCTAATATATTCTTGCAATTGCTAGCTCATCTCGTTTAGGCTGCACGAGTGTGTGTAGTGGGGCGGTGATCATCGGCACCGGCGGCTGGGGTACTCCAGCGGTGGCCGCTTGTGTCAAGGGATGCGTCGATGTGTGTCTCATTGCGGGAATTGTGCCGACTCCTTGAACCTTCCTTTCCCGAAAAAAACCAGACTTCTTTTTGTGTCCATGACTATTTGCTTGCATCCGGAAAAAGATACACCTTGAAAATGCTCAAGGCTACTCTTCATCGTAGATTTTTGTTGAGAACAAGGTTCCTAGCACATTTGGTTACCCCAACCTTTTGAATTTCATTTGTAAAGTATTATGTTTAGAATTATGGATCATCTTTTTGTCTGTGACATTCTGAACTCTGGATATTTGTAATGCCGTTTTCCCTTGCCATTAGATTCACTTCGTTCTCAATTTTGTTCACTTTATCTCAAGTATTGGGTTTGGACGAAAAGTTCGTACGGTTTTTTTGGGAGAGGGTATCAAACTCAATCAATTTGGACGTGTAATAGCTCGTTCGAAAGCTAATTATCAAGCGGATTCAATGAAAAAAAACCGCTTATTGATTCATTGCGTTTTAAAGTTTTACAGAGGTTTTAGTAGAGATGGTCACCCTCCGATCAATAGATCGCTGGTTCGAACCCCGCCCACGACAAAATTTTCAACTTTTTTCCTTTTAAAAGCGTCAGTTTGAATTTCTTGCGGTAATTTTTGCCCCTAATTACGAAAAACAGGTTTTTAAACGAAAAACTGACGAAACGCTATTTTTAGGGCTAACCATCTCTACTAAAACCTCTGTAAAAACTTTAAAACGCAATAAATTAATAAACGATTTTTTTTTCATTGAATCCGCTTGATAATTAGCTTTCAAACGAGCTATTACACGTCCAAATTGATTGAGTTTGAGACCCTCTCGCAAAAAAACCGCACGAACTTTTCGTCCAACTCAATACTTCTCAAAGACTCTCATTTTTACCTGCTTTTGTCTTCTTTTTATGTGCTCAATTACTCGTAGATGTACGAAAGAAATAAAATTTCAGATAATGGACAAGGAAAACTCTGGACTGTTCAAGAGGTCAACTGGGGCGAGTGGAAACGAAGGTGATTGCAGTTTTATTCAAAATAGTTTTTATTTTTTATTCTTGAAACCAAAATAGTTTTTAAAACTAGGTAAAAACAATCTTGATAGCTTTCAATTCTCATATAAAATGTAATCTCTAACTAAAAAAGACAAAATCAAATCTAGCCGACCAGCCAACAGAGCCCCAAAACCCTTCAGATGTTCCCCCACTCGAGTCCTACACATGGCGGGAAGGGGGATTTGTGGGAGTGGCCGCTGCCGGGGCTGGGATCCTCGTTGGTCTCGGTGGAGGACTCATTGGGATGGCTCTTGGCGCACTTGGGCTCATCTCTTAAATATTTTCCCCTGTAACAATCAAAATATTAAGTTGTCGCTTTGTTCTCTTGGAAAAAATATTTTCGCGAGAATATTTTTTCCAAGAGAACAAAGCTATTAAAATTAGTCCGGTTTGTACCATTAGAAAGGTAAATCTGTGTTCTACAATTGGGCTTTTTAGCGGTTTTGAAAAGCTTTTGTTTTGGGGATTTTTCGGGGGCGCAAAGACAAGTAGTCAAAATCGAAACTCACCGACAGCTACCTTATTTGTGGAATCGATTTGGGATGTTTTTTACTCGAACTTTTAAACAACTCTTTTTGGATATGTCAGCAAATTTTCAGCCAAATCCGTTCAGTCTTTTTTTCAGAATTTCAGAAAATTTGACTGAAATGGTATAAATGCTTGGCCTTTCATTTGAGCAAAAATGCTTTTTTAATGCTAACTTTCCATCGAAAAAGTTCCCAACTGAACGATTTTTAACGATTTTGACTACTTGCCTTTCGATCCCTGAAAAATTGCCAAAATTGAAGTTTTTCAAAAACGCTGAAAAGCCCAATGTAGAACCCAGATTTACCTTTCTAATAGTACAAACCGGACTAATTTTAATAGCTTTGTTCTCTTGGAAACAATACTTTCGCGAAAAATTCGCATTCAAAACTCGAGAACCTAATATTTGTCTTTCAAAAAATAGCCTTTTGCTTTTGCTGCTTGAGCGCCTGATTAATTGAGTTTTTTGAAATTTTTGATGTCTTATTGGTGTCTTATCTTTGATGTCTTTTGCTTAGTCTTTGAACTAGCTAAACAAAAAAATTCAAACTGTAGCTACAACTTTTCAATCAAATATTTTTTAAAAAAACAATTCTTATCAAAAAAATTTAGCCTCAATCCATTGCCAGTGTTGGCATATCTTAGTTTGATTTTTGTTGGCAATTTTTTTTGTTAACTTTTCGTTATAGCTTCAAGTGTTAAATAAAAAGTTCATTCCTGTCACTTGTAAGCTATTCAATAAACATAATTTATCATCTCACAACAGCACGCAAAGATTGCAGTGTTGTTTTGGGCGATCTTGATTGGTGGCCACAGTTGAATCCAAAATCTTGGCTCGTTTTCCTTTTAGACGCTGAAAAAATTTGAAATTTGAAAATTATAAGTGCAAAATTTAACCTAAAACGCTCGAATGAAGAAATTTCGATAGACCTCGAATCTCGAATGAAGAAATCACAAAAAGCACGATGTGAAAATTGCCGGAGGAGTGGATGCCCATGATGAAAAAGCTATTCGACAAATACTCCTGGAGAGTTTAAAAATTTACTTTGAGTAATTGCTTTTGCATGGCTCTCGTTTGTTTGCTCAAATAAAGCGCCAAACGAGGGCGATCGAATTTGCTTCTTGGCGAACGTTTGAATAGATTAGGTTTTAAACTACAGTGCGTTTCACATCAATACGTTCACCCAACAAAATTGCAATATCTCAAGTTAGCAGCGTGCTACTGTTCAGATTCTTTTTTTTATTGAAAAGAGCGAATCAAAAAACTCTTGATTCAACAAATTACTTAACATTTTTGCACATTTAGACAAAAAGACTCATAAAGTATCAAAAACGACCGTTTCACATCAATACGTTCACTTTAATTTTAATAAATAAATCTTTTTGCATCTTACTTTTTGTTATCGCAATAATTTTATAATTTTTAGAAAATGGCACGAGGAACCAAGCTTTCTAACTACGAAATAGGCCAAATCGACAGGCTCCATGGTCAAACCGCTTGATCGCCAAGCAAATCAAGAGAACACTTTCTGTCGTGAACAATTATTAGAAGGATTCCGCTGGATATGGCACAAAGAAGCACACTAACTAACGCACTAAGAAGTCGATTACCTGATCTCAAGCCCATTAAGAACCTCCGGGGCATCATGGTTCGGGAAGTCTACAAAAACCGACAGCATTTTTCAGCTGTTGCTGATCTTAAAGTCGCTATTTGGCTCGCTTGGAATAATTTGGATCCGAACGTCTTGCAAAACCTCGTTTCTTCAATACCAAATCGAATTTTTCGGGTCATCAATCGATCCGGCAGTGTAATTAATAATGTTTCCTTTGGCTGAGGCGTTCATGACCTTGGCGCCCGTTCCCGTTCCGTGAATGGAGCAAAGTAGATATTCGTTAACGAATAGTAACTATACGAGGTAAGGTAGAGCCCAATGGGACACCAGAGCCCTTGTGGTAAATAGGTGAAGCCGAGGACAAAAAAGTTCAAAAAAGGATAGAGTAGAGGGAAAATAAGTTTGACCACGTTTTCAGCAGTTGCGAATAAAATATAAACAAATTTTTCTATTATATTTAATATCATTGAATCATTAAACTCCATGGGCCATACACAAATTTTTTTCTCGTTATGCACTTTTTCTAATTTCATTTCCAGTTCCAGTTCCAGTTCCAGTTCTGGTTCCAGTTCTAGTTCCAGTCCCAGTTCTAGTTCCAGTTTCAGCTCTAGTTCCAGTTCCAGCTCTAGTTCCAGTTCCAGTTCCAGTTCTGGTTTCAGTTCTAGTTCCAGTTCCAGTTCTAGTTCCAGTTTCAGCTCTAGTTCCAGTTCCAGCTCTAGTTCCAGTTCCAGTTCCAGTTCTGGTTCCAGTCCCAGTTCTAGTTCCAGTTCTAATTCACATTTTAAAGCTTACAATCAGCAACAACAGTTTGTACACGTTTATCTCAAAGCAACACACATACCGTATTGGCAGAGTAAAACGATCATTTGTTGCCGGGAAATAAATCGCAAACGGTGAAATCAAGAGACTCAAAAGTACTACTTAAACATTTATTTCATCTTGATTTTGACCATTCATTTCCGGCTTCAAAAGTACGTGCAATCAAAGAAGCAAATTGAAATCCCGTTTCCACAATGGTATTCGTGGAATATTGAATGGTGGTTTTGTTTCCGACGAAACTCCATTTGTTGTCGTAGCCGATTTTGCTTACGGCAAACATCCCTAAGTCGTTTTCTACAAAAATAAAGCGTTAGAGTGGCTTAACTTTGCACAAACTTATGTAAAAATTATCCAAACTAGGGAACTGTTTCAACTCGGCATCGAGTTGAGAAATGAGTTCTCAAAAAGGGCTTCTCAAAATTTTATGGGATACGTGTTTTTCAAATCGGAAAATCTTTCTAATTAGGCACCAATCGTATTAAAACGTCTAAATTTTGATTTTTTTTCGGTTTGTTTGAAGTTTTGAAGTTTGAAAAGCGCGGAAATACGATCGTTTTCTCGAAACAAAACGCTTTTCCTATAAACAAAAGCAACTCTGAGAGGTTTATCGAGCTCAATAATTCGATTGTCTGACAAAAATGACTTTATACTTCAATCTATTATGTGTTCTCCTCTTGACCTCTTTTTGTAGTAAGTTTTCTGAATTTATTTTCAATTTATTTATTAAAAGCTACGCCTTATGGTCAGTTGCTTTAAAACAATGCTATGTTTTACCAAAAACGGAAGCTTTTTTTGGCAATTTAGACTATTTTAGTTGTTTTTCTCACCTTCATCTAGCCTATTCACTAAAGAAAACGGGTCAGTTGTGAATCTGATTCAGATTCTCTCATCTCAAATGATGATATCGGAAAATCGTTGGAAAAAATCGAGAAAACTCTGGGAGAAATCCAGGCAAAATTGAGTCAATCCAATCCATCCGATCTTCGCACATCGCGATATCGAAGTCGAGAGAATGGCTGTGATGGGGGATGCGAGGTCGGTTTAATAGCAGCTGACTATTTGGCTTAACACGCTTTTGGCTTTTATTTTGCCAACCTGTTAAAAGTCGGGAAGTAATGAAACAAAGACAGTAAAAAAAGACAAAGCCGGAGTGATAGTAAAGCCCGTAAATAATATAGTCATTCAGTTCATTTCAACTGGTGCATAAGATTGGCGGACAAGTAAAGAACAAATTCTTTGTCCGATTTGTAACAACTTTCGGAATAGAAAAAGAAATTCCAAAAAAAGAATAAGTCTTCCAGATCGCGAAATTAAATTAACTACTGGAAAATGGTATTTAACAGGGGAAGATCAACCGGCTGTAGTAGCCAAATGACAAGAGCAATATACTATTCGACGCGGAATTTTGCGCTGATTCCGAATCTGCTTTCCGTCTTGGCCAAATGGTTCCCTATAAAAAGCTTTTTATAAAACATCAAGTCTTTACGACATTGATGAGACTCATGAAATAGGCAAGTTTCATTTGATACTTCAAACGATGCTTGTTTCAAATTTAATGTTTTGCCCTGTGCAGATACAAATTGTCTCGCTTTTATGTCTCGTGCCTGTCAAAACTTTCGTTAAATTAGAATCGACGAATGTCATCAGTGTGGCCAAGGTTCGAAATTTTAGATTTTAATGACTATTGTTTTATGTTAATAGCTAAAAGTAAACATTTTTATGAGAAGTAGTTTGAAAAAGACTTTTATTTGAAATGGAGATCAATTACCTCCAAAAAAGCAAATAAGAACGAAACTAGACTCGAACCCGAGGGGGTTTATCTTATATACCTTATATACCTAGCCTTATATACCTTATATACCTTATATACCTAGCCAACTACCACTCCTATACCTAGCCAGCCTTATACACCTAGACAGCATTGGTGGTAGCCAACTACCACCAATACTTTCTAAAATACACTGTGGTGCAAAAGTCCTGACCGGTCGCACTGTCCTATCAAGTCTGAACCATTTCGCCAGAAAAAGAACGTTAAAATTTTATGGTAAAAACGTTTTTGGATAGCTTAAACCTTCTACTTTTATAATCCAAAGAATGAAAGCAATAACATTTTATTTAACAAAAAATTTTGACAATATTCCGAAACGACTCAAAAAAACATGGTGCAAAAGTCTTGACCGGTTTTTTATTTCTTGATTTTTTTTTGGTATTTCTTGATTTTTTTTTGGTATTTCTTGTCTTTCTGCATAAACTTTTTGGTTCTAATTCTATTTTTTTTAGATGCCAGGACGATATCTATCAACGCCTGACAAAGAGAAAATTGTCGAGAATCGAACAAAAGGCGTTCGCGTGAAGAATGTGATGGAAACGTTCAAGTGTTCTGAAAAACAGTGAGACGTCTCGTGGCGCAATTCAAACAAAAGGAAACGTTCATAGAGCCCCAAAAAGAGGTCGATCACCAATTACAACACCAAATGAGGATCGTTCGATCATCAGGGAGCACCGAATAAACCCTAATCTAACGTCGAGCTATGGGATCAAGAAGTTGAAAGCTGTTTCTGGCAAGGATATTTCCCGATGGAGCATCAACCGTCGCTTGATTCGAGCAGGATTGCATGCAAGAAGACCAGCAAAACGACCCTTGACCATTGCAAAAACTCGGAAGCTGAGATATGATTTTGCAAAGAACTACAGTGTTGGACTTCCGATGACTGGGCCCGAGTCATTTTACCGATGAGACTAGAATTAATTTATACTACCCGGACGGTAACCATTTAATCAGAAGACCAATTGGACAACGTTATAAGCTCAAATACGTTAAGCCAACGGTCAAATTCGGTGGTGGGAGTATTATGTTGTGGGGTAAGTGTTCGCCCTATTTTTACTTACGATTTGTCTTTTAGGCTCGATGAATCGAAGTGTATCGGGACCGCTAGTGTTTATCGATGGAAATCTCGACGCTCAAAGGTACAAGTCAATCATAGAGAACAACTTACTTCCATTTGCAAACACGAACATGCCACAAGGATGGGCCTTATATCAAGACAACGCCCCTTGCCACAAAAGCCAATTACTGATGGGTCGAGTTGTCCGGCTTGCAAATGGAGGTAAAGTTCGCCTGCCCGGCTTTTTTGCTGCTCATCGTGTGGAATTGATCAAAGCACCTCCCTATTCGCCGGATCTGAACGTTATAGAGCATCTTTGGGCCCATTTAAAAGCCAAACTCAAGGGACGCCGGTTCAACTCAAAGGTCGATGCTTATTTCTTTATCAGAAATGTTTGGAGACAACTTTCTTTGGGAATTCTACGTGATTTGGTCGACTCGATGCCTAGACGCATCAAGGCAGTCATTGTCGCAAAAGGAGGACCTACGAAGTATTGAATTTTCTTGTGTTTTCTTGTACCGGTCAAGACTTTTGCACCATGTTTTTTTGAGTCGTTTCGGAATATTGTCAAAATTTTTTGTTAAATAAAATGTTATTGCTTTCATTCTTTGGATTATAAAAGTAGAAGGTTTAAGCTATCCAAAAACGTTTTTACCATAAAATTTTAACGTTCTTTTTCTGGCGAAATGGTTCAGACTTGATAGGACAGTGCGACCGGTCAGGACTTTTGCACCACAGTGTATTTATAGGAAATCTGCTTATAAATTCAAGGGATGATTTTTAAAAGCCCATACAAAACTTTGAGCGCTTAAAACTTTTGACAGAGTGCTACGTTGCAAAAACGGGAAGCAGATTTGGAATCAGCGCAAAATTCTGCGGCGAATAATATACGGCTCGCATCATTTAACAAACCCGGTTGACTTTCCCTTGTAAGTCTCGAATTAGGAACACAAAATGAAATAAGTTAAACATTTGCAAAAAGTTTTTGCTTGTTTTTATAGTTATTGCATAGTTAACAAGGATATTGTTAGAGAGATATATTTGTTAGTCGGATTTGTTATTGGATAGAGTGTAGTTATTGCATTTATTTCTAGTCGTTCTTCTCATCGCCTATCGAATGTTGCCGAAATCTTGGATTCGCTGACGGAAAGTGTAGTGGAAAGCAGGCCCATTGCTGCAGAGATTTGAATTGTCCTGTGCTAGGATGGAAAACGTAAAAACCTCTTTGAATAAATGTGTTTGATTTTAACATTTTGCCAACATTTCAAAAACCTAAGATCGGTTTATGGCTATTGCAGTCGCATTGGTTATTTCAAACGACTTGAACTTTGAAACAACGGTTCAAAACCGGGTTTTCGAATTGTGAAAGCTGATTTTCTTTTGTGTGATTACTGAAAGTTGTTTTTCAGCCATTTCATGGAGCCCTATATGGCTTTTTACTGTCTATAGACACTTTGAAATACCTAAAGATTGGTTTTAGTGCTTTAAAAAAAGCAAAAAAGTTTTTGTCATTGAGATCAGATACACGGCGGGGAGGGCGAGCACACTATCCACTACACCGCCCGGTCAAACTTCAGGATAAAGTAATTCGGCCCCATCTCGCGGCGGCGCTGTTTTTCCAAAAAGTGCTCAAGCTTCAAAAGTGATTTCCTCGAGTTGATTCCTACTATTGGTTCAGTAAAATTGAAAAACACGTTTCCCTTAAAATTTTGAGAGGCCGTTTTTGAGATGGATCTCATTTTCCAACTCGATGCCGAGTTGAAATAGTTTCCTAGTAAGCCTACTATTAGGCCAATGCGCATTATTTTAAACTAAATGATTCGGCCCAAGTGAGAACAGAAGTGTTTTTCTTTCTTCCAATTAGATGATGTTAAATGGTGAGTTTTTTGGGTTTCTCTAGGTTCTTATGGAACAAACCATCATACGTTATTATTCACCCACCATTCACCCATTTTTTGACTCGAAACGAGACGACCGACATTGGAACATTCCAGCCAGCAACTATCAGTGTTTTTTTGTTGCTTTTTGAGTTTCTTTCTTTAAAGAAGGTTTCTTTAAAAAGAACTGATTTTAGGGCGGCTTCTTGGAGACGTGAGAAGAATTTGGGCAATGGGAAAGTCATCCCTTGGAACTAACAGTAAATATTATACAAACAAATTGTTAAATGGTGAGTTTTTGGGGTTGGGTTTAAGATTTTTCCAAGTACAAAAGTTTTGATAAAGAATATATTAGCTTAGAATATTTTATTTTCCTATTTTCCATTTGCTTATCCATTTTTTTGACACCTCTGATTAACTTTCGCAAATTTACACAAAAGAGGAATACTTTAGGGGATGAAAATAAATAGTTTTGTTTTAAGAGATATAACGTAGAGTTTTCAGAAAATTGTTTACTAAAAGTTTGAAAATTTTATCAACAAAACTATATCAGCAAAGTATCACAAATGCTTAAAGAGAAAGCTTGACGAAACAGGATGAAACAAGTAAGATTCAAATAGGTGATTTGAATTGAAATGCATCCAGTAAGATGTGCATCCATTATGCATCCAGTAAGCTGTTGATGTTGGGTGTTGATCGAGGAATTCTTTGCAAAAAAAACCACAGTTTATAAGTTCCACTGCTGCTACTGTGAAATCTTGCATGAGATTTGATGAAAGAGACAACCCTGAATAACAAAATCAAATCTTCAGACAACCCTTTTTGAAATAACCTTCTTGGAGAGATCTTTGAGAGATCTTTGAGAGATTGTTGCTTTCCTTGTGGTAGGATCTTTTTAAGTTCTCCCCTCAAAGTATACAATTCACAAAACTCGCTTCTGAAAAAGCTCTAAACATTTCTTGAATCTTGTGCTTCTTTTTCCAGTTTCTCTATTCCCAAAGACTTCCTCATCAGTTCTTCTAAATTCTCAAAAAAATTTTCCGGCATTTCATCGTGAAAATTGAAGTGTTCAAATTGTTGCTTTGTTTGGGATAGGCTTTTTTTAAGTTCTCCCCTCAAAGTATACAATTCACAAGTATACAACTCCATAGTTCAGTGCATTTAGAAAATCCTAAAATTGGAAGCGGTCAAAATTTCATTCCCCTGTCTTTCATTTTTTCATTAAAAGTTTTTCTTTCATTTTTTCATTAAAACTCTTCTAACTTTCTTTAAATTCAATATTTTTTCATCTTTTCTTTTCAATCTTTTTTTCACTTTCAAATAGCAAAAACATTTCTCTAGATTTCCACATAGATTATATCAAAAATTTTGGTTTCAAAATAACCAAAGTCCTGGAAATTTTTAAATTTTAAAACTAGAAAACTTTTTCCAAAAGAAAGTTGAGTCAAAAATAGTTCTTTCAAGGCCCAAAACTTTTAATACAACTTTAATTGTTTGATTTAAATGTTAAACTTTTGAAAGTTTGATTTAATTTAACGAACAATAATGTAAAATATTTCATCAAATATGATATAAAGATGCTAATAATTGGATTTATGAGTAGTTAAATGATTAGGTAACACATAAAGACATTAATCGCTGTATTGATTTTCGAATTTGTCTGTGAAGGTTCCCCATATTAAAAACGATAACTCAGATGAATTTTTGGAGTTTCAAACAAACCAACTTCAACGCTCTTATCTCGGGAACTAAATTGCCAAAAGCGGATTAACTCACGAGAACTGAACTTTAACAACAAACAATAATTTTTGTTCACAATGCTAAAAAATTTATTACTTATTCCGATCCTGATTTGGCCACAAGTGCTCGGTAACAAATTGCCCAAAATAAACCAAAAATTTTCTTCTAGATGACTCATGTAACGTTTTGTTTGTGGTGGATGGCTCCAGTTATTGGGTTTGTTTTAAATTTCATCAATTTCATTATTCGTTAACCATAAATAGCTTTACGTTATCAAAATTGATTTACATGATAAGATCTAGTCATCCTCTACTTTTAGAACAACGGAACAGTAAATAAGACAAATTTTTACAAACTTGTGGGTCGAGCCCGGTGTATCAGCCCAACAGTCAGCCCAACGGCGAGAATCACGGCGGCTCCTAGTGAACAGACAAAAATACTCGGTAACAACCATCGTCGACGCCTCTTTTGCCCTATCCGCTCCATCTGGTTTCACGCCAAGTTTTGTCTTTTGGCTAAAGATTGAATCTGTAATTTCTTGAAATCTTTTCCTTCTTTCTTTTCCAAAACAGTGATCAAAGATTTTCATGAAAAACGAAAGCTTTTCATTTGATGAAAACAGAATAGAAAACTAGAATAGCAAAAGTTTTGTCCTTTTTAAATTCGCTTTAATTGAATTCTCTGATGATTTCCTAAGAGTTTATAGCCAAAAGATAGTCAATTTTTCACAGAATTTAGATCTTATTATCTTTTTTTCAATAGCTTCTTTAAACTTTTCCGAAAAAGCAATTAGCTTTATAACCCGAAACTTTTGAACAGAGGAGAAAGTTAATTTTTGCCAATAATCTCAATTTTGATTCAATTCTAAGCTTCAAATTTCCCATCTTAAGGACGTGAAATGTGGGGGAACTGGGTTTCATGCTCGATTGAGCTTTGGGTAGTAAACAATCGAAGAGCGAGGCAGACTGTCTGAAAATTTTGTCCGGAGTCGTTAAGCAGGTCTAGTCAAAACTATACAAATATACAATGACTGAAAGCTTGAATTAAAGCTTAGAAAGATTGGAATCTATCCACAAAACAAGGAATTTCTGGTAAATAAATGATTTTTGTTAAATTTAAAAGATTCTTAGTTTGAAAAAGAAGCAAACGGAAATAGAAATCTGAAAATCGCAGTGAGTTCTAGATAAGCGTGCAGCGAAATCGTTTACATTTTTATGAGGGGGCTGAGAAAAAATTTGCGGGAAGAATATTGAGAATGTAGATTTCTGTAGATAAAAATTTCTGTAGATAAAAATGCCAGTCAAAACTAGACAAAGGTCGAAACTAGATCTGCTTAACGACTCCGGACAAAATTTTCAGACAGTTTGCCTCGCTCTTCGATTGTTTACTACCCAAAGCTCCATCGAGCATGAAACCCAGTTCCTCCACAAGCCCTTATTCTAGACTTCACTTTGATACTAAACATGGTTAGTTTCTGTTTTGTCATTCTTTAGATTTCGATCAATAGACTCGATAAGAGTCCCGGACTCAATAAGCTTAACGAGTCCAGAAAAATGTTTATTTAAAATGATCGAAATCTCAAGAATGACAAAACAAAACCTAGTAAACTTTAGTATCAAAATGAAGCCTAGAATAAGGGCTTGCGGGTGAACTGGGTTTCATGCTCGAAGGGGCTTTGGGTAGTAAAAATTCGAAGAGCGAGGCAAACTGTCTGAAAATTTTGTCCGGAGTCGTTAAGCAGATCTAGTTTCGACCTTTGTCTAGTTTTGACTGGCATTTTTATCTACAGAAATTCGCTTAAGATTTACGCTAGACATTGTTTTTTACGTTTAATCAACTTACGGGATTTTATAGACTTGGATGCACTCGTTTGTGGTAAATTTCTAGATAAGCGTGCAGCGAAATCGTTTATAGTTTTATGAGGGGGTTGAGAAAAAATTTGTGGGCAGAATATTGAGAGTGTTAGGGAACAGGAGCACATCACTTTAGGATAGATTTATAATTATAGTCGTCACTTTATCATAGGCTCGTGCTAACTCGTTCTTGCTCATTTCATGTCCTTAAGATGGGGAATTTGAAGCTTAGAATTGAATCAAAATTGAGATTATTGGCAAAAATTAACTTTCTCCTCTGTTCAAAAGTTTCGGGTTATAAAGCTAATTGCTTTTTCGGAAAAGTTTAAAGAAGCTATTGAAAAGAAGATCTAAATTCTGTGATGGCTACCTTTTGGCTATAAACTCTTAGGACACAGAGAACAAGGGAAAAGGGCAAAACTTTGCATTAAGTTTTCTATTCTGTTTTGATCAGATGAAAAGCTTTCGTTTTTCATGAAAATCTTTGATCACTGTTTTGGAAAAGAAAGAAGGAAAAGATTTCAAGAAATTACAGATTCAATCTTTAGCCAAAAGACAAAACTTGGCGTGAAACCAGATGGAGCGGATAGGGCAAAAGAGGCGTCGACGATGGTTGTTACCGAGTATTTTTGTCTGTTCACTAGGAGCCGCCGTGATTCTCGCCGTTGGGCTGACTGTTGGGCTGACACACCGGGCTCGACCCACAAGTTTGTAAAAATTTGTCTTAGTCACTGTTCCGTTGTTCTAAAACTAGAGGATGACTAGATTTTATCATCGAGAATCCGAATCAAACCAATTTGGTTTCTATTGCCTACGATTGGTTGACTGCTTTGGGTTTACAACGATCAAATCTAACCGTTCCCAAGCATTCAAAGCTAGCTTGGATTGTTGGAGTCAACATCTTTGATTTGAATTATCATTGCTTTCAATATCATTACTACGTTACTGAAAACTGATTGATTGATCATTACTGATTGATTGAACTATCATTGCATCTCTTGTTCTAACTAGGGAACAGTTAGATTTTATTATCGCAAATCAAGCTCAGACTCAAGAGCAATTCCAAACCATTCAAGTTTCCTCCTTTTCAGTTCCTCCAGCTCCAGCATCCGGCGCGCTCTACAATGTGACCTTTTCAATGTATTTGATTGATATGATCATGGCTCCAAATCAAATGGTTCAAAAAGATGCCTCGAATAATTGCTATTTTATCAGTCAGGTAAAATTGGTGTCAGTATTGATTTCGATCTTTGTCTTAGATAAAAGGCATCGTCAAAGACACATTGAATGGATTGGATGACTCTGTGGGAGTCGCTTTTCTCACCTATTATCAGCCACCCGATTCACCATCGATTACGGTGTTGATGAGTCGACAAGACGCGCTTGTCTATGTGGATACTCTTGCGGGCAATACTCCGATGTACAACGGAGCAAATGAGATGGTGTAAGTTGAACAGTTTTTGGAAAACTTTTTAAACTTATTGTCGAGCGTTTAAAGGCACTGCATCGAAATAATCAGAGCTAACGTTGTTCACTTCAGGGCCATAAACCTACTCGAGAAAATGGCCTACATCACTGAGCTGGTCCACTTTGTTCCATGTGCTCCAATGTGGGTTAACTTATAGAAAATACAGAGAAACTGAAGACAAAGATATATCATTTAGGAAAACGGGAATGAGCGACACAGCCGGTTTATTCTCAAAGGCTTCCTTGCAGAAGCTGATTTTGATCTCTTCTGATTTGACTGAAGACCAAGTCAAGAACAATTATGCCTTATCCGATTCAAAAGATCCAACTTTGATCGTTGACATGAATTTTCCACCAGAGAACATCTTGCAATACTTGAAAAATAATTTACCGCCAATTCCCCCAACGACAACAACGACAGGTCCATCCACACAACCCGCTGAAAGGCAGCCTACTAGCACACAAGCACAAAAGGCACATCAACTTCTAAGGCTTAAACAAGACCAAAATAAAAAAAATCTCTCGACAATACACTTCAAGAGAAGAATGTTTCAATCTAGTTATGCATACCAAAATTTTTCAGCCACTCCATCACCATCTTCCACTTACAATGTGACCTTTTCAATGTATTTGATTGATATGATCATGGATCCAAATCAAATGCTTCAAAAAGATGCCTCGTATAATTGCTATTTTATCAGTCAGGTAAAATTGATGTCAATATTTAGAGGATCTTGGTTCAGATGAAAGGTATCGTCAAAGACACATTGAATGGATTGGATGACTCTGTGGGAGTCGCTTTTCTCACCTATTATCAGCCACCCGATTCACCATCGATTACGGTGTTGATGAGTCGACAAGACGCGCTTGTCTATGTGGATACTCTTGCAGGCAATACTCCGATGTACAATGGAGCGAATGAGATGGCGTGAGTTTGGAGGAACTATTGCGTGGACAGTTTTCGCTTGATTGAGCCAGAAACTTCAACTTTTGCTTTTAAATCTTAACAATCTACCAAAGAAAATTTCCCAATTTCAGCGCAATGTCCCTATTCGACAAAACGAATTACGTCAGCGAGTTGGTCCACTTCGTTCCGTGTGAACCGATGTGAGTTAACCTTTTGAGACTTGTCAAATTGAGATTTAGGAGAATGGATGGCGCGTCTGGCCTCTTTTCTTCAACCTCTTTGGAAAAGCTTGTTCTAATCTCTAGCGATCTGAATCAAGATCAAATCATCAGCAACTACAATCTACCGAATGATTCCCGTTATTCAACATTGATCCTTGATAAAGATGTGCCAAAGGAGAACATCTCGAACAATTTGGAGCACAACTTGCCGCCAGATGTGGCCACAACTCCGTCAACAGGTAGAAGATTCTTGTAGCCTTTAAGCTGACATAGGTCCAGCAAAAACATTACTAATATCAGAGCAAAATCCTCAGCTCTACCACATCATGAGCCCTACAACAACCATAACTACTACTCCTGTACCATTGATCCCCTGCCAAGCACTGTTTATAGCCGATGCGTCCGACGCAGTGGTGAGTGTATTTTACTGCTAATTTAAATACAAATCAACTTACAGAGCTCGATCCGCCAGGAAGCCATTATCTCGCAAGTATCAGCACAAAATCTGTTCAATGACCCAACACTGCAATTCACAGCAGCAGTCTGGTCTTATGGAGATTATTCTCAAATTGGGGATTTACCCGAGAGTTTTGTCAACACTACTGTCGATTTTAATGCTTTGTCTGATGCCCTGTATAAGACTGGAGGGACTGACGATGTGAAATTGTAAGCTTTTGGAGAGGTTTCAAGTAAATTCAAGCTTCAGCGCTGCAACGAAAGTGAATGCTTGGGATAAGACTAACACTGTCATTGTTTTGTTCACAGCCAGGTATAACTTTGGTTGATCTAGCCGGAAATGGCTAGAAATGTTAAAATGGACTTCTAGGAATGGTCCAGAGTATTTTCTGATTCCAGTTAACTATGCAAAATACTTATTGTTTGAAAGCTATTTAATTTCAGTCCTCAGTCAGCCATCAATGATGCCTCAAAAACTTATCAACGCTTCAGTGCTACTGTCGGAATCTCTACAACAGGTTAATTTATAAGTTTTATTCATTCAAGTGAATTTCAGCAAATGACATGTCTCCTCTTGCTGCGTTTACAGTAGATTTCTCTAATCCAGCAGGAATTCCGGTAGCCATTAGGCAAACTTGCGTAAACTTGCTCTCGGCAACAACGACAACGGCTGAATCAACGACAACCGCTGGATCAACGACAATTGGAACGACTGGAACTGGTGAAATTTCTACAAATTCTTCACCGCTTCTCACTGTCCCTACTGAAACGCTCAGCTCTCGAACTTCTACCGCTGAAAGCTTTAGTTCAACACCGTTTCTATCAACTGCTTCTTCTTTAAGTCACTCTACAGGTACAATAAATGCTTCAAGCTTTGCTAGTTCAACTGCTTTCTCGATTCAATCAACCGCTTTTACTGAAACGCTTGCAGAATTCAGCTCCGCAAAAAGCTCTCAAGCTACTAGTGCTTTTGATGTGACAAGCTCAACTGCTTTAACAGCTTCTGCTACCATTTCTGGCTTAAATGTTATCTCAACCGCTAGCAGCTTGCCTAATACCGCAACCATTGCAATTGAGGCATCTACCGCTTCGTCTAGTACTGTGAGTACAGCAGAGTCAACGAATTCGAGGCCACAGACGGATTCGTTTACAACCTCTAGTAAGCTTCCGGATGCTTCTACAACTCTTGAACTAAATGAAAGCACTACCACTTTTGAAACCACTAACATAACAGAATTAACAAGTACTGAAACATCTACGAGCTTTACAGCACATTCTGAAGTAACAAGTTCTTCGGAAACAACCATGAACATCACTGCTTCTAGGATACCCATTTCTTCTTCAACAGAAACAAGTTCAAACCTCCAGACGGATTCGGTTACAACATTAACTGCCTCAACTGCCATGTTTTCATCTACAACCTCTAGTGAACTTCCTGATGCTTCTACAACCACAGAGCTAAATGAAACCGCTACTTCCGAAGTGACTAATGCAACAGAACTAACAAGTTTTGAACCATCTACGAGCTCGATCCTGAATCTCAACTCAACTGTTCCTAGCACTGATTCATCAACAGGCTTTTCTGATACAGCGTTCAACATGAGCTCCACTACCTCTAGCAAACAGCCACATACTTCTAGAACCGTAGAGACAAGCAAAGCCTCCACAACCTCTCCATTTGGATCTACAACTGATACAATAGAACCGACAAGTTCTGATGCGTCCACAGACTTTTTCGATACAACCTTTGATACGAGCTCAATTGTATTTTCACTTCAATCCACTACCTCTAGCAAACCGGATGCTTCTACAACCGTAAAGACAAGTGAACATTCTACAAAACCGTTTGAAACTACCACTTTAGAACCGACAACTTCTGGTGCACCCATCTATTTTTCAGATTCAACTTTGAATCCTACCTCAACGATCATTTTGACAAGTGTCACTGAATTGCTTTCGAGTTCAGAGAGTAGATCAACAACCGGAGAACCCATTTCAACAGCCACAAATCAAACGATCTCAACTATTATTACAAAATTCTCTACTAATCCATCAACAACTTTCTCGTTTTTATCTACTACTTCTCTAAAGTCCAGTTTTGCTACCAATTCTGAAACTGAAACAACAGTTTTGACGCAAGCTACTGATTTCAATAAAGCTTCGACTATTAAGCAATCAACCACTGAGAATTTGAGCCCATCTTTTAGATAGAATTTGGGGCTTTTGGTAGAATACCGGGCTTTTGGAAAAATACGGGGTTTTTGAAGGAATCCGAAGGTTTTCGTAAATTTATCAGGGTTTTCCGACCCTGAAAATGAAAAATACAAAATTTCAAGTAAACCCAAAATGAAATTTGAAAAAAGACTGTCCCCATTTCTTCCGCATCGTTTAATCTGGTTTTACATCTTTTGCGATTCCTCTTTGTAGACACGACTTCTGTTTTGGTGGATTTTCCCTTGTGGATTGCTCAAATATTAATTTAAAAAATGTTAAACCAGAAAACCGTAAAGATCATGAGAAGATCAAGAATCCCACACCAAGCATTGTGTCTAAAAGCTTTCAACTCACTTTACTAAGAACCCGTAACTCGGATAAACCCTGGCTATTTTTGGAATTTCAAATAAACCAACTCCACCGCTTCCTTCAAAGTTCTTATCTCGGAAACTAAAGTGCCAAAAGCGGATTAACTTCGGGGAATTCAGTCAATAGAGCTGAACTTTAACAGCAAACAATTATTTTTGTTCGCAATGCTACAAAATTTATTAGTTATTCCGATCTTGCTTTGGTCACAAGTGCTCGGTAACTAATTGCCCAAATAAACCGAGAATTTTCTTCTAGGTGACTCATGCAACGTTTTGTTTGTGGTGGATGGCTCGAGTTATTGGGTTTGTTTTAAATTTCATCAATTTCATTATTCATTAACCATAAATAGCTTTATGTTATCAAAATTAGTTCTGCTTTACATTTTACCTGACATAACTTTCATGCTATTGAACCTAGACAAATCACGAAACTAACCAAGTTTCAGAATAGTTTTCGCGGTGAAATCGTCTCCATTTCCACAGTCGCCAATATTTTATATTCCACAACAAACTTCACCTCCAATTTTTGGATGTATGGAGATGATCCTCAAGATGATCGAATCCCAACAAGTTTCTATTCTACAGAGCAAGATTTTCTGGATGACATTCAAGAATTGAGTACTTATGGTGGAAAAGAAACGGTTGTTGGGTAAGTTTTACTCCCAAATTAAAAACCAGACATGCACAATTTGTTGAAGATTGTAGCTAGTTGCGAAGAATTTTCAAATCGATTGAAATTTTAGTGCAACAAGCAAGCTGAACGATTGGCAGACTTATGCTCTCATCGTGATCTACACAGCAAGGCAAGAATGAACAAAAGTAACTACCATGTAACTGTCCATACGTCCGTTCAAGATCAGAATTTTATTTTTGAAAGAAACGAGTTTGATCAAAATTTTCACCTATTTTAGTTCTCAAACACTGATCAACGTCGCTGGGGCAAATTACACAGAACAATCAAGAACCGTGGCGATTCATCAAAATGGTGTACTACTAAGTGTCTTATCCAAATTGACTTCCTTTTAGATGGAATTGATTTGAGACCGATATCCAACTATCCGAGTTACGAAATCTCGAATTATACAAACATTGTTGATGTGATAACCAATGCTTGCAAGCATTTCCCCATGAAAACCGTGACCATAAAGGTCAGACCCGTTAAACTGAAGATTTAGACAACGCCAAAGACCCAACCAACAACCACAACAACCCTAAAGGCTTCGACAAGCACAAGTGCAAGACCTCAATCTACAGTTTCTCCCAGCCTTCCAAGCTCGACAACGACAGCTCCTTTCGCGGAAACCACGAGCACCTATTCTACTGAATCTGTACCGAGCACCGAATTATTCAGTTCCACAAGTCCAGGTAAATTTGCTAATAGTAAGGATGATTTATCCACGCATCCTAATCCATGTTAACTATCGTGATCTTTATAGAACTGGCGTCAACCACTACTCCAATACCACCACCGTGTCCAGTCTTCTTTTACATTGACGGATCTGCAGCGGTAACTTGGTTTTTCCAAAGAGCAAATATTGTAAAAAGATTTAGCTATGCAAAATTAAAGAACCAAAACATTTTTAGAAAACTGTAATTGACCAACAAATTAATCTTACCGAAACAGTGGCTAGCTCAATGTATCAATCTTATGAGTGGCGTTTCCTTAGCTCTGTTAGTGCATTTGGACAGGTGAGACTTCATCGAGTGCTTTTAAATGGGTGGTTATTTTAGCTTATAATTGGCGACCCGGACCCTAACACTCTTATCGACAATTTTCCGGCATTTGAAGCAACTCTCGATTTATTGGACTTTTCTTCTCCATCAGGCGATGTTACAAGGTATCAATTTGTTGGCACCTATATTGAACAAAAGATCTTTGAACTTTTAAACAAAATTTCAGTGCCATTGACACAATGAACGGGGATTCTGATTTTGGAAATGTGTTAACAATTCTCTTCGTGGCTGCGTGAGTTGCTTTTAAAAGTGGCTAAGGTGCTTTATTTTAAAATCTATTTCAAATCTATCGGCACTGTTCGGTTTTACCCTACCCAAACTTGCATTGAGTGATTTTGCGAACAATGGACTTTCCTCAAAATGAAAATTTAAGCAAATACGCATATATAGCCAAGTTATCTAAGTGACTTTTTCAAAGAATGAAAAGAATTTTTATTTGCTACGCAATAACTTTACCAATTTTAAGTTGTGTATTTTAGACCCCAACCTAGAATTGATGGAGCAAATGCTAATCTCTACAAAGACTTCACGTATGGTATTGGAATGATAGGCAGTTAGTGTTTTATTTCTAATTAATTTTAGTCAAAAATTTTTAGAACAGAATCTCACCCGGCTCTCCTATGATAGTGACGATTATACCACGGATAACGGGACTACACTACAACAAGCGATTAACAATTTTTGCGCCAACTTTCCAGCAATGGCTCCTTCACCTCAAACAGTGCCTACTGGTATTTTGAATGGATAAAATGCATAATCGCTTCTTTTTTCACTCCAAGCATTCAATTGATTGACGGCACTAAAACGTTTTCTACGACACTCACTAGATAGGCCTGACCCCGTGACGTCCTCATTTCCATTATATGAAACTAAGCCAATAATTAAATCTCCAAGCTCATCATATTAGGTTGGCGACATTGAAATTTCGTTTTTGAGCAACAACAAAATTTATTCGTAAAAAATAAACTGGAGACAATTAATCAACAATATATTCCCCACAGCTATCAATAACATTTTTCCATCTTTGACGCAAATTATGGATTCCCTCTTGAAAGAATTGTGCTGGTTTTGATTGAAAGAAAGCGAGACCCATTTTTTGATGTCGTCAATGTTCTGGAACTTGTGGCCTTCGAGTGAATGCTGCAAACTTCGAAATAAATGGTAGACAGATGGAGCAATATCTGGACTATAAGGCGGATGAATTAGAAGTTCCCAGCCCAATTGCTCAATTTTCTCTTGCGTAATTTTGGCAACGTGAGGACGAGCATTGCCGTGTAACAATCGCACTGTTGTCGGATCAATTTCTTTTGAGCGAAGAACCGCGTTCACGCGATTTAGTTGTTGAACGTAAAGATTTGCATCAACAGTTTGACCAGAAATTAACACTTCAAAATGAACCAGGCCTCGGGTATTCCACCAAACCGACAGCATAACTTTCTTTCCGTGAAAATCCTGTTTAGGTATTGGTTTTGGAATTTCACCCGGGTCGAGCCATTGTCTTTTCCTTGTAATATTGTCATAATGTATCCATTTCTCATCAGCAGTTAAAATTGAATCCCAAAATCCACTATTTTTGGAGATTCAAATTTCCTGAACAAAGAACTCTGATTGCTTTGTTTGCATCGCTTAGTGAATGTGGAATTCATTTTCTAGCTTTATTGATCTTGCCCAATTCATGCAAATGGTTTTCGATTGTTTTATGATCACAATTAAAATATTTCGCAAGTTCACGTGTAGTCTTTGTCGGATTACTTTCGATTATTTGCTTCAAATCGTCGTTTGCGACAGCCTGCGAGCGGTGTCCTCGTTCCAGATCTTCCAGACTTTCGTCACCCGCTCGAAATCTTTTGAACCAGTTTTGACATTGACGAACAGTGATAACATCTTTCCCAAATACGTTACAAAGTGATTCATGCAATTCCGTTGATGTTTTTCCTTGTTTGAAATCGTACAGCAATCAGATGCGAAGTCGATATTTGAGGTCGTCTAGCATCTAAAAGATTTTTTATTAAAATTCTTCAACTGGGAATAAAGAATAAAGAAGAAAATACGCGTAATAAAGCACAATAATTATATCTTTAAAAAAGAAGAGATTGCTGTGGTAATAGTATCCACAGTGTTAAAATCCATAAAGAGAAACGCAAACGAAATTTCAATGTCGCCAACCTAATATGTTTCGATAAACGTTGTTGGTATCGTCTCATCTCCGGCCCCATTTCCATACATCCAAACATTTCCATTAAATGGATAATCCAAGTTATGATGGGCTTGAATTGCTGCTACTCTACCAAAGCTTTGCTCGTTTACAAATCGGACTAAAAGTTTTGTTGTTTTGGACAGTTTTTAGCTTAGAAGAATCACCACTTGTTTCGAAGCATCGGTATACAAAGAAAAATAACAAATTGAAGGATTCAACGGTGAAATCGTTGGAGCTCTTGTAGGGGAAGTCGTTGAGATTGGCTTAAGCCCGTGACTGAAGTTGTTTATAGTTTAAAACTTCTAAAACCCCCACAACAGTCACCGTTCCGACAATAACAGCAACAGAAGCTGAGACAAGTAGTTCAGTTTCATTGACAACCTCGACTACAACTCCGATTCCAATCGTAAAGACGCTCTTTGTAATAGATGGCTCATCTCTAGCGGTCAGTGAATTTTATTGCTTATGCTTTTAAGATTCTATTTTCATAAATTTAGTGTCCCAAATTCTTATGCACTTAGTTGAGGTTTATTCTTTTAAAAATTGCCACAATGCACCAGAATGCGATTAGGGATAACGAGTTAGTAAAACAAAAAAATTTAGGGCTCGATCGTAAGTCAAAGACTTTTCTTACAAAGCCTAGCCAGGGTAGCATTTGGAAGAATGGACATGGTTTTTTCGGCGAATATCTGGGAATATGGAGATGATAGCAAGGATGAAGCAATTCCCATAACATTCATTGATAATCTGAATGATGTGGATGATGCTATAACATTTCAACAAAGCTATGGTGGCAAAGAAAACATTATTGGGTAAGTCTTGCCACAAAAGCAGTGACAATAGGAACCTTTTAGAGCCACTGGTAAACTCAATGATTGGCCAATATTTGATGGGGTTATTGTGCTTATCACAGCTAGGTAAGTTTCTTGGAGAAATTCATGACTAACATTGTTTTTCAGTCCGGATAACTTAATCGATATGGTGAGCTATTTCAAGAGAAATCAAACTGTCGCCATGTCGACTCATGGTACATGAACTTTCATTTTATTTTTAAGATAAGTTTAGATGGTGTGGAGATGTCGGCTATCACGGACTACCCCCATACAATTTCAAGTCCTTATGCTGATGTGCTGGATGACATCCGAAAAGTGGCCCTCAATTTAGCCCCAAGGTATTAATTTTCTGATTTTATCAAATAGATTTGAAGCAAAGAACATCAGTCTCCTAAATTTCACTTTAGTACAACAGTTCTAACTGGTTCAACGCGAACTGGCCCAACTACGATTGGCTCTTCTTTTGTCGTGAAAAGGCTTACTGATTGTGAGTCTTGTGCGAAATTTCAGAAGATTTTCGCGCAATAAACTTTTTGCCTTTAGAATTTTCTTCGATTATATGTCTTCTTAAAAGTGTCATTCTTTTTTGATATCGTCCTTCTCACGAAGGCTTCTTACTTGAGATTTATGTTTTCTGTTGATCAAAAACGATAAATCATTCGAAAACCCAGATGGACACTTGATCCGCAAACCGCGACACACTTATGACACATGTACGCAACCAACCTATGGGCTACATAGGATTCGAAGGCAAAATTTCTTAGATCCATAAAGATCAGCGTCCCAAAACAAGCATTGTTTCTAAAACTTTGAACTCACTTTAAAGTCATTTACTAAACCGATCTTGCTTAAAGCGACTCAAACTTTACTCCCAGCCCAAAACCCCAAATCCGATTTTTTTTGTGAATGTTCCCCGTTTTGAGAACGGTAACTCGGCGAATTAATTGGGTTTTCTGGAGTTTCAAACAAACCAACTTCCACGTTCTGATCTCGGGAACTAAAGTGCCAAAAGCCGATTGTTTTTGGGGAATTCAGTCAATAGAACCGAACTTTAGCAACAAACAATTATTTTTGTTAGCAATGCTAAAAAATTTATTAGTTATTCCGATCCTGCTTTGGCCGCAAGTGCTTGGTGCACGGTTTGGGTTATTAGGTTCGTTTTAAATTTCAAATTAAATAATAAATACGAATTCGCCAGTACCACAAGTGCAAGTAAAGTTGCTGATAGTAAAAGTGATTTATTCACGCATCTTAATCCATGTTAACTAATCGTTATCTTTACAGAACTGGCATCAACCACTACTCCAATACCACCACCGTGTCCAGTCTTCTTTTACATTGACGGATCTGCAGGGGTAACTTTGTTTTTCTAAATATTGTAAATAGGCAAATATTGTAAAAAGATTTAGCTATGCAAAATTAAAGAACCAAAACATTTTTAGCAAACTGTAATTGACCAACAAATTAATCTTACCAAAACAGTGGCTAGCTCAAAGTATCCAACTCATGAGTGGCGTTTCCTTAGCTCTGTTAGTGCATTTGGAGAGGTGAGGCTTAATCGAGTGGTTTTAAATAGGTGTTTATTTTAGTTTAAAATTGGTGACCCGGACCCTCGTATTCTTTTGGACAATTTTCCAGCTTTTGAAACAACTCTCAGTGCATTGGACTTTTCTTCTCCATCAGGCGATGTTACAAGGTATCAATTTGTTGGCACCTATATTGAACAAAAGATCTTTGAACTTTTTGAACAAAATTTCAGTGCCATTGACTCAATGAACGATGATTCTGATTTTAAAAATGTGTTAACAATTCTCTTCGTAGCTGCGTGAGTTGCTTTTAAAAGCGCTATGGTGCTTTATTTTAAAATCTATTTCAAATCTATCGGCACTATTCGGTTTTACCCTACCCAAATTTGCATTGAGTGATTTTGCGAACAATGTACTTTCCTCAAAATGTGAATTTAAGCAAATACGAAAAGTACCAATTCGTCTACGTGACTTTTTCAAAGAATGAAAAGAATTTTTATTTGCTACACAATAATTTTGACCAATTTTAAGTTGCGTATTTTAGACCTCAAACAACAATCGTTTTCGGTGTGCTGCTGAAATTTATCAATGGTTTTATAGAAAAGCTTCGGATCTAACTAACCCAGTCGTTGTCGCCAATTTTGCTTGGCACAACGTATTCAAAGCCACTTTGACTCCATCAAAATCTGTTGGACTGACAGTAACAGCAGCAAGCTTTGACAAATCAGTCCTATCTGAATGTTTGGTTCTTGTCAATTCTAGAGGAATTTGAAAGTTTAGGAGGATTCCTCAATGTACATCAAAGCCAAACCTTGCCAAGAGAGTCCCACTGTAGACGTTTTCTTCCGATAAATTTTGGCAGCTGCATCAATATCGACTTGATTACTGAAATTTTGAATTGAAGTCTAGACTTAACTTATTGGACGCTTATCGGAATCGGGAATTATTGGGCGTTAACCGGGCGTTAATATCTCATTTTTGTCTCTTAATCATGAAAACCAAAGATTTTCAGCTTTGAACTCAAAGTTTTTTGAATGTGCCGCTTTGATTTGATGATTCTCGACCCCGATAGGCTTACCGGGATCCAGATTTCGATAATTCCTGATAGCCCAAGTCTATTGAAGACCCCTTTTCGTTAAATTCTTTACCTGGCACTGTAGAGCATAATAATCGCTTCATTTTCACTCCAAGCATTCAATTGATTGACGGCACTAAAACGTTTTCTACGACACTCACTAGATATGCTTTACCCCGTGACGTTCTCATTTCCATTGTATGAAACTAAGCCAAGAATTAAATCTCCAATCTCATCATATGTTTCGATAAATGTTGTTGGTATCGTCTCATCCCCGGCCTCACTTCCATACATCCAAACATTTCCATTGAATGGATAATCCAAGTTATGATAGGCTTGAATTGCTGCTATTCTACCAAGGCTTTGCTCGCTTACAAAATCGGTCTAAAATTTTTGTTGTTTTGGACAGTTTTTAGCATTCGCTTACAACTTGTTTCGAACCATCGAAGACAAAGAGACCATAACAAATTGAAGGATCCAACGGGGAAATCGTTGGAGCTCTTGTAGGGAAAGTCGTTGAGATTGGTGCGGGACTTAAGTTGTTTATAGTTTAAAATCATTAAAGTTTCCCAACCAAAATATTTTGTAAACCAGCTTGCTTCCAACACCTTTTTTAACTACCTAGTTGTCTTTGTTCTCCTCAAGCACAAATCTTCGATTGCGTCACCGATTCCGGGAAAGTCTTGTGCAGATTTTATGACAGCAGCCAAATTTGTTAAATCGAGAGAATCTAAAGCTTCTGTTCGATTATTTTCTGATTTAAGTTACCATCTAACGGGATTGCAAGGGTGACGACTTTTTTCAGATACTCAGAAGCTGCAAGATCAATCTCAGTTTGCGGGCTGAAAATGATTAAATTTATGATACAATTATAGATCTATTCATTTGGATTTCTTTTAATTCAAGTCAATTTAAGATTTCTAAGTTTTAAGACGATTTTTAATATTCCATTTAACTGTAAATCCAGGCAGATCCTCAACTAACTATTTGATCTAGATCACAACGAGAGCTGTTCCGCCCAGATCCGAGAACTCGTAAGTTAAGCAAGACGAGAGCAAGTTAAGCAAGACGAGAGCAAGTTAAGCAAGACGAGAGCCCGGTAAGACTAGGTTAGTTCAGATGCCGAACCATATTAGGTCAAAGCTCAAGCTCAAGACTTGGCCTGGTTAGCAGGTTTTGAATTTCTTGTTACAACAATCACCTTTGAGTGAACAAAACAATCACAACATTTTGTTCTTGCCAGTCATTCAAATGAAGCGCAGCTCTAAAATTTCCGTTTGATACAAAATTGTATACTCAAATCAAGCTTACCCGGCAATTGATTCATCACCATTATATGCGTTCAAGTCATAAATCGCATTCTGGATATCGGAGAATTGATCAATCCACGTGTTCGGGAATTCCAAATCGTGATCACTTCCATACATCCAAATATTTCCAATAAATTTCATATTTGGATTCGTATATCCCAGGTGAGCCGCGGCACTCACAAAAGTCCTCTCAGTTTCGAAAATTGTCTAAATTCTCTATTATAATGACCAAACTGACACTAACCGCATATTTTGAGCTATCAATCACAAAGAGACCATGACATATTGGCAAATTTGGAGAGATTGAGGAGCCTGCTTCAGTTGTTGTAGAAGCTGGTTGAGTTGTAGGCACTGATAGATTTGACCCGGTGATTGCGGAAATTGGAATGAAAGCTGTGGTTGTTGGTTGGGTCTTTGGCGTTGTCTAAATCTTCAGTTTAACAGGTCTGACCTTTATGGTCACGGTTTTCATTGGGAAATGCTTGCAAGCAATGGTTATCAAATCAACAATGTTTGTATAATCCGACATTTGGTAACTCGGATAGTTGGATATCGGTCTCAAATCAATTCCATCTAAAAGGAAGTCAATTTGGTTAAGACATTTAGTAGTACACCATTTTGATGAATCGCCACGGTTCTTGCTTGTTCTGTGTAATTTGTCCCAGCGACGTTGACCAGTGTTTGAGAACTAAAACAGGTGAAAATCTTAATCAAACTCGTTTCGTTCAAAAATAAAATTCTGATCTTGAACGGACGTATGGACAGTTACATGGTAGTTTCTTTTGTTCATTCTTGCCTTGCTGTGTAGATCACAATGAGAGCATAAGTCTGCCAATCGTTCAGCTTGCTTGTTGCCCTAAAATTTCAATCGATTTTAAAATCCTTGCAACTAGCCCGATCTTCAACAAATTGTGCATGTCTGGGTTTTAATTTTGGAGTAAAACTTGCCCAACAACCGTTTCTTTTCCACCATAAAATCTTGCTCTGTTGAATAGAAACTTGTTGGGATTCGATCATCTTGATTATCATCTCCATACATCCAAAAATTGGAAGTGAAGTTTGTTGTGGAATATAAAATATTGGCCACTGTGGAAATAGAGACGATTTCACCGCGAAAACTATTCTGAACCTTGGTTAGTTAGGTGATTTTTCTAGATTCAGTAGCATGAAAGTTATAGCAAAGAAAAATATAAGGCAGAACTAATTTTGATTAGCGCAAAGCTATTTATGGTTAACGAATAATGAAATTGATGAAATTTAAAACAAACCCAATAATACGAGCCATCCACCACAAACAAAACGTTGCATGAGTCACCTAGAAGAAAATTTTTGGTTTATTTTGGCAATTTTTTACCAAGCACTTGTGGCCAAAGCAGGATCGGAATAACTAATAAATTTTTTAGCATTATGAACAAAAATAATTGTTTGTTGTTAAAGTTCAGCTCTACTGACTGAATTCCCCGAAGTTAATCCGCTTTTGGTACTTTAGTTTCCGAGATAAGAACGTTGAAGAAAGCGTTGAAGTTGGTTTGTTTGAAACTGCAAAAAATCCCAAAACTCATCTGAGTTACCGTTTTTAATATGGGGAACCTTCACAACAAAACCGGATTTGGGGCTTTGGGCTGAGAGTAACGTTCGGGTCGCTTCAAGCAAGATCGGTTTAGTAAATGACTTTAAAGTGAGCTCAAAGTTTTAGAAACAATGCTTGTTTTGGGACGCTGAATCTTTCTAGACATTAGAAATTTTGCCTTCGAATCCCGCACAACGCACAACGAATCTCGCACAACGCCGCAAATGAATGCGGCACTCTCAATATTTTCACCTAACACTCTCAATATTTTTCTTCCTAAAAATTTGGTCGGTCCCCTCTACTGACGTCTGGTCCCCAGATGAGCTGTAAACGATTTACACGCTTATCTGGAAGAGTCAGGCGGTAAAAATCAATGTTTTTTTAGTTTAGATATCATGACACGATCTTTTTGATGATAAAAAGAAGAAAATAAAGGAGATATGTTTAGTATATGAAAAAGAAGCAAATGGAAATAGAAATCTGAAAATCGCAGTGAGTTATGCAAAATGATGTCGATTCTAGACTTAAAACTTGATTTTAAGTCTCAATTCTTGTCCTATATAATGGTTAGTGAAGTTTTGATTCTTATTTTACATCGAATTTACATCCTTATTTTATTTTACTTTTATTTTTTTATTTACATCCTCAAATAGCTAAAGTGGAGAAATCAAATAAAAGTCAAGAGATAAAAATTCATGTTTTTATATACATGATCTTTTTGGTGATACAAAGAAGAAAATAAAGGAGACATATTTCGTGTTGAAGCAAACCAAACTAATACTAAATAGTTTAGCAAAAGTGAAAGCAATAAATTATCAGTAATTTCTCAATTTGAAGTGATTGTAAAATGCATTCATTTGTGCGAGAGTCCCTTCTCATTTTTGTTTCTTTTCTTTACTCATCTTATTCATTTCTTCAGATTTCTTGTCAGTTCCTTCTTTTCCCCTACCAATTTTCACTTCCAATCATGGAAGAAGCCGCAATGAAAAACAATAAGCCATCACAAAAAATCTGGAAATCTATTTAACTAATTGAAGTGCATTTCAGAAAAAATTTTGTTAGTTCGAAAATTTATCAGCAAAAAGAAAATGAGATCAGTGTTTGGGAAATAACCAAAAACGGATATTTATGGTACAAGTTGATGCTGCTGCTAAATTAACTTGATGCCGATGAGGTGGAAGCCTGAGAGCTCAAAGAACTCCCAGAATCAGTCTGAGCGGTCGAACTGCTTGATGAACTTGGTTTCCCAGTCGTTGATCCAAAACTTGATGAACCAGCAGAATCAGTTGATGATGTTGGCTCGGATGGATTTGAACTCATTGAACTACTTCCTGATTGAGTTGAGCTCGTGAAACTTTGAGATCCTGTTGCTGATCGCGTTGAGCTTGCAGCTTGAGTGCTTGAGCTTGAATCGGTAATTTTTGAAACCGTTGGTTGACTTTGAGTTGATCCAGTGCTGCCTAATGAGGGTGATGTGTTTAAAGCAGTTTGCATTGTTGACGGAGTTTCTAAATTGAGATCAAATACACCCGTCAACAAATAAAATAATAAAAAACTATTCTTTTTTTATGCATTAAAAATACCAGTAGTCACTGTTTCAGGAGGAGCAATTGTTGGAAAGTTGGCGCAAAAATTGTTAATCGCTTGTTGTAGTGTAGCCCCGTTATCCGTGGTATAATCGTCACTATCATAGGATAGCCGGGTGAGATCTTGATCTAAAAATTTTTGATTAAAAATAATTAGAGATAAAAAACTAACTGCCTATCATTGCAATACCATACGTGAAGTCTTTGTAGAGATTAGCATTTGCTCCATCAATTGTAGGTTGGGATCTAAAATACGCAGCTTAAAATTGGTCAAAGTTATTGCGTAGCAAATAAAAATTCTTGAAAAAATTTTGTTCATTCTTTGAAAAAGGCACTTAGATAGATTGGTACTTGGTATTTGCTTAAATTTTCATTTTGAGGAAAGCCCACGTTCGCAAAATACTCAATGCAAATTTAGGTCGGGCAAACTCGAATAGTGCCAATGGAATTAAAATAGATTTTAAAATAAAGCACCCCAGCCATTTTAAAAGCAACTCACGCAGCTACGAAGAGAATTGTTAACACATTTCCAAAATGAGAATCATCGTTCATTGAGTCAATGGCACTGAAATTTTGTTTAAAAGTTCAAAGATCTTTTGTCCAATATAGCAGCGAACAAATTGATACCTTGTAACATCATCGCCTGATGGAAGAGTAAAGTCCAATGAATCGAGAGCTGACTCAAAATTCGGAAAATTGTCGTATAGAGTACCAGGGTCCGGGTCACCAATTGTCAACTAAAATAAACACCTATTTAAAACCACTCGATTAAGCCTCACCTCTCCAAATGCACCAATAGAGCTAAGGAAACGCCACTCATGAGATTGATACATTGAGATAGCCGCTTTTCGGATAAGATCAGTTTGTTGGCCAATCACAGTTTTCTAAAAATATTTTGGTTCTTTAATTTTCCATCGCTAATTCCTTTTACAATATTTGCTCTTTAGAAAAACCAAGTTACCGCTGCAGATCCGTCAATGTAAAAGAAGACTGGACACGGTGGTGGTATTGGAGTAGTGGTTGACGTCAGTTCTATAAAGATAAAGATGAGTTAACATGGATTAAGATGCGTGGATAAATCATCCTTACTATTAGCAGCTTTACCTGTGTTTGTGGGGCTCGGTGATTCGGTTCTCGGCACAGATTCAGTAGAATAGGTTCCCGTGCTTCCCCTGAAAGGAGCTGTCGTTGTCGAACTGACCCCAGAAGGTGGGGTTTCAGTGGTGGCCGTGGGTTGTGTAGGCCCAGAAGTTGTACTCTGTGGCGTTGTTGAAGTGTCTGTGAATGTTGTTGATTCACTAGTAAATGTTGATTGCGATGAGGAAGCGATTGTGCTTTCACTTGTGGCAGTGGCAGTTGATGCAGTGTCTGGTGACAGTGATTGAGTGATGGATTGGCTTGAACCAGAAGTGGTGCTTTCAGGTGTAGTTGATGAGCCTGCGAATTGAGCAGTTGATGGACTTGTGAGTGTTGATTGTGGTGAGGTGATAATTGTGCTTTCACTAGCGAAAGCGATAGTTGATGCAGTGTTAGGCAGTGTGAACTGCGTTGAGCCGGCAGTGGTGCTCTCAGCGGTGGTGGAAGAGTCTGTGAATGGTGCGATTGATTCAGTGATAACAGTAGATTGTGGTGAGGAAGTAATTGTGTTTTCGCTTGTAGCGGTGGACAGAGTTGCACCAGAAGTTGTGCTTCCACTGCTCGTTGGAGGACCAGTTGGCAATGATGAAAAAGCGATTGTGCTTGTTTCAGCGGCTGTTGAGCCAGAAACAGTGCTTTCAGGCGTGAGTGTAGAGCCAGAAGTGGTGCTTTCAGAAGCAATTGTTGAACCACTACTGGTGCTTTGAAGCGTGACTGTTGAACCTGTGATTGTTGATTCAGAAGCAGTTTGTGAATAAGCGGTAGTGCTTTGGCTTGTCTTAGTGTTGATAGTCGAGCCAGTGAAAAGCGTTTGTGATTCAGTTGAGAAAGTGGATGCGAAAGATGTGCTTTCAGAAAAGCTTTCAGTGGATGGTGTTGAACCTGAGAAAGAAGCATGTGAGTCAGTGATAGGTTCAACTGTTGAAGAAACTGTACTTGTGAAGCTTGAAGTTGCGGTCTCTCCTGGGGTGGATCCCTGAGAATTGCTAGCAGTGACAGATGTTGTAACTCCTCCAGTACTAGGAGAAGTTGGAGTTCCTGTCGATATTGATCCAATTGTTTGTGGAGCTGTTTCTGAGTGACTAGTGGGATTCATGGTTGATGTGGGATTCGGGTTCGTCGCAGTAATAGAACTTGATATTTCACCACTTGTCGTTGGCGGAACTGTGACTGATTGAGTCGTGATTGTGCCACTAATTGTCGATGTAGGACTTGGCCCCATGGAAGTACTAGAAGTCTGTTGAATGCTTGAGGGATTCATCGTTGAAGAGCCAATAGTTGGGCCAGTTGGCGTTGAACCAGTTGGAACTGTTGGACTAAAGTAAAATTTAGGAGATTGATGTTCTTTGCTTCAAATCTATTTGATAAAATCTGAAAATTAGTACCTTGGGGGCAAATTGAGGGCCACTTTTCGGATGTCATCCAGCACGTCAGCATAAGAACTTGAAAGCGTATGGGGGTAGTCCGTGATAGCCGACATATCCACACCATCTAAATTTATCTTAAAAATAAAATGAAAGTTCAAGTACCATGAGTCGAAATGGCGACAGTTTGATTTCTTTTGAAATAGCTCACCATATCGATTAAGTTATCCGGACTGAAAAACAATGGTAGTCTTGAATTTCCCTAAGAAACTTACCTAGCTGTGATAAGCACAATAACCCCATCAAATATTGGCCAATCATTGAGTTTATCAGTTGCTCTAAAAGGTTCCTATTCTCACTGCTTCTGTGGCAAGACTTACCCGATAATGTTTTCTTTGCCGCCATAACTTTGTTGAAATGCTATAGCATCATCCACATCACTCGGATTATCAATGAATGTTATGGGAATTGCTTCATCCTGGCTATCGTCTCCATATTCCCAGATATTCGCCGAAAATATCATATCCATTCTTCCAAATGCTACTGTGGCTAGGCTTTGTAAGAAAAGTCTTTGACTTACGATCGAGCCCTAAATTTTTTTTGTTTTACTAACTCGTTATCTCTAGTCGCATTCTGGTGCATTGTGACAATTTTTAAAAGAATAAACCTCAACTAAGTGCAAAAGCATTTGGAATACTAAATTAATGAAAATAGAATCTTAAAAGTATAAGCAATAAAATTCACTGACCGCTAGAGATGAGCCATCAATTACAAGGAGCGTCTTTGCGATTGGAATCGGAGTTGTAGTCGAGGTTGTCAATGAGACTGAACTACTTGTCTCAACTTCTGTCGCTGTCGTTGTCGGAACGGTGACTGTTGTGGGTGCTTCAGATGTTGTAACCGATTCAGATGTTGTAACCGTGCTGCTGGTAACAGTTTGTACACTTGTGGGTGAAGAAAGTGTTGGAATTGGACTGTTTGAGCTCGGAGCATTTGTTTCAGTAACGCTTCCTGGAGTGGTTGACGATTCAGTTACTCGACTATTTGTTGAGCCACTTGGAGTACTTGTTGGGGTCATAGAACCAGTTGGTTGATTGCTTGAAGGGCTAGTTCCAGCAGCTGTTGTTGAGCCAGTTATTGGTGCAGAACTTGAGCCTCCTGTCGTGGTTATACTTGGAGTACTTGTCGGTGTTGGTAAAGAGGATCCAAGTGTAGATTCTGAACTCGGTTGGCTGCTTGGTTGCTCAAAATATGTTGTTGTAGGTCGATTACTTGGGCTATGGGAAGCTGTTCCAATGGTTGTGGAAACGGTTGATCCTTGACTATTAGAATTTGTAGTTGAAGATGCAACTGTGTTTGTTACAGTTGTTGCTTCAGTAGGTATAGTTGGGAGATTTGTTGAGCTTGTGATAGGAATTGATCCAGTTGTTGAGCCTGAAGCTGCTGAAGAGATTGTTGCTGGGTTCTCGCTCGTTGATCCCAAACTCGTCGTTTCCGGTGTGCTTCTGAAATTTATCAATGGTTTTATAGAAAAGCTTCGGATCTAACTAACCCAGTCGTTGTCGACAATTTTGCTTGGCACAACGTATTCAAAGCCACTTTGATTCCATCAAAATCTGTTGGACTGACAGTAATAGCAGCAAGCTTTGACAAATCAGTCTTATCTGAATGTTTGGTTCTTGTCAATTCTAGAGGAATTTGAAAGTTTAGGAGGATTTTTCAATGTACATCAAAGCCAAACCTTGCCAAGAGAGTCCCACCGTAGACGTTTTCTTCCGATAATTTTTGGCAGCTGCATCAATATCGACTTGATCACTGAAATTTTTGACTTAGGCTTTCCTTTTTTAACCTTTTACCTTGCACTATAGAGTATAATAATCGCTTCATTTTCACTCCAAGCATTCAATTGTTTGACGGCACTAAAACGTTTTCTATGGCACTCACTAGATATGCCTTACCCCGTGACGTTCTCATTTCCATTGTATGGAACTAAGCCAAGAATTAAATCTCCAATCTCATCATATGTTTCGATAAACGTTGTTGGTATCATCTCATCCCCGGCCTGATTTCCATACATCCAAACATTTCCATTGAATGGATAATCCAAGCTATGATAGGCTTGAATTGCCGCTACTCTACCAAAGTTTTGCTCGCTTCCAAAATCGGACTAAAAGTTTTGTTATTTTGGACAGTGTTTTCATTCGCTTACCACTTGATTCGAACCATCGAAGACAAAGAGACCATAACAAATTGGAACATTTGATGGTGTTGAAGATGGAGCATTTGTTGAAAAACTTGTGGAAGCTGGTTGGGAAGAAGCAGCGCTGGTCGAAGGCTCAGTATTTGCAGCTGTACTTGATCCAGGTGGCACATAACTGGTTGCCTGGCTTGGATTTGTCCCGCTTGTCTGCGTTGTCACTGGCTGAGAAGTGACTGTAGTGGCCGTTGGAGCTGTCGCTGTTTGACCACCACTCGTACTTTGGGGCATTGTTGAAGTGATTGAAGTAGCTGTTTGAGTTGTGATTGGACTCTCTGATGGTTCTTGACTTGATGGAGCCATTGGAGTGCTTGACGGAGACCCAGTGCTTGAGCCGCCGATAGGTTCGGTGACAGGCGGCACTGTGCTTGTTGGCAGAGGTTTCTCTGTTGCAGTTGTAACAAATGTTGGCATGGTTGAACTGAATGAACATTTTTTAATTTTTAAACCGTATTTACTTACCTAGCAGGCCCTATAGAGCCTCCAGACATTGTACTTGGAGCTGGGCCTTCCGTTGTTGATGCTGCGGATGAACCGATCGTGGTTGATCCGCTTGGACTAAAATGAGTATTATTCGAAAATTTTTCAACAGCTAGAACGATCAGTAAGATTTGACAGTGATTGAAGTAGTAATTTTCACCGTTCAAGTCGACTTTACGACTGTATAACTTTGACTGAATCACTGATTTTTGTAATTTTGACATAAAATAGAGAATGACTAACCCAGTAACCGTTGCCAGTTTTGATTGACACAAATAGTTTAAGGCGGTGACGATTGCAGGTAAATCGGTCACACCAGCAGTAACTGCCGTAAGATTTGACAAGTCAGATTTGCCTAAAAGATTTATTAAATGCTTTTAGATCCGACAAGATACCATCCACTGAAATTCCCAAAGTTGAGTCCATCTTTAGATAAATTTTAGCAGCTTGATCAACATCAGCTTGCGTGCTAAAATCGTATAAGTTAATTTTTTTTAAAAATATTTTTATACCTTCCGGTGTAAAGGAGAATGATAGCATTGCTTTCCGTCCAAGCGTTCAATTTCTCCACGGCTCTAAAATTTTTTGTTAGCTTTCTTAGCAGATTTGCCTCAAATCATATGCTCAAGTCGTAACTGTGCGTCTTGAACCTTACTGTTCCGTTTATTTCTCAATGACATAAGTAAATCATACCCAGTTACATTTTCATCTCCATTATATGTATCCAAATTGCTGAGCAAGTCATCAAATGTACTATACGAGTCAATAAATGTTGTCGGTATTGGAGCATCGTTGGGTCCATTTCCGTACTCCCACGCATTTCCATAGAACAAGTAATCCAATTTGTAGTATGCTTGAACTGATGCCAAGCGAATTCTAGTTCTTTCCGCGGTGAAGCTTGCCTAAATTGATCTTATTCAAGCTTTTCGCTTCCACTCACCACTTGATTTGATCCATCAATCACAAAAAGACCTTGACAAAGTGGGAGATTTGGTGTTGGCGAACTTGTGGGAGCTGGTTGAGAAGAAGCAACACTGGTCGAAAAGTCAGTATTTGCAGCTGTACTTGATCCAGGTGGCACATAACTGGTTGACTGGCTTGGATTTGTTCCGCTTGTATGCGTTGTCACTGGCTCAGAAGTGACTGTAGTGGCCGTTGTAACTGTTGCTGTTTGACCACCACTCGTACTTTGGGGCATTGTTGAGGTGATTGAAGTGGCTCTTTGAGTTGTGATTGGACTCTCTGAAGGTCCTTGGCTTGATGAAGCCATTGGGGTGCTTGAAGGAGACCCAGTGCTTGAGCCGCCGACAGGTTCGGTGACAGGCGGCACTGTGCTTGTTGGCAGAGGTTTCTCCGTTGGAGTTGTACCAAATGTTGCGGTTGAACTGAATTAACACTTTTTAATCTTTAAACGGTATGTACTTACCTAGCAGGCCCTGTCGAGCCTCCAGGCATTGAACTTGAAGTTGGGCCTTCAGTTGTTGATACCACGGATACGGTAGAACCGGTAGTCGTTGACCCACTTGGACTAAAAGTAATTCAATTTGGATTTTGATCAAGGAAAATGACCAATTTTAAAATATTATATTTGTATGGTATTTGTGTACGGCTAGTTGTAATACTTACCTTGTCGTTGTTCTCCTCAAGCACAAATACTCAATTGCATCACCGATTCCCGGGAAATCTTGTGAACCTTTTGTGATAGCGCCCAGATTTGTTAAATTGAGAGAATCTAAAACATTAACTTTAACTTTTTCGATAAAAAGTTACCATCTAACGGGATTGCAAGGGTGACATCTTTCTTCAGATACTCAGAAGCTGCAAGATCAATCTCAGTTTGCGGGCTGAAAATGATTAAATTTAAAATACAATTATAGATCTATTCATTTGGATTTCTTTTACTTCAAGTCAATTTAGGATTTCTAAGTTTTAAGACGATTCTTAATATTCCGTTTAAGAGTAAATCCAGGCAGATCCTCAACTAACTATTTGATCTAGATCACAACGAGAGCTATTCCGCCCAGATCCGAGAACTCGTGAGCCAAGTTAGGCAAGACGAGAGCCCGGTAAGACTAGGTTAGGTCAGATGCCGAACCAGATTAGGTCAAAGCTCAAGCTCAAGACTTGGCCTGGTTAGCAGGTTTTGAATTTCTTGTTACAACAATCACCTTTGAGTGAAAAAAACAATCACAACATTTTGTTCTCGCCAGTCATTCAAATGAAGTGCAGCTCTAAAATTTCCGTTTTATACAAAATTGTATACTCAAATCAAGCTTACCCGGCAATTGATTCATCACCATTATATGCGTTCAAGTCATAAATCGCATTCTGGATATCGGAGAATTGATCAATCCACGTGTTCGGGAGTTCCAAATCGTGATCACTTCCATACATCCAAATATTTCCAATGAATTTCATATTTGGATTGGTATATCCCAGATGAGCCGCGGCACTCACAAAAGTTCTCTCAGTTTCGAATATTGTCTAAATCCTCTATTATAATGACCAAACTGACACTAACCGCATATTTTGAGCCATCAATCACAAAGAGACCATGACATATTGGAACATTTGATGGCGTTGAAGATGGGGCATTTGTTGAAAAAGTTGTGGGAGCTGGTTGGGAAGAAGCAACGCTGGTCGAAAACTCAGTGTGTGCAGTTGTACTTGATCCAGGTGGCACATAACTGGTTGACTGGCTTGGATTTGTTCCGCTTGTCTGCGTTGTACTTTGGGGCATTGTTGAAGTGATTGAAGTGGCTGTTTTGGTTGTGATGGGGCTTGCTGATGGTTCTTGACTTGATGGAGCCATTGGAGTGCTTGACGGAGACCCAGTGCTTGAGCCGCCGATAGGTTCGGTGACAGGCGGCACTGTGCTTGTTGGCAGAGGTTTCTCCGTTGGAGTTGTACCAAATGTTGGCATGGTTGAACTGAATGAACACCTTTTAATCTTTAAACCGTATTTACTTACCTAGCAGGTCTTGTAGAGCCTCCAGACATTGTACTTAGAGTTGGGCCTTCCGTTGTTGATGCCACTGATACGGTAGAACCGGTAGTCGTTGACCCACTTGGACTAAAAGTAATTCAATTTGGATTTTGATCAAGGAAAATGGCAATTTTTAAATATTATATTGGATGGTATTTGCTGTAATACAGTGCATTTCAAATTCTTAAACGCACCCTCTAAAATAGCGAATTTTGCATTTGGAACGCCGCTACAACTATTAATCTTTTTCTATTAGAAAGAGCATGTCTTAAAACCTAAAAAAGACGGAAAATAAGCATACTGTAAAAAGTAAGAATTTTCAAAATAGAAACTTTTTGGTAAATCAACCGTTTCAAATTCTTAAATGCACCCGCCTTTGCTTTTGTTATTTGAAATTTTTCGTTTTGTTGTGCATATTTTTTTATAAATTTATAATTTTTGTTAATTTCCAGGTACCCTAAAGTCGCGAGTATAAGTTCATCCGAGTATAAGTTCTGAATTTACATTTAAAGGGCATTTAAAGGGATGGAAAATTTTCTTCTTTCTTTAATTTTTATTGTTTTTTTGTTTTTTTTTATTTTTTATTGTTTTTTTGTTTATTTTTTATTGTTTTTTTTCTATTTTTTATTCTACTAACGTTTTTTCATTTTAGATACGATGAGGAGAAAGTCGTACACCGCCGAAACGAAGCTCGAAGCGGTCAAATTTGCGAGGAAATTTGGAACGAACGCGGCTGCGATCGAATTTGAAGTCGCCGAACAGATGATTAACCGCTGGAAACAAGCTGAGCCGGCACTGATGACTTCACCAAAAAATAATCGAGCTTAGCGAGGATTGAGGGCAAAATGGCCGGATGTGGAGAAACATCGATATTGTTTCCAACCGAACAGTCGAAGTAAAAGGAAAGGGTGATATTTCAATTGCTTCAACGGAAAATGAGAAGACGAATTTCACAGTTGTGCTCGGAATTCTAGCCGATGGATCGAAACTCCCACCGATGCTCATTTTCAAGCGCAAGACTCTTCCTAAAGGAATTTTTCCCGGTGTGATCATCAGCTTCGAAGCTAAGCACAGAATTCTTTTTTATGTCGCTTTAATTGCTTTGAATTTCTTTTTGTTGGGTTTTTATACATTTTTATTGTTATATAAACTTTTATTATTGTTCTTGAAGCGCGGGATACTACAGGGTGACAGCCTATCACCATTGTTATTTGTTATGTGCATGGATACATCCAGACGATAGTGTTGAAGAAGACGCTGGAAACCATCTCTTTCGACCGTCGACGTGGACTTTGGCCGGATGAAGAGGCCAGGGAGGGATCCATAAGACTGAGCACCGGAGAGGAGCAGAGCGGACGCGCCGAGCCACGCCCGGAGCAACAAATAACAGCATAAAATTGCTATAACCCTCAATAAATTTACTTCTATTGTTCTTAAAAAGCAAAAAAGTTATGCTGCAGCGGGGTTCGAACCCTCGACACACCGTCAATTTGCATGACAGCCGTCAATTTGCATGCGAAAACCAGACAGAACTTATACTCGCGACTTTAGGGTAAATGGCACACAAAAAGCTGCTTATGGATTATGAGAAAGGCCAGATTGCTGTCCGTTTGAGGAATGGCGACTCAATAAGGAAAATCGCAAAAAATTTGGGCCGATCCGACTGTGCCGTACGAAATTATATAAAATCCGAGTTCTTTTCTACGACAAAGAAGAAGCCAGGACCAAAACCAAAGCTTACACCGCAAGCAAGACGCCATATTGTGAACAACATCCACGGAAAGAGGATCAATGAAGTGAAAACGGAACCGAAAATCGACGCTTCGAAGTCGACAATTTGGCGAGCCATTAAGGAAAACCCACATATCGATCGACAATTATTGAACATGCAACCGGTTGTGAAGCTTTCGCACAAGAAAGCCCGATTGGCGTTCGCCAAGGCTCATATGAATCAGGATTGGTCTATGGTTAGAAAGCCGCTGATGTTTTATTATTTTTTTTGCGTTTAGGTGATCTTTCCCGATGAGAAGAAATGGAATTGGGATGATCCCAATGGCGTTGACTACTACTGGAGGGATCTTCGACGTGATCCGATGGTGTTTGGAACTCGAAACTTTGGGAGTGGTTCTGTGATGGTTTGGGCCGCCTTTTGTGCTGATGGAACGGTCGCTCTGAAGATGGTTTCGAATCGGATGACTTGATAGATATCTTGAACAATTGCTTGTTGCCGTTTTTGCTCCTAAATCCAACCGTTCCCAATTCCAATTTGTTTCAATACGACAACACGTCAATTCATCGAGCCGGAGACACCCGAGACTGGCTGAACAGCAAGAACATTGCAACTTTGAACTGACCCGCTCGATCTCCTGACGTCAATCCGATAGGGAATTTATGCCGAATACTTGTCCAAGCTGCCTACAAAAATCATCGTCAGTTTCAAGACGTATATTTGTACTTAAAACAGCGATCCATTTGGCCTGAAGCTATCTCGACGTCTTTACTTTTCAAAACCTCATCAATTCAATGCCAGACCGCATTTTTCAAGTAATTAATCGTCCTGGTGCGTGTACAGATTATTAGTTTTGATTTTTTGCCTATGATTGTTAATTTGTGTCGATAAATAAAAATATTTTCATAGTGCGTTTAAGAATTTGAAAGGGTTGATTTACCAAAAAGTTTCTATTTTGAAAATTCTTACTTTTTACAGTATGCTTATTTTCCGTCTTTTTTGGGTTTTAAGACATGCCCTTTCTAATAAAGAAAGATTAATAGTTGTAGCGGAGTTCAAAATGAAAAATTCGCTATCTTAGAGGGTGCTTTTAAGAATTTGAAGCGCACTGTACTTACCTTGTCGTTGTTCTCCTCAAGCACAAATACTCAATTGCATCACCGATTCCCGGGAAATCTTGTGAACCTTTTGTGATAGCGCCCAGATTTGTTAAATTGAGAGAATCTAAAACATTAACTTTAACTTTTTCGATAAAAAGTTACCATCTAACGGGATTGCAAGGGTGACATCTTTCTTCAGATACTCAGAAGCTGCAAGATCAATCTCAGTTTGCGGGCTGAAAATGATTAAATTTAAAATACAATTATAGATCTATTCATTTGGATTTCTTTTACTTCAAGTCAATTTCCAATTTTTAAGACGATTCTTAATATTCCGTTTAACAGTAAATCCAGGCAGATCCTCAACTAACTATTTGATCTAGATCACAACGAGAGCTGTTCCGCCCAGATCCGAGAACTCGTGAGCCAAGTTAGGCAAGACGAGAGCCCGGTAAGACTAGGTTAGGTCAGATGCCGAACCAGATTAGGTCAAAGCTCAAGCTCAAGACTTGGCCTGGTTAGCAGGTTTTGAATTTCTTGTTACAACAATCACCTTTGAGTGAACAAAACAATCACAACATTTTGTTCTTGCCAGTCATTCAAATGAAGTGCAGCTCTAAAATTTCCGTTTTATTTACTCAAATCAAGCTTACCCGGCAATTGATTCATCACCATTATATGCGTTCAAGTCATAAATCGCATTCTGGATATCGGAGAATTGATCAATCCACGTGTTCGGGAATTCCAAATCGTGATCACTTCCATACATCCAAATATTTCCAATGAATTTCATATTTGGATTGGTATATCCCAGATGAGCCGCGGCACTCACAAAAGTTCTCTCAGTTTCGAAAATTGTCTAAATTCTCTATTATAATGACCAAACTGACGCTAACCGCATATTTTGAGCCATCAATCACAAAGAGACCATGACATATTGGCAAATTTGGAGAGATTGAAGAGCTTGCTTCAACTGTTGTAGAAGCTGGCTGAGTTGTAGGCACTGATGGATTTGACCCTGTGACTGCAGAAGTTGGAATGAAAGCTGTGGTTGTTGGTGGATTGAAAGCAGAAGTCGATCCAGAAGCAACCGGTTCTGTTGTGACAGAGGTTGGTTGTTGGGTAGAAGCTGTGGATTTAGGATTGCCCGAAGTTGTTGGAGCAGTTGATGGAGTTGAAAAAGTGACTGTTGATCCAGTATTTGGCACAGTCGGAATGTTTGATGTCGTAGGCATTTTTGATGAGCTCATCGTGCTACCTGGCCCTGAGACTGTACTGCTGACGGATTCTGGAGAAGTGCCGGTTGATGGTGAAGTGGCTCGTTGAGGCGTGGGTTCCATTGTTGATCTGAAACTTGGTACTTTTTACTTGATGCACAAATTTACCCAATAGTTGGTGATGTTCCAGCAGTTAACGGAACAGTTGTAGACATTGTTGGTGCAGTGATTGGCAGCGAAGTGGTGAAGGGCAATGTTGAGCCAGTTTGGCTAAAGCTATTAGGTTTTATAGTAGTTAAAGTTACAATGCCAGATCTTAAAACTACAATATTATGTTTGGTTACAGTATCTTTCATTGAGTACTCAATATTGAGCACTTTTTTAGACCTGTAGCAAGTTTATCCAAGGATACTGTATCAAGTTTATCCAAGTTTATCCAGTTTATCCAGTTTATCCAAAGAAGCTTTACTCAACAAGCTTTACCTCACGGTAGTGATTTGTCCATTAGTGCTGGATTGCAAGAGTGTTGTGGTTGTTGTTGGAGTGCTTGTTGGAGCAGTAGTTGTTGGACTAAATTAATGATAAAAGAATTGGACTGCTAGTTGAAATCAACGCTCACTAACCTTTTCGTAGTCAACTGCTTCAAGCAAAGGGTACGAATCGCGTTTGAAATCTCGTTCTTGCTAATCATTTCAGCTGTAATTGCAGCCAATCCAGTCAAGTCTTGTTCTAAATTTGGTCGCGATTCTTACTGTAAATTGTTACACTCACCATCGATACCAACACCGACCGTAAACTTCTTTTGTTTGTAAAGGGCTACTGTTTGATCAATCGTGACTTGATCACTGAAATGGTCGTGTAAAGTTTAGTTCTTCAAGTAGGGCGGGAAGATCCGGGTATTTCCTTCCCTTCCCCTTGTATTTCCTCTTTCTTTCATAGCAAGAAGATACCGGATAACTCATTGGTTAAAGCATTTGCCCGGAAAGCAAGCAGGAAAACCCGGGATCAATCCCCTCACCAGAAATCTTTCTTTGCCATTCCTTACTTTACTTTCCTTAGAGTTAAGAAACAATCCAAAATACAATACAAAATCTTGAATGATTAACCTGTTTGTGAAGAACACCAATACGTTCTCATCGCCAAGTTTCAAGTCATTCAATTTTGTTGCTGCCCTAAAAAGATCAAAATATTTAACTTGGCACATATTTTTGCTGTAAATTAGAAAAGAAAAGCACTCAAAAAAGCATTGGAAAGCATTGGAAAAGCACTCACTCGTTGACATATTCCTTTCCACCAACAAAGTTTTGAATTGTTTCTAAATAAGCTTCAAACGTATTGTTGCTCGATGTGAATTGGATATTTGCAAGCGGTGGATCTTGAGTCGCGTCTCCGTATTCCCAAATGGCGCCCAGAAAATTCAAATCGATTGCCCCAAACAACTGTGAAGCGGCTCTAGTGACAGAAATCTTTTGATCAAGAAAATCGGCCTGAAAATAGAATTTCTGGATTGAAAACATTTGGATTGATTGAATCATTCAGGAAGATTGAAAACTTGCCCTCCTTGCAACTTTGTCCGAACCATCGAGCACAAAGATTGCCTTACAAATTGGGTTCATATTGCTGGTGGTTGTTGGTGGACTAAAACCTTTTATTATATCGCTCTACAACTTACTAACCTCGTGGAAGTAGGTGCTGAACTTGAGCTCGTAGGTAATCCAGTGGTAGAAGTGCTTGGTTTGGTTGGCTCTGTGATTGGATTCGAGGAACTTCCCTCTGTTACCGGAATTCCAGTGGTTGTGCTGGGCTCAATCTTTCTAAAATTTCAACATTTAGAAAAAACAATGGTAACCCTGACATAGTGGTTGATCCGGTGTTTTTTATCTGGCTAGTTGTAGGTTTTGTTGGTACAGAAGTCGGTGAAGTGGTGGGCTTGGTTCTGGAAAGATTTTAAAGCTTGACAACAGAATATGGCTTCCGATTTTTGGGATTTTGTTAGGTCTCACGTTGTTGGGACTGAAGCTGAACCCGTCGTCTTGCTAGGCTCTACAGAGCTGCCCTCAGTCGGGACATTTGTTGATGAATGCGGTGTTGATCTAAATCTTCTAATGTTTAACTCAACACTTTGCCCTTACGAAGTCGTCTTCGGTGTTGCTGTCGAAACGCTCTAAAATTTTTATTTAGCAACTCTAATTTCAAAATTTTTACCGTAGATGGCGTAGCAATAGATACAGTTGGAACGGCTCTGAAAAGGATCGTTTACAGAATAAATCGTTGCTACTCACGTTGTCCAAGAACGCATCGAGTGGCATTTCTTGAGTAAAGTTTCGAAAAGAGTTTCAGCATCAAAAGACGAAGCGGTTCCCAGATTAGCAACATTGACAGTATTATCTAAAGTCTTGTTAATTAAACTTTTCCCATTCTGTTGCTTTACTACTGTTAATTAGACTTTTCCCATTCTGTTGCTTTACTGCTGCTAATTAAACTTGTTGTTTTTCGTCAGGTCATTATGATATTTCGCTTTAGCTCACCTATTGGTACGGCAATTGTTCTCCATTGTTGAGTGTAGTTATTTGCGGCTGCATCGACCGATGGTTGCAAACTAAACAAAGTTTAGAAAATCAGCTGAAAATGAGAATAGTTGAAAAATAGTTTTTACAAGGCAAATCAACTAGAATTAAACAAAACAAAAATCTTCTTCACCTTGCTGTCATCAAGACAATCACCGCCAACTCGGTTCTCCATTCATTTAGCCTGGCTGTGGCTCTAAAAGTTTAGGGAGTAATTAAATAAATAGTCAAAATAAATAGTAAGAAGAGACCTGAAAAAGTAAAAGCAATTTACATTAAGCTCAGAAAAGCTCTATATGTGAATTGAAAGGCTTCTGAAGCGTCTGAAATTCACTCACTCAACAACTCCGTCAAGTCCACCAGTCACAGCAACCGAATCAAGCAAATTATTGAAGGTTGGCTGATCAAAGAGGAATGTATTTGGGATTGCTGAAAAACAAAATCATTTTCATAGCGAAACCACAGCAAACTTGATGTCTTTGTATCCTTTCCAAACTGCCAAACATTTCCGCCCAGAGTGAAGTCATTCGTGACGAACATGTAATTGACCGCCGTTTTGACGGCTGTTTTTTCAAGATCAAACTGAGTCTGAAAATGTTTCGTGTAAACAGCAAGAACCCTCGTGATTGTGCTCACACATCAGAACTTACTTTTGCTAAATCTGATCCGTCCAGAACAAATAAAACTGGACATGGAGGTCCAGGTGGTTCGGTTGTTGTTGGTGTTGACGGAGTGGATTTGTAAGTTGTAGTCGGAGCTGTTGTAGTTGGTGGAGTGGTCGACGGAATCGCGATATTGTTTAGCCGAGCGCACACAGTCGACAGACCCGCAGAGAGAAAATCCCAATCATTAGGCACCGTTTCGAAGCCCAAATTGTGCATGTCTTGCGCTAAACAAAGTGCCAATGGGTATGTACACATTTTTCTGGTGGCTATTTTTTAAAATTGACAATAATAAGATTTAATTTTGATTTTAAGCTTAAAAGAAGCTTTAAAGGAGCTTAAAAGGAGCTTAAAAGGAGCTTTAAAGGAACTAAATAGGAACTATAAAGGAACTATAAAGGAGCTTTAAAGGAGCTTTAAAGGAACTATAAAGGATCTTTAAGATTAGATTAGAATGTTTTGTCAAATTTGCTGTTAAATTGCAAATTTGTAATCAACTTTGCCGCTAAATTTGAATTGAAATTGATTGAAATCTAAATTCCATTGATTGGAATTTCAAAAAGGAAAATGGTCACTAAAAAGTCAAAAGTACATCGTTAGGAGCTTATAATTAATTTTGACACTCACATTTTGACGCTCACACTTAAATTTAATTTGATATGCAATTTTGTGGCCACCAAAAAAGCTTTCGAAATGTAAAGTGGCTAACAAAAAAAATCACAAGTATTATAAGGCATCAAATATTTTTTAAAAATTTGTTATAGCCCTTAAACTATGATAATGTGAAACTTACATCCCAAGGCAACAGCCAATGTGTGATTCGTCCACTTATAATCGAGTGCAGCCTTGTCAATCAGGTCTTGGTCACTGAGAAAATACTTTTAAAGTACCGCCCCAAGTGTCCCCATTGCCAATGGCAATCCCGATTTTGAACGCGTATTTCTCGTGATCGGCTTATCCGATTTTTCTAGTTTTAGTTTCATTTGTTAGAGAAACTAATTACGAGTCGAATGGTACCAAGAATGTGCAAATCTGATGACCTTTACCAGTTTATAAACCGGATAAAACCCTAAAACCCTAAAATACAAATGGGGACACTTTTTTAAAGAAAAAGTCATAAAAAGTCGGTCGATTTGCACATTCTTGGTACCATTCGAATCGTAATGAGTTTCTCTATCAAATGAAAATAGGACTAGAAAAATCGGGTAAGTCGATCACGAGAAACACGCGTTCAAAATCGGGATTGCCATTGGCAATGGGGACACTCAATGGGGACACTTGGGGGCGGTACTCTAAAAGTATAATTGAGAAATCATTTTTTTTAATTTCTGTTCAAAAATTCAACCTGTTTGTGAACAAGACAATAGCTGTTGTATCATCAGGCGTCCACGAATTGAGCGTATTCACAGCACTAGATTTCCAAAATCAAGAATTCGTAGAAAAACTCACTCCGAGATCCTCGATTGTCCACCTTTCTGGTAATCGATATTTGTTACGGTCTTCTCGAAATCTTTGTAATTTGAGATGAAATCCGTTGGTGGGGAAGGGTCTCCATTATTAAAATATCGATAAACGTTAGCCGAGAAAATGTAGCCCGAAGAGGTGTTGAAGAGATCTTCCGCTGGGATCATCACCGAGTAGCCTTCCGCGGCAAAACCTAGCTAAAAACGAATTTGACGTGAATGATATCAAATGGTTAATCTACTCTATTGATTTATAATTTCAAATTCTAGTTTATCTATCATTCTGTTGCGATCGCTAACGACAATTTGGCTGTTTTGAATGAAAAGTTTAATTCAGTTCAATTAAATCGCTTTTCAATGCAAATTTGGAGTTAATGTCCGTCAAAATCTGTTAATAGAACAAAAATTCCAAGAATTGTAATGCAAATTTACACTCACCTCTGTTACAAGGCTGCTCATATCCATTACAAAAAGAGCGTTGCAGATGGGTGGTGGAGTGGTCGTTGGCGTGGGAGCTAAAACAAAATCATTTTCACTTTGGACTCTTATAGGAAACAACTATTAGGCTGTTCAGAAAATGCACCAATTGAACGACGGTTTATTTCATTAGAAAGGCCAATGATTTTTCTACAAAATAACATTGAGGGCTTAAAATGGGCTTAAAATTACTTATTTCTGGATTTTTTTGGGCGAGTGAAGTCGGGTAGTCAAAAAGAAACAAAAAAGGACAATGACGATGAAGGAGGATGCGGCTTAAACAGCTCGATGATGCGGTTCAGACACTTTCAGCTAAGGAAACCTATCTTTGTGTTAATAGATAAAAGATAGAGCACAAAAAGCTTGATATATAGCTAAACTTTCAGAGAAATTGAGCCAGCCAATTTCTTCGTAGAGGTTTTTCAAGATTTTGACGAGAAAACTCTAGAATTTTTGCGAAAAACCCGCTTTTCACTCTCGAATTTGCTTGAAAGTGAACTGAAATTAACTTAAAAAGATGGGAAATTGAACAATAAACACTTTTTATCTAGAGTAAACCATAGGTTAATTGGTGAATTTGTTATTTTACAACGGAAGTATGAAAAAGGGTGAAAAGACTTTCTGGAAAGGCTAAGAGTAAAACAATGCTCATATTGGAAGTCTAATAGTAAAAGAATGCTCATCTACAAAGCTCAAAACCAACTTGATGCAGTCGTTTCGGTTTCTGTGGGAGTCGTTGGTCCTTTTGTCGATTTGATTGTCGTTGAAATTCCACCCAATTGTGAGCAAACTTTGAGCACATTGTTGGTGATTGCTTTGGCGCTAAGTTCGGCAACATAGTTTGAAATCGGTGTCAAATCAACTAAACAAAAATCTATTGTTTATTAGTATTCATAAAGTTGAATCAAAGGCCTGAAACTGGAGATGTACGATCGGTTTTACGCGTGACCAATCTTGATCACTTTTCTTCATTTACCTGTTGTGAAAGAGGTGAACGCAACCGTTCGATCCTTTCGGCCATACATTGAACCAGCTTGATTAATTAACGATTGCTCGCTAAACTAATTAATGAACATTTGCTGTGGACTAGTGACCTGTTAGTAAATACCACAACGACAGCACTTTGAATATCCCAGTCATCAATGGCATTGGTGGCTCTAAATCTCTTTCAAAAAGATCTCCAGTGATAGCCTTACTGGACTACAGTATCCGAGCCTCCACTGTAATTGAAGCCTGCCATCAACAAAGAAAATTGGTCTAAATCAAGAAAAGAAACTGGCAACGGCAAGTCGGTATTGAGATCTTCGTAAACCCAAGCGTTTGCAGTGAAAATATAATCAGTCGACGTGTAGAGGGCACTGGCCACTGCCTGCATGACGATCTTCTCGGTTGCAAAGTCAGACTAAACTTGGTTGATTGCAAAGACTGATGTTTGCTTTCAAATTCACCAAGGTAAACAACTTTACTTTCTTTTTTGACAATTTTAAACGTTCTGAAAAATAGCTACAAACCTTTTTAGCTTTATTGCTTCCATCCAAAACGAAAAGCGTTCGGCAAGGCTGAATGGAAGGAATCGTTGTAGTTGTAGTCGTAGACGTTATCGTTGATGTACCTTCTGTACTTTGTGTGCTAGTAGGCTGCATTTCAGCGGGTGTTGTGGATGGAGCTGTCTTTGCAGTCGTAGACATTGTCGTTGATGTACCTTCTCTACTTTGTGTGCTAGTAGGCTGCGTTTCAGCGGGTGTTGTGGATGGAGCTGTCGTTGCAGTCGTAGACATTGTCGTTGATGTACCTTCTGTACTTTGTGTGCTAGTAGGCTGCGTTTCAGCGGGTGTTGTGGATGGAGATGTCGTTGTAGTCGTAGCCGTTGTCGTTGGCGGAATTGGCGGTAAATTATTCTCCAAGTATTGCGAGATGTTCTCTGGTGGAAAATTCATGTCAACGATCAAAGTTGGATATTTTGAATCGGATAAGGCATAATTGTTCTTGACTTGGTCTTCAGTTAAATCGGAAGAGATTAAGATCAGCTTCTGCAAGGAAGCCTTTGAGAATAAACCGGCTGTGTCACTCATTCCCGTTTTCCTAAATTTGATATATGTTTGTCTTCAGTTTCTCTATTTTTTCTATAAGTTAACCCACATTGGAGCACAGGGAACAAAGTGGACCAGCTCAGTGATGTAGTTTGAGCTCTCAAACAGGTTCATGGCTCTGAAAACCAAAAGATAATGAATATTTGTAACTTTGAAACTTTTAAAGACTATGTACATGTATTCAACTTACGCCATTTCATTAGCCCCATTCTTCATTGGCGCTGTAAGATTGGCCAGGTAAACAAGGGCATCGCTTCGGCTCATAAACGGTGTAATAGCCGGGGAATCATCTGGTTGCCAATATGTCAAATAAGCGACTTGCATCGAATCATCCAATCCATTCAGCGTCTCGCTGATCATGTTTTTGATCTAAGAATAAAGATTTACTTAATCCGAAGAAATCTTACTGATTCAGTTAGAAAATAGCATGAATAAACGGCATCTTTGGCAACTTTTGAAGGCATGATCATATCGATCAAGTAAATTGAGAAAGTAACATTATAAGTAGACGGTAGAAGAGATGTGGTTACTGAAATAGGCTTGCTCTTGTTTTGATAGTATTCAAAGTGATTGTGTAATGCACAAAACTAAAACCAGAAAGACATTACCACCATTTCTTTGACTTTATTCACGCATCTTTTTATAAAAAACAACTTTTAATTTACTTATGGAATTAAAAAAGTTGAAGCTTTTCTGTTTTTTAAAAAGTGCTGAGTTTAGGATAATTAATCAAGTAACTTTTCAAATTGCTTTTTAAACTCGGAGCCATTTTTGTCCAAAGAATAAGTTGTGCCAGATTTAACTGGTACATAGTCAGAAAGATGTCAAAAATAAAGCCATAACAAAGCCAATGCTCAGTGAAGATCGTCATCCAAACGTTCGTCCAAAAGAATTTCAAAGCTTCATTTCTCTTACCCGTTGGCAGAGTTGTGGTCACAGCTGGCGGCAAGTTGTGCTCCAAATAGTGCGAAATGTTCTCCTTTGGCACATCTTTATCAAGAATCAATGTTGAATAACTGGAATCATTCGGTAGATTGTAGTTGCTGATGATTTGGTCTTGATTCAGATCGCTAGAGATTAGAACAAGCTTTTCCAAAGAGGTTGCAGAAAAGAGACCAGACGCGCCATCCATTCTCCTAAATTTCAATTTGACAAGCCTCAAAAAGGTTAACTCACATCGGTTCACACGGAACGAAGTGGACCAACTCGCTGACGTAATTCGTTTTATCGAATAGGGACATTGCGCTGAAATTTGGGGATTTTCTTTGGTAGATTGTTAAGATTTAAAAACAAAAGTTGAGGTTTCTGGCTCAATCAAGTGAAAACTGTTCACGCAATAGTTCCTCCAAACTTACGCCATCTCATTCGCCCCATTCAACATCGGAGTATTGCCCGCAAGAGTATCCACATAGGCAATCGCGTCTTGTCGACTCATCAACACCGTCATCGATGGGGAATCGGGTGGCTGATAATAGGTGAGAAAAGCGACTCCCACAGAGTCATCCAATCCATTCAATGTGTCTTTGACGATGCCTTTTATCTAAAACAAAGATCGAAATCAATAATGACACCAATTTTACATCACTGATAAAATAGCAATTATTCGAGGCATCTTTTTGAAGCCATTTGATTTGGAGCCATGATCATGTCAATCAAATACATTGAAAAGGTCACATTGTAGAGTGCGCCGGATGCTGGAGCTGGAGGAACTGAAAAGGAGGAAACTTGAATGGTTTGGCATTCGTCTGATCTTGATTTACGATAATAAAATCTAACTGTTCCCTAGTTAGAACAAGAGATGCAATGATAGTTCAATCAATCAGTAATCTTCAATCAATCATTTTTCAGTAATATAGTAATGATATTCAAAGTTATGATAATTCAATCAAAGATGTTGACTCCAACAATCCAAGCTAGCTTTGAATGCTTGGGAACGGTTAGGTTTGATCGTTGCAAACCCAAAGCAGTCAACCAATCGTGGGCAATAGAAACCAAATTGGTTTGATTCGGATTCTCGATGATAAAATCTAGTCATCCTCTAATTTTAGAACAACGGCACAGTAATCAAGACAAATTTTTACAAACTTGTTGGTCGAGCCCGGTGTGTCAGCCCAACAGCCAGCCCAACGGCGATAATCACGGCGGCTCCCAGTGCACAGACAAAAATACTCGGTAACAACCATCGTCGACGCCTCTTTTGCCCTATCCGCTCCATCTTGTTTCACGCCAAGTTTTGTTTTTTGGCTAAAGATTGAATCTGTAATTTCTTGAAATCTTTTCCTTCTTTCTTTTCCAAAACAGTGATCAAAGATTTTCATGAAAAACGAAAGCTTTTCATTTGATCAAAACGGAATAGAAAAATAGAATAGCGAAAGTTTTCTCCTTTTTAAATTCTCTTTAATTGAATTCTCTAGCTGATTATTTCCTAAGTGTTTATAGCCAAAAGATAGCCAATTTTCCACAGAATTTAGATTTTATTCTCTTTTTTCAATAGCTTCTTTAAATTTTGAATTATCACAATTTGCGTGGGCTCTGTGGTCGCATCAGCTAGTTAGTATTACCAGTATAAGAAAATCTGTGAGACTTAGAACTCAGACAATTAGGAGTATTCAAAAAATTGTTTATTAGTTCAAAACTGGAAATACAACAACAGTTTTCAATAAGTTTGTAATTTTAATGAAAATGCAGTGAAAGCCTGCAGTGAAAAAGGGCAAAAATTTGTGCGAGCTTTTTCGAAGAGCATAGAATAGCGATAACTGAAAATCTAAAGAAGCTATTTTAAAACTGTAATAAGATTTAAATTCTGTGGAAAACTGGCTATCTTTTGGCTATAAACACTTATAAAATAACATCAACTAGGAAGGTTTTAGAGGGAATTCTAAAAAGCACAGAACTTTTGCTGCATCCTGTAAAAGAGCAGTGGAAAGCTGATAAATTCGGAAGTCGAATAAATTGAGTTTGTCACAAAGTTATGTTAAGTTTTCTTAAAAGAATCAAAACTGAAAGTTGATTCTAACATTTTTAATGTCCCGTAGATTTGAAAACGGTACATATGGGCTATCTTCCCGCCACTCAAAATGGCTTTGAGGATTTCTTGTGGTCTGACGAAACAATTTTTACTGTTGAAGTTGCTCACAACCCACAAAACCATCATCAACTATTGCTCCCAGATCAAAAGAACATATTGAAACGAAAAATCCGGGCAAGGACCCTTTTTTTCCGAAAGAATTGATGATTTGGGGTGGAGCCACTGCAAAAGGAAGACTCGGAAGGAACGAGTGACTTGTTTTCATCGACATTTCATCGACAAAAGCGTCAAAATCAACGCTCAAGTCTATCAAAATGAGGTTCTGAATAAAGTTAAATTCAAATTTTCGAGTGACGCGGAGATAACCCATATTTACCTCGAAAATCGTTAAAGACTTTCTTATCGTTAAAGAAGAAGAACTGGCGTGTGACTTCTTTTGGTGAAATTTGGTGACCGAGTTCAGATGCATCGATTTTGGAATATCAAATTTAGTAAACTGTAAAAATATTTTAGAAAATCGAGTTTGTTTCAACTCCTATACAGTGCTTTCTTGACGATTTTTCTTCATAAACCAAACGATCGTTAAACGTTAAACGTGGAGAGCGTTAAACGATCTGCGAGCTCAAAAGTTCCCATAAATATTGAACACTTTGTAGAGGATTTTAGAGAATAAGTAAATTTTGTTAAAACTATGAAAACAGGGTTAAAACGAAGTTTGATTTTACTCAATCATTTGAATTTTTGCATGTTTTTGCTCTGAGTTTGACTTGGTTTTAAATAAATTTGAAAGAACAGAATAGGGCTTGCGGAGGACGGGTTTCATGCCGGGGGGTTTGGGGGAAACATGAAGGGGGGGAGATGTCGAAAATTTTGTCCGGACTCATCAAGTAGGTCTAGTCAAAATCTAATAAAGCTATTCATAATTTTGATGACTCAGTAATTTTGCTATACATAATTTTATCATACTTTTGCTATTCATAAGCAATTTTACTTCATACCTATTCATAATTTTACATAGAAAGCCGCCAAAATTGCTTAGTTACTAACGTTTTAATGGCTTAATTCTTAAGTTTAATTCAATTCTTAAGATTCTCGAGAAATTTTAGCACTTTTAGTCAAAGCAAAACAATTTTTCTCGATCCCTTGAATCATTTCCCAATTCATTGTACAAATTTTTGCTTTTTGCTCAAGAATTCAGTGACTTCGCATTGATAGCCATGTTTCTTTTTCTGTTTTTTTTTCTCTCTTCACAAATTCTTGCTATCAATTGCACTCTCATTTCAGCACTCAAAGCCACAAGATGGTGCCTGTCCGCAAAAACTCTTAGGTTTTTCTATCTTTTACGAGAAGGGGAAACGCCCATTTTTGGTGATAAGCCTCTATGCCCACAGATTCTTTTCACCGCCATTTTTCTTCTAAATTTTCCCAGAACATTGGCGGTCACCGGATTTTGGAATTCGTGCAACTAGGGTTAAAGATTAAACACGGGGTTTAGTTTTGATAAGTGTTCACGGTGAATCAGAGAAACCACAGTTTCTTTGACCACACCCTTTTCTTACAGAAGAATAGAATAAAGGATAGGGTTGGGTTAAAAGATTTTGTTGATACAAATCAAATAGCAATTACTCGAATAGAAGACCCCTGTCAATCCCTCAAAATCGGAACTTTTCCGAACTTCTTTTTAGCTTTTCGAATTACCTAGCTAAGTAAGTAGCTAGAATTGGAGATTTTGATGAGATAGAAGTATTTTAGTTTCGACAATAAAATTGGAAAGGTAGTTTTTGAAAAAATTGGAGAACAAATTTATTAGAATAGCGAAACCAAAATCAAAGAAGCTATTCAAAACTGTAATAAGATTGAACCTGTGGAAAATTGGCTATCTTTTGGCATAAACACTTATAAAATAACACAACTAGGAAGGTTGAGGTAACTAAAATGGACAGAATTGCTGCACCTGTAAAGAGGGGAGCTGACAGGGTCGATAACTACCGATATTGCAAGTTCCATTTAGCTACTTACTTAGCCATTTAGCTAGGTAATTCGATTTGTGCTAAGATAGAAGTATTTTAGCTTTGGCAATAAAATTGGAAACGTAGTTTTTGAAAAAATTAGAAAATAATTTCTTCAAAAAATTTTATGTAGTCCCCCACATGGATTTTTTTTTTGGGAGATTCTCTACGGGGTCCGGATGAGAAAACAATTCCACTTTTAAACGTTTTTGGCACGTTTTGAATCAAGCTCTATCGTTTAGAATAGTTTTTAACAATTATTAAAGTTTTAATTCCTGTGCGGGTCCTACTTTTTGACCGATCGATTTTGAGCGGTCGAAAAAGAGAAGACCTGGATCTTCTATTGAAATATTTACAGTGGATTTATCCAATGTACTTACAAAGGAAGGCTAGAAACTAGATAAACATGCCGATTAAAATAAAAGTAGAACCAGCGACTTTGCCGGAAAAGCAAGTAGCTTTATAACTCGAAACTTTTGAACAGAGAAGAAAGTTAATTTTTGCCAATAATCTCAATTTTGATTCAATTCTAAGCTTCAAATTTCCCATCTTAAGGACATGAAATGAGCAAGAACGAGTTTGCACGAGCCCATGATAAAGTGACGATTATAATTATAAATCTATCCTAAAGTGATGTGCTCCTGTTCCCTAACATTCTCCTAAAATTCTATTCTCCCCACAAATTTTTTCTCAGTCCCCTCATGAAACTGTCAACGATTTCGCGGCACGCTTATCTAGAAATTTACCGCAAACGAGTGCATCCGAGTCTATAAAATCCCGTAAGTTGATAAAACGTAAAAAACAATGTCTAGCGTAAATCTTAAACAAATTTCTCTAGATAAAAATGCCAGTAAAAAACAAGAAAAAGGTCAAAACTAGACCTGCTTAACGAGTCCGGACAAAATTTTCAGACAGTCTGCCTCGCTCTTCGATTTTTTTACTACCCAAAGCTCCGTCGAGCATGAAACCCAGTTCCCCCGCAAGCCCTTATTCTAGGTTTCATTTTGATACTAAACATGGCTAGGTTCTGTCTTGTCATTCTTGAGATTTCGATCATTTTAGATAAACATTTTTCTGGACTCGTTAAGCTTATTGAGTCCGGAACTCTTATCGAGTCCGGCGAAAGATTGATCGAAATCTAAAGAATGACAAAACAGAAACTAGCCATGTTTAGTATCAAAATGAAGCCTAGAATAAGGGCTTGCGGGGGAACTGGGTTTCATGCTCGAAGGAGCTTTGGGTAGTAAACAATCGAAGAGCGAGGCAGGCTGTCTGAAAATTTTGCCCGGACTCTTCAAGCAGGTCTTCTCAAAACTCATACAAACAATGACGGACAACTTGAATTTGACTGAAAGCTTGAATTAAAGCTTAGAAGGATTGGAATCTATCCACAAAACAATGAATTTCTGTTAAGTAAATGGTTTTTTTAAATTTAAAAGGTTCTTAGTATGAAAAAGAAGCAAACGGAAATAGAAATCGGAAGATCGCAGTGAGTTATGCAAAATGATGTCCATTCTAGACTTAAAACTTGTTTTTAAGTCTCAATTCTTGTCTTATATAATAGTTAGTGAAGTTTTGATTCTAATTTTACATCCTTACATCAAATAGCTAAGGTGGAGAAACCAAATAAAAGTGGAGATTAAAATCCATGTTTCTATATACACGATCTTTTTGGTGATACAAAGAAGAAAATAAAGGAGACATATTTCGTGTTGAAGCAAACCAAACTAATATACTAAATAGTTTAGCAAAAGTGAAAGCAATAAATTATCAGTCATTTCTCAATTTGAAGTGATTGTAAAGTGGATTTATTTGTGCGAAAATCTCCTTCTCTTTTTCGTTTCTCTTCTCTTCTCATTTTGTTCATTTCTTCAGATTCCTTGTCAGTTCCTTCCTTTTCCCCTACCGATTTTCACTTCCAAACGTAGAAGAAAAAGCCGAAATGGAAAACGATAAGCCACCGCAGAAAATCTGGAAATCTGCTCAAACTGAATTGCATTTCAGAAAGAATTTTTTTATCTTGAAAGTTTATCATCAAAAAGAAAATGAGATCACAGTGTTTGGGAAATAACCAAAAACGGATATTTATGGCACAAGTTGATGCTGCTGCTAAATTAACTTGATGCCGATGAGGTGGAAGCCTGAGAGCTCAAAGAACTCCCGGAATCAGTCTGAGCGGTTGAGCTGCTTGATGAGCTTGGATTCCCGGTCGTTGATGCGAAACTTGATGAACTAGCAAAATCAGTTGATGATGTTGGATCGGATGGATTCGAGCTCGTTGAGCGTGCCGTTGAAGTCATAGCGTTTGAGCTCATTGAACTACTTCCAGATTGAGAACTCGTGGAACTTTGAGATCCTGTTGATGATTGTGTTGAGCTTGCAGTTTGAGGGCTTGAGCTCAAATCAGTAACCGTTGAATCCGTGGGTTGACTTTGAGTTGATCCAGTGCTGCCTGATGAGGGTAATGTGTTTGAAGCAGCTTGCGTTGTTTTCACCGGGTTTTTTGAATTGTTTTTATAGTAGACCTTTTTGGTAAAAATAGTTATTAACTATTTAAACTAAATATTGATATACCTGTAGATGTTGTTTGTGGGTTTACAAGCTTTGTGCAAAAAGCATTAATCGCTTGAGGTAGTGTAACTAGGATATCGGGATCCGTGGTATAATCGTCACTATCATAGGATAGCCGGGTGAGATCTTGATCTTAAAATTTTTGATTAAAAATAATTAGAGATAAAACACTAACTGCCCATCATTCCAATAGCATATGTGAAGCCTTTGTAGAGACTAGCATTTGCTTGATCAATTGTAGATTGGGGTCTAAAATACGCAAACTTATAATTAGTCAAAGTTATTGAGTAGCAAATAAAAATTCTTTTCATTCTTTGAAAAAGTCACTTAGATAAATTGGTAAATTGTATTAATTAGATAAATTGGCAAAATCACTCAATGCAAATTTGGGTAGGGTAAAATCGAATAGTGATTTGAAATAGATTTTAAAATAAAGCACCATAGCCCTTTTAAAAGCAACTCACGCAGCTACGAAAAGAATTGTTAACACATTTCCAAAATCAGAATCCCCGTTCATTGTGGCAATGGCACTGAAATTTTGTTTAAAAGTCCAAAGTTCTTTTGTTCAATATAGCAGCGAACAAATTGATACCTTGTAACATCATCGCCTGATGGAAAAGAAAAGTGCAATGAACCGAGAGTTGATGCAAAATTCGGAAAATTTTCGATAAGAGTGCTAGGGTCCGGGTCACCAATTGTAAACTAAAATAAACACCCATTTAAACGCACTCGATTAAGTCTCACCTCTCCAAATGCACTAACAGAGCTAAGGAAACGCCACTCATGAGTTTGATACATTGAGCTAGCCACTGTTTGGGTAAGAGCCTTTTGTTGGTCAATTACAGTTTTCTAAAAATGTTTTGGTTCTTTAATTTTGCATAGCTAAATCTTTTTACAATATTTGCTCGTTAGAAAAACCAAGTTACCGCTGCAGATCCGTCAATATAAAAGAAGACTGGACACGGTGGTGGTATTGGAGTAGTGGTTGACGTCAGTTCTGTAAAGATAACGATTAGTTAACATGAATTAAGATGCGTGGATAAATCATCCTTACTATTAGTAAATTTACCTGCACTTGTGGAACTGAATGATTCGGTGCTCGGCACAGATTCGGTAGAATAGGTGCTCGTGCTTCCCGTGAAAGGAGGTGTCGTTGTCGAACTGGCCACAGAAGGTGGGGTTTCAGTGGTGGCCGTGGATTGTGTAGGCCCAGAAGTTGTACTCTGTGGCGTTGTTGAAGTGCCGGTGAATGTTGTTGATTCACTGGTAAATGTTGATTGCGGTGACGAAGCGATTGTGCTTTCACTTGTATCAGTGGCAGTTGATGCAGTGTTAGGCAGTGTGAACTGCGTTGAGCCGGAAGTGGTGCTCTCAGCGGTGGTGGAAGTGCCTGTGAATGGTGCGATTGATTCAGTGGGGACGGTTGATTGTGGTGAGGAAGCAATTGTGCTTTCGCTTGTAGCGGTAGACAGAGTTGGACCAGAAGTTGTGCTTTCACTGCTCGCTGATGGACCAGTTGATAACGATGAAAAAGGGCTTGTGGAACTTGGTGATTCGGTGCTCGGCACAGATTGAGTAGAATAGGTTCCCGTGCTTCCCGTGAAAGGAGCTGTCGTTGTCGAACTGGCCACCGAAGGTGGGGTTTCAGTGGTGGCCGTGGATTGTGTAGGCCCAGAAGTTGTACTTTGTGGCGTTGTTGAAGTGCCTGTAAATGTTGTTGATTCACTGGTAAAGGTTGATTGCGGTGAGGAAGCGATTGTGCTTTCACTCGTAGCAGTGGCAGTTGATGCAGTGGCAGTTGATGCAGTGTCTGGTGGCAGTGATTGAGTGGTGGATTGGCTTGGACCAGAAGTGGTGCTTTCAGGTGTAGTTGATGAGCCTGTGAATTGAGCAGTTGATTGACTTGTGAGTGTGGACTGTGGTGAGGTGATGCTTGTGCTTTCACTAGTGAAAGCGATAGTTGATGCAGTGTTAGGCAGTGTGAACTGCGTTGAGCCGGCAGTGGTGCTCTCAACGGTGGTGGAAGAGCCTGTGAATGGTGCGATTGATTCAGTGGTAACAGTTGATTGCGGTGAGGAAGCGATTGTGCTTTCACTTGTAGCGTAAGTGGACCAGAAGTTGATGCTTCAGTGTTCTGGTGGACCAGTTGATAATGATGAAAAAGGGGGGGGGGTGGTGGATTGGCTTGGACCAGAAGTGGTGCTTTCAGGTGTAGTTGATGAGCCTGTGAATTGGCAGTTGATTCACTGGTAGCGGTTGATTGCGGTGACGAAGCGATTGTGCTTTCACTTGTGAAAGTGATAGTTGATGCAGTGTTAGGCAGTGTGAACTGCGTTGAGCCGGAAGTGGTGCTCTCAGCGGTGGTGGAAGAGCCTGTGAATGGTGCGATTGATTCAGTGGTAACAGTTGATTGTGGTGAGGAAGCAATTGTGTTTTCGCTTGTAGCAGTGGACAGAGTTGGGCCAGAAGTTGTGCTTTCGCTGCTCGTTGATGGACCAGTTGACACTGATGAAAAAGCAATTGTGCTTGTTTCAGCGGCTGTTGAGCCGAACAGTGCTTTCAGGCGTGAGTGTGGCCAGAAGTGGTGCTTTCAGAGGCAATTGTTGAACCACTACTGGTGCTTTGAAGCGTGACTGTTGAACCTGTGATTGTTGATTCAGAAGCTGTTTGTGAATAAGCGGTAGTGCTTTGGCTTGGCTTAGTGTTGGTAGTCGAGCCAGTGAAAAGCGTTTGTGATTCAGTTGAGAAAGTGGATGCGAAAGATGTGCTTTCCGAAAAGCTTCCAGTGGATGGTGATGAACCTGAGAAAGAAGCATGTGAGTCAGTGATAGTTTCAAGTGTTGAAGAGGCTGTGCTTGTAAAGCTTGCTGGAGTTGAGCTAGCTGTAGGTGATGCAAGGGAGGTTGAGAACATTTTTGAAGCAATTGAGCTGGTTGTAAAGCTTGAAGTGGTAGGAGGCAAGCTTGTGTCAATTAGTACAGTACTGGAAGCTGGCTGAGATTCAGTAGAAGAGCTAGTTGTAAGGCTTGAAGCTGTAGGAGGCAAGCTTGTGTCAGTTAGTACAGTACTGGAAGCTGGCTGCGATTCAGTAGAAGCAAGTGAGCTGCTTGTAAAGCTAGTTGTAAAGCTTGAAGCAGTGGAAAGCAAGCTTGTGGCAGTTAGTAAAGGACTGGAAGCTGGCTGAGACTCAGTAGAAGCAATTGAGCTGCTTGTAAAGGTTGAAGCAGTGGAAGGCAAGCTTGTGTCAGTTAGTACAGTACTGGAAGCTGGCTGCGATTCAGTAGAAGCAATTGAGCTGCTTGTAAAGCTTGAAGTAGTAGAAAGCAAGCTTGTGTCAATTAGTACAGTACTGGAAGCTGGCTGAGACTCAGTAGAAGCAATTGAGCTGCTGGTAAAGCTTAAAGCAGTTGTTGGCAGTATAGTAGAAGCTGGTTGCGACTCCCTGGTAACATCAGTGGACACTGGTTCACTTGATAAGAAACCAGTTGTGCCATCAGAAGCTGAAGACTCAAAACTATTAGTTGCGGTACTAGTCACAGAGCTAAAAGCGGTAGAAACAATGGAATTTGAGGCAGAAGCAAAGCTTATAGAGGAGGAGATAAAAGCGGTTGATTTAGATTCTGTGGGAGTTTCTGTTGTTGCTGACGTTAGCTCAGCCGGTTGTGTGAAATCTGTTGACGTTTGTGAAGAAATTATTGAGCTAGTGAAATATGTAGATGTTGTTGATTCTTCAGTCAGTTCCGTTGTCTCTATCTCAGCTGTACTCGAAATTGAAACGGTGTTCGTTGAAGTCTCAGCCAAAGTTGAAGTTTCCTTTGAGTCTGATATTGTTGAACTTGTTGATGGAATGGTTGAAGAAGCTATTAGTTCTTCAGTCGTTGTTAATCTTTCGTTAGTCGTCGATTCAATTTCAGTTACAGTTTGTCGACTCATGGTTGTTGTTGGAGTTTCTGTAGAGGTTTCTGTAGAAGAAGCAGCTTCTGTTGTAACACCTAAAGTTTCTTTGGAGGTGACCAAAGTCGTAGAAGTGCTTTCACGGTTCGTTGAGCTTTCTGGTGTGGTTTCAAAACTTGTAGAGAAGTTGGGCGTTTCAAAACTGGCACTAGATGATGAGAATACTAAAGTTGTGCTAGTATCGCTCATTTCCGTTGTTGTGATCAACCTGTTGCTAGTGCTTTCTTCTGGCATTGTTGTAATTGCTTTATTTGTTGTTGTTGAAGAGTTTGGAGTTTCCAGAATAGTTGTAGATTTTGGGTTTTCAGTTGTTGTTGGCAAACTTTGTGTTTCGGTGTTTGTGAAAGCCGTAGACGATACACTCAAATGCTCAGTTGATGAAGGGTAAATAGTTGAGCTTTCAGAAACAAGAGTGCTTTCCCATGTTGTCATTGCTTCAGGTGTTGGTGTGGTTGAAGGGCTTGATGCTTCCAATATGGTTGTAGACCTTGGAATTATTGATGAACTTGACTCCATATTTTCAGCGGCTGTAGATGAACTTTGTGTTTCAGTGTTTGTGAAAGCCGTAGACGATACACTCAAAGTTCTCCGGTTGTTGAAACGGGTTCTCCGAAATAGTTGAACCGCTTTCAGAAACAAGAGTGCTTTCCCATGTTGTCATCGCTTCAGCTATTGGTGTCGTTGAAGAGCTTGTTGCTTCCAATATGGTTGTAGAACTTGGAACTATTGATGAACTTGTTGAAATGAGTTCTCCGGTTGTTGAAACGGGTTCTCCGGTTGTTGAAATGAGTTCTCCGGTTGTTGAAATGAGTTCTCCGGTTGTTGAAATGGATTCTCCGGTTGTTGAAATGAGTTCTCCGGTTGTTGAAATGAGTTCTCCGGTTGTTGAAATGAGTTCTCCGGTTGTTGAAATGAGTTCTCCGGTTGTTGAAATGAGTTCTCCGGTTGTTGAAATGAGTTCTCCGGTTGTTGAAATGAGTTCTCCGGTTGTTGAAATGAGTTCTCCGGTTGTTGAAATGAGTTCTCCGGTTGTTGAAATGAGTTCTCCGGTTGTTGAAATGAGTTCTCCGGTTGTTGAAACCGGTTCTCCGGTTGTTGAAATGGGTTCTCCGGTTGTTGAAATGAGTTCTCCGGTTGTTGAAATGAGTTCTCCGGTTGTTGAAATGAGTTCTCCGGTTGTTGAAATGAGTTCTCCGGTTGTTGAAACGGGTTCTCCGGTTGTTGAAACGGGTTCTCCGGTTGTTGAAATGAGTTCTCCGGTTGTTGAAACGGGTTCTCCGGTTGTTGAAACGGGTTCTCCGGTTGTTGAAATGAGTTCTCCGGTTGTTGAAATGAGTTCTCCGGTTGTTGAAATGAGTTCTCCGGTTGTTGAAATGAGTTCTCCGGTTGTTGAAACGGGTTCTCCGGTTGTTGAAATGAGTTCTCCGGTTGTTGAAACGGGTTCTCCGGTTGTTGAAATGAGTTCTCCGGTTGTTGAAATGAGTTCTCCGGTTGTTGAAATGAGTTCTCCGGTTGTTGAAACGGGTTCTCCGGTTGTTGAAATGAGTTCTCCGGTTGTTGAAACGGGTTCTCCGGTTGTTGAAATGAGTTCTCCGGTTGTTGAAACCGGTTCTCCGGTGGTTGATCTACTCTCTGAACTTGAAGGCAATTCAGTGACACTTGTGAAAATGATCGTTGAGGTAGGAATCAAAGTTGTATCCGAAAAAACGATGGGTGCACCAGAACTTGTCTGTTCTAAAGTGGTAGTTTCAAACGGTTTTGTAGAATGTTCACTTGTCTTTACGGTTGTAGAAGCATCCGGTTTGCTAGAGGTAGTGGATTGAAGTGAAAATACAATTGAGCTCGTATCAAAGGTTGTATCGAAAGAGTCTGTGGACGCATCAGAACTTGTCGGTTCTATTGTATCAGTTGTAGATCCAAATGGAGAAGTTGTGGAGGCTTTGCTTGTCTCTACGGTTCTAGAAGTATGCGGCTGTTTGCTAGAGGTAGTGGAGCTCATGTTGAACGCTGTATCAGAAAAGCCTGTGGATAAATCAGAGCTTGTCTCCCCGCTTGTAGAACTTGTACTAGTAGCTTCGGAAGTTTCAATTGTCTCGATTGTTTTATCACTTGATTTGCTAGGAGTTGCCATGTTCGACGTTGTATCAGAAAAGCCTGTGGATGAATCAGAGCTTGTCTCCCCGCTTGTAGAACTTGTACTAGTAGCTTCGGAAGTTCCAATTGTCTCTATTGTTGTATCACTTGATTTGCTAGAAGTTGATGTCAAGTCCACAGTTGAACTCGTTGTTTCTACTGAACTAGTCAAAAGAATAGATGTTTCACTTGAAGTAGAAGGTGTACTAGACGCAGTTGAGTTAGCAACAAGGGTTGTATCAGAAAACCTCGTGACTTCAGAACTTTTTGCTTCAGTACTGGAAACTTCTTGTGAATTGGTAGAGGTTCCACCAATTTGTGTCGTTGTAAAAACAGAAGAAGAAGCACTTGATGTGACGTTCATGGTTGTACTGGAAAAGATCGTGGATTCTTCAGATGGTTGAGTTGTAGCTTCGTGCGTCAACACAGTTGAGGTTTCACTCTGTGCCGTGGAAACAAGAGATATGGTAGGAACAGTTGAGTTAAGATTTGGGATCGAGCTCGTAGATGGTTCAAAACTTGTTAGCTCTGTTGCATTAGTCACTTCGGAAGTAGCGGTTTCATTTAGCTTTGTTGTTGTAGAAGCATCAGGTAGTTCGCTAGAGGCTGTAGATGAAAACATGGCAGTTGAGGCAGTTAATGTTGTAGCCGAATCCGTCTGGAAGTTTGAACTTGTTCCTGTTGAAAGGGTGGATTTTTCATTTATTTGAGCTGTTGTAGAAGAAATGGGCATACTAGAAGCAGTGATGTTCATGGTTGTTTCCGAAGAACTTGTTACTTCAGAATGTGTCGTAAAACTCGTAGATTTTTCAGTACTTGTTAATTCTGTTATGTTAGTGGTTCCAAAAGTGGTAGTGCTTTCATTTAGTCCAAGAGTTGTAGAAGCATCCGGAAGTTCGCTAGAGGTTGTAGATGAAAACATGGTAGTTGAGGCAGTTAATGTTGTAGCCGAATCCGTCCGGAGGTTTGAGTTTGTTCCTGTTGATGAAGAAATGGGTATACTAGAAGCAGTGATGTTCATGGTTGTTCCCGAAGAACTTGTTACTTCAGAGTGTGTTGTAAAGCTCTTAGATGTTTCAGTACTTGTTAATTCTGTTATATCAGTGGTTTCAAAAGTGGTAGTGCTTTCATTTAGTCCAAGAGTTGTAGAAGCATTCGGAAGCTTACTAGAGGTTGTAAACGAATCCGTCTGTAGCCTTGAACTCGTTGGCTCTACTGTACTAACAGTATTAGACGAAGCGGTAGATGCCTCACTTGCAATGGTTACGGTATTAGGCAAACTGCTAGCGGTTGAGATAACATTTAAGCCAGAAATGGTAGCAGAAGCTGTTAAAGCAGTTGAACTTGTCACATCAAAAGCACTAGTAGCTTGAGAGCTTTTTGCGGAGCTGAATTCTGTAAGCGTTTCAGTAAAAGCGGTTGATTGAATCGAGAAAGCAGTTGAACTAGCAAAGCTTGAAGCATTTATTGTACCTGTAGAGTGACTTAAAGAAGAAGCAGTTGATAGAATTGGTGTTGAACTAAAGCTTTCAGCGGTAGAAGTTCGAGAGCTGAGCGTTTCAGTAGTGACAGTGAGAAGCGGTGAAGAATTTGTAGAAATTTCACCAGTTCCAGTCGTTCCAATTGTCGTTGATCCAGCGGTTGTCGTTGATTCAGCTGTTGTCGTTGTTGCCGAGAGCAAGTTTACGCAAGTTTGCCTAATGGCTGCCGGAAATTCTGCCGGATTAGAGAAATCTGCTGTAATCGCAGCAAGAGGTGACATGTCTTTTGCTGAAATTCACTTGAATGAATAAAACTTATAAATTAACCTGTTGTAGAGATTCCGACAGTAGCACTGAAGCGTTGATAAGTTTTTGAGGCATCATTGATGGCTGACTGAGGACTGAAATTAAATGGCTTTCAAACAATAAGTATTTTGTATAGTTAAATGGAATCAAAAAATACTCTAGAACATTTCTAGCCATTCCCAGTCAGATCACCCAAAAGCTATACCTGGCTGTGAACAAAACAATGACAGTGTTAGTCTTATCCCAAGCATTCACTTTCGTTGCAACGCTAAAACATGAATTTACTTGAAACTTCTCCAAAGCTTACAATTTCACATCGTCAGTCCCTCCAGTCTTATACAGGTCATCAAACAAAGCATCGAAATCGACAAAAGTGTTGACAAAATCCTCGGGCAAATCTCCAATTTGAGCATAATCTCCATAAGACCAGACTGCTGCTGTGAATTGCAGTGTTGGATCATCGAACAGATTTTTTGCTGATGCTTGCGAGGTAATGGTTTCCGGGGTGATCGAGCCCTGTAAGTTGATTTGTATTTGAATTAACAGTAAAATACACTCACCACTGCGTCGGACACATCGACTATAAACAGTGCTTGGCAGGGGATCAATGGTACAGGAGTAGTAGTTGTGGTTGTGGTAGAGCTCATCGTAGCTTCTCCAGAAGGAGAAGTGACACTATTTGTTGACAAAGGTGTAGTGGAGCTACCCGTGACAGCTGGAGTAGTTATTGTCGAGGATTCGGATCCAGTAGTCTCAGCTGGAGCTAATGTACTTGTTGGAGTAGCAGCTGTTGATTGTGAAATTGTTGAAACCGTTGACATGGTTGGACCGGAAGAAGTACTGGCTACTGTGGTAAATGTTGTTGTTTCTCCACTAGTTGTGCTTCCCGTTGGTCCAGTTGTTGTCGTTGCTGCCATTGTTGACGATCCAGATCCCGTCGTCTCGGTTTGAGCCGGTGTACTACTTGGAATGGATGCCGATGATTGTGAAACAGTTGAAACGGTTGACATAGTTGGTCCAGAAGAAGTGCTTACTATTGTAGTAGTTGTAGCGCTAGTAGTCGTCGTAGTTTCACCAATAGTTGTACTTTCTGTTGGCCCAGTTGATCCAGAAGCTGCAGTAGTGGTTGCGGTGGTTGTTGTGCTTCCCGGGCTCATTGATGACCCTGTATTTGTTGTAGTTGTTGTCGTCGTAGTTGTTGTCGGAACGGTATCTGAACTTCCAGTGCTTGATGCTACAGTAATGGTAGTGGTAGTGCTGGTAGTGGTAGTGGTAGTGGTAGTGGTTTCAGTGCTTTGAGTGGTTATTGTGGTGGTGCTAGTAGTGGTTGTAGTTGTGGTTGTCGTTGTGCTTTCCGTTGACTGGACTGTTGTTGCAGCCGAGCTTCCTTCAGTTGTTGTCGTTGTGGTCGTGGTTGTCGTTGTACTACTTGATGCAGTACTTGGCGGGGAAACTGTTGTCTCAATAGTTGGTGTCTGACCATTGCAAAGAGAAATGATGGTGCTCGAAATCTGATTTGCATCAGAACTTAGATAAAATGCATAGCCAGCAACATTTTCCATCAGTTGCCCTAAATTTACGAGTAAATTAGGAGCTTTGATTCAATGAACTTGTATTTCCGATGCCCAAAGTTTTTGGCTTATAGTTGTTGGTTGGAGCATTGTCGATATCCGCTTGATCGCTAAAATACAAATTTTTAACAAGGCAGCTTCAAAATTTGAGTCACCTGTTTGTGAACAAAATTGTGACAAAACTGCTATTCAAGTTGGCGTTCGAATTCATCTCGGTGATGGCTCTAAAGTTGAAAATTTGAGTCAACTTTCAAAAAATCAGTTTCTTCTTCTTAGACTTTTTAGTCTACTCACCTTTGAACTGTCTGTGATGTACTAGTGCCGCTAAGAATTATCGACAAATCATCATCCAATCCATTTCGATTAGTGGCCCTCAAAGTGAGTGGGACATCAGGAAGTTGGCCATAAGCAGCTGCAGCATAAGTGGCCGAAACAAAGAATGGTGAAGTGCCCAAGATTTCTTCAATCTTGGAATACTGTTGCACAAGGCCATTCTGAAATTTGCATCGTTTCTATTTTATTTTTATTTCAGGTTTATTAGTGTCTAGGAATCTTGCCAATAAGCAAGAATCTAGAAATCTATTAGCTTTTCTCTTTTTAACTTATCGCTTCTTGCGAAGCTGACTCACATCTGCACTTCCTTTATCGGATCCATCGAGATAGAAGAAAATGACACAACTGGGATTAGCAGCGGGAGTAGTGGATGAGCTTGTTGTGGTCATAGTAGTAGTTGTAGTCGTTGTTGTAGTCGTTGTTGTAGTCGTTGTTGTAGTGGAAGTCGTTTCTGTCTCTGAAGCCGTGGAACTTGGTGCAGTTGTGGTACTTTCAGAAGTGAGTGTAGTTTGTGTGGTAATAGTGGTTGTGGTGGTTGTGGTGGTAGTGCTAGTTGTGGTTGTGGTTGTGGTTGTCGTAGTGGTCGTAGTCGTTGTTGTTGTAGTCGTTGTTGTAGTAGTGGTAGTTGTCGTCGTTGTTGACATGGTAGTCGGATTGGCAATGTTTAGGCAAAGAGTGACAACATCTTGTGCCAAGTCCGCTGCCGATGCTCCAAGATTTCGAGAAACCACGGCAATAGGGGTCATATTTTGAGCTAAAATTTTCAATTACCGTACAGTCTTGTACCTTACTTCCAAGAGCAAAGCCAAGAGTGGTCTTGGAGAAAATATTTGATCCAGGGCTGATGTAGGATTGAGGACTAAACGATATTATCGAGCTTGTTGATCTGCAATTGGGCTCTCACCTGTTTGTGAATAAAAAGTTCACACTTGTGGCAGTCAAGTTGATCGACATAGCGGCCACAGCACTAAAGGGAAGATTTTATCTTAACTTGCTAAATAAAAATCACTAGATGAAATTGTTTTTGCAACACCCAAACAGGCTTACCTTTGCACACTCATTTGCAAACGAGGTCCCGTAGTTAAATCCGTAGAAATTAGTCCTAACTGATCAGCCAAATCATTCTCATCACCAAACACAGGTGGATTTAGTTGAGACTTAACACCGTATGCCTGGGCGGCGTATCGTGGGGCAACTTCATTTCTGTTTTTGAGTTCATCTTTGACCATCTCTGGGATCCCGAATTCTTGAGTAGCCAAGTCCTAAAAGAGAATAAATTCTATTTCAAAAAGTTTCCATACGTCTGCATACGATGAGATGTCCAAGTAGAAGAAGATCTGGCAAGGCACAGATGCGACAGTTGTTGGGGTGATTGTAGAGGTTGATGTAGCAGAGGTGACTGTAGCTGTCGTTGTGCTAGTGCTAGCTGGTTGAGTGGTTGACGCAGTATTCGGTGTCTGGGTTGTTGGCACAATACCCTGACACAGTGACACTAAAGAGTCAGCCACTTCATCCAAATCGGATTGATTCATGCTGATATTTCTCCCGAGTACAGCAGCTGGCAACATGTTTTGGCCTGAATTTTTGATTTGGATCGTTCAATAAATTTCTCTACCTGAAATTCCGAGCCCAATCGTTCGTTGGTAAAAGTCGTTTTGGCCAACTACGTCAATAGTATTCTGGGCACTGAAATTTTGGATAGGAAAATAGGAACCCTTTTGGAACCGTATTGGAACCGTATTTAATCAAAATGGGAACCGTTTTGGAACCTTCTTGGAACCGTATTGGAACCGTATTTGATCAAAATGGGAGCCTTCTTGGAACCGTATTGAAACCGTATTGGAACCGTATTTGATCACGTGGGAACCGTTTTGGAACCTTCTTGGAACCGTATTGGAACCATATCAATCGGGACCGTTTGGACCTTCTTGGAACCGTATTTGATCACGTGGGAACCGTTTTGGAACCTTCTTGGAACCGTATTGGAACCATATTCAATCAAAATGGGAACCGTTTTGGAACCTTCTTGGAACCGTATTGGAACCATATTCAATCAAAATGGGAACCGTTTTGGAACCTTCTTGGAACCGTATTTGATCACGTGGGAACCGTTTTGGAACCTTCTTGGAACCGTATTGGAACCATATTCAATCAAAATGGGAACCGTTTTGGAACCTTCTTGAAACCGTATTGGAACCATATTCAATCAAAATGGGAACCGTTTTGGAACCTTCTTGACCGTATTGGAACCATATTCAATCAAAATGGGAACCGTTTTGGAACCTTCTTGAAACCGTATTGGAACCATATTCAATCAAATTAGGAACCGTTTTGGAACGGTATTGGAACCGTATTTGATGAAGATGAGAACCGTTTTGGAACCGTATTGGATTCATCAATATGACCCAACCTGTTTGTGCTTCCAATACGGTTCCAGTAGGGTTCCCATTTTGAACATCAAAATATTTCATCAAAATCGGAACCCTTGTTATAACACACTTTCAAACTTCATTTATGACCCAACCTGTTTGTGTAGAGCATCGTCACAATTGAGGCATTCAAATTTCGGTTCATCAATATGACAGCGCTAAAAAGATTCGTTAACAGTTAGAATGCCGGATTTCTACCATTCAAATTCACTATTTATGTCAAATTTGTGAAACCCAATCCTACGCAGAATAATGAAATGAAAAATCATACGTTGAAATACTGATCTGTCCATTTGGACCATTAATATAATCCTGTGCAATTTGTCTCAATTGGTCCTCGAATTCACTCTCCGGCTTGAAGTCCGGACTCAGAGTGGTCACTCCCACAATTCCATAGGCGGCGGCAGCAAATTGCGAATCCGGTGGCGCTCTTTGACTGAGCAATTTCGATATTTGGTCAGCATGTATAATTTGCACGTTGTCTTGGTCCTAAGTTTCACAATTTTAGGAATTAAAATCAAGGGATACCTTTGCATAGCTGGAGATGTCCAAGTAGAAGAAAAACTGGCACGTCAGGGGGCCAGAGGTCGTTGTGGCGACTGAAGTTGTGGTGGTGGTTGTGCTTGTGGTTGTGCTTGTGCTTGTGGTTGTGCTACTCGTGGTGGTTGTTGTAGTGTTTGTCGTGGTCGTTGTGGTAGTAGTAGTGGTAGTTGTGCTAGTTGTAGTCGTTGTCGTTGTAGTGGTTGTAGTGGTTGTGGAAGTGCTAGTTGTGGGTGCAGTGGTTGTAGTGGTTGTGGTAGTGGTCGTTGTGGAGGAGGTAGTAGTTGTACCTGTAGTAGTTGTAGTCGTAGTTGTTGTTGTAGTGGTAGTGGTAGTTGTGCTGGTTGTCGTTGTTGTTGTCGTAGTAGTGCTGGTCGTTGTTGTCGTTGTGCTTGTAGTTGTCGTTGTAGTAGTTGTGGTCGTAGATGTACTGGTTGTAGTTGTTGTCGTTGTCGTAGTTGTATCGGTTGTTGAGTCAGTTGACGAAGCCATAGTCGGAGTTGTAGTAGTAGTCGTTGTTGTCGTTGTCGCTGTTGGAGTCGTGGTAGTTGTTGTTGTCGTTGTCGTTGTTGTGGTTGTGGTTGTCGTTGTTGTGGTAGTCGTTGTTGTCGTGGTTGGAGAGCTCGACTCCGAAGCACTTGTTTCAGACGGATTTACGACCATTGTGCTCGTCATTGCAACCGTTGTTGCCACTGAGGTCGTCGTTTGCAATTTTTGTACGATCTTGTTTGCAATATCATCTGCATTGTCCCCTGCAACCAGCTCTGCACCTGATCCATCATAGGTCGTATTGTCAGCGGCGCTTCTTTGAATCACGATTTTACTAGTTGCATCAATTCCATTCATATCTTGCAAAACCGGTCCCATGTCTTTGTCGATTCTAAAAGTTTGTTCAAGTTTTGATTTTGCACAGAAAGCTTACTTGATAAATTTGCAAGGTGCAAAGTGTACGAAAGTGTCTTTTTTCCTCAAGTCCGACTGTTGAAAGAGCATCTCCATTGCACTGTAAATGAGAAATGATATGTACAATCAAAAACATGTTGTGTGTGTAAACAATAATGTGTTCAAACAAACAATAATGTATTCAAACATGGGGTTTTCCGGACTCGAGTATGCTTCACTCAAGAAATAGTGTGAAACAGGAAACAGGCTACGGTAGAAATAAGCTGAATATCTTGAATATCTTCTACAGGGTGCGTCATAATTATTGCAACAAGATACTCAAGGCATTGCACACCAAGAAGTTTCACTGGAAGAAGATTTTTAAACAGAAATAGCTTTATTTAACAGTAACAAATAAGGAAACAAGAGATCATTCGATATGACCGCCTTTTGCCTTGATAACAGCCCTTAATCGGTTCGGATATGCCTCCACTGCGGCCCGAATGTCATCTTGAGGAGTCGCCTTCCATCCTTTGGTCAAAGACTTCTTCAAGGTCAAAGAGCAGACATTAGCCTCTAAGATTGCCCAAATGGAAAAGTCCATCACATTGAGATCCGGTGAGTTTGGAGGCCATTCATCCTTGGTGATCACTGAGGGAAAGTTGGCCACACACCAGTCCTGAACCGTCTTCTTCGTGTGAGCGGGAGGCAATTAGGCAAGAATAAAGAAGATAGAACGCAACACAACAAAAAAGGGGGCAAAAAAAATAAGAAAGCTGTTTGGAAAACGGTCTTTGAACTCTTGTTGCAATAATTATGACGCACCCTGTACAATTTGCCAGACATTCATGCCAGATGCTCACAATCTGATGCACATTAACATAAAGTATAAAAAAAATTCTTTTAAATTACTGCAATCAGTTTTTACAAAGCAAATTTCACTCACTTTGTTTCATTGACTTGTTTATTGGTGGCCGAATTGCAATCGTACGATTCCATTATCCAACGCTGAGCCGCCTCTTTTGTGTATGAGTTAGAAAAAATCCCTTCATTTAAATGATAAATGAAAAATCGGATTGTCTCATTCTCGTACAAAGGCAATCTGTCCAATGTCATATAGGTTGAATTCCGCATCTAGATTTCGTTTCATAATGAGTCTATTTCTTTTTACTTACGACTTCACATGAGAAGCACTCATCCTTTTCTGTATCAAGCCTTGCCCATCGAGAGCTCCGTGTTTCTGTGTCGTCATATTGGTGAAGTGAAAAAATGAGTTTCGGTGGTGGGGTTTCTGGGGGAACATCTGAAATTCAAAACTAGTTGAACCAGTGCCTATAAAAACATTTTGAAAACAGATTGACCATTTCCAAAGTCAAGTTGGAAATGGTTACAACATTTTCAGAACCAGAACGGTCAGGCAAGCTATGGTTAAAGCCCGGTCAATCTGAAGCTTTTTGTGGGCCAGGCCTGTAGCAAAGCCACGTCAAACAAGACCAGAATCTAGCTTGCTCTAGAGTTTGTGCTAAAGAAGTATTGTAAAATCAAAACAATAAAGCTTTGACTCTTTGATTTGTAAACTTTAAAATCGCTAGCGTAGCTTTTTTTGTAACAAAAGATACTCTACTGACCCAAAATTATAGCGCCGCACTTCAGAGGGCCTAGATTAGCCAAAATACGATCAATCGTTCTGATTTTTCTAGAGGTAAATCTTAAGGATGTCTCCTAAAACGATGGGATTGAACATGTTGAAGCTCTCCAAGACATTTATCTATTCGAATTGACCACATAATCTGCTCATAACAACACAGGGTGGCCCAAAATTATAGCACTTTACTTCAGAGAGCCTAGATTAGCCAAAATATGATCAATCGTTTTGATTTTTCTGGAGGTAAATCTTAAGTATGTCTCCTGCAACGGTGCTTATTATCTAATCAATTCAAGCTTTCAACTTTTTTATATGACCTTCCAGAGTTGAGAGTCGAGTCTCGCTCGGCATGGTACTCATTTATGGAATTTTTAAGAGCAACCTTGTCAAAATCTTGTTTAGATTGAATTTATTATGTTAAAAAACGAAATTTCACATGCCTTACGCAGTTTAAGCGCAAAAATTCTTGAGAAATGTCACCAAAACTCACAGTGATCTCACTCACTGTCACCAAAACTCAAAACTCTGTGAAAGCGCGAAATCCACTGAAACATCAGTGACTCCCAGTTGTTCGCGCTTCACTGGAAAAAGCGTCTAATATTGATAAAAGTATGGGATAAATGGTGTGTTCATTGGTCTGGATTTTTTGGGAGAGTGAAGTCGGGGAGTCAAAAAGACGGCTCAAAAGATGATGCGGTTCAGACACTTTCAGCTAAGGAAACCTATCTTTGTGTTAATAGATAAAAGATAGAGCACAAAAAGTTTGGTATATAGCTAAGCTTTCAGAGAAATTGAGCCAGCCAATTTCTTCGTAGAGGTTTTTATAGATTTTGACGAGAAAACTCTAGGATTTTTACGAAAAACCCGCTTTTCACTCTCGAATTTGCTTGAAAGTGAACTGCAATTGACTTAAAAAGATGGGAAATTGAACCATAAACACTTTTTATTTAGAGTAAACCATAGGTTAATTGGTGAATTTGTTGTTTTACAACGGAAGTATGAAAAAGGGTGAAAAGACTTTCTACAAAATAACATTGAAATGGGCTTCAAATGACTTATGTCTGGATATTTTTGGGAGAGTGAAGTCGGGTAGTCAAAAAGAATCAAAAAAGGACGATGACGATAAAGGATGATGCGGTTTAAACAGCTCGATGATGCGGTTCAGACACTTTCAGCTAAGGAAACCTATCTTTGTGTTAATAGATAAAAGATAGAGCACAAAAAGTTTGGTACATAGCTAAACTTTCAGAGAAATTGAGTCAGCCAATTTCTTCGTAGAAGTTTTTCAAGATTTTGACGAGAAAACTCTAGAATTTTTGTATGGGAGAAATGCCTGATAAATGGTATATTCATTGGTATTTTTTCATTCGTCACCCTGTATAATCTACTGATGAAAACCATTTATGGAGTTTTTGAAAGCAATCTTGTCAAAATCGTGTTCAGATTGAATTTATTATGTTAAACAAACGAAATTTCACATGCTTTACGTTGACTTGACTTTACTTTACGTTTTTAAGCGCAGAAATTCTTGAGAAATGTCACCAAAACTCACTTAATATCGTCTGTTTTCACTTGAATCATTTAGGCATTCAAGAAAGGCCACTAAAGAACAAGAAAATCTTATTTTTTTCAAGGTCTATTGCTTTTAAATTTTATAAGTAAATATGATTAATTGAAAATCCATATAGTCCTAAAGAATTTTTATCATAAAAAGTGAAAGTTGAATGAGCGAGATGAGTGAAATGAGCGAAGCTCGGCTCTCAATTTTGGAAGGTCATATAAAAAAGTTGAAAGCTTGAATCGATTAGATAATGAGCACCGTTCTAGGAGACATACTTAAGATTTACCTCCAGAAAAATCAGAACGATTGATCGTATTTTGGTCAATCTAGCTCCTCTGAACTGCGGCGCTATAATTGTGGGCCACCCTGTATAATCCACCGATGAAAATCAGACTTTTTGAGATCGCCTGAACTGAAAATTTGTCACAGGGTTTTCGAAAATGAGAAGCTGACATCAGTTTTTTTAAATTCACTCAAAAAACGCAGGGAAATCGCCAGGTGGATCAAGGGGTGGCCCACAATTATAGCGCCGCAGTTCAGAGGGCCTAGATTCGCCAAAATTTGGTCAATCGTTCTGATTTTTCTGGAAGTGAATCTTAAGTATATCTCCTAGAACGGTGCTCATTATCTAATCGATTCAAGCTTTCAGCCTTTTTATATAACCCTCCAAAGTTGAGAGTCGAGTGTCGCTCAGAGGATTTTTGGAAGACTATATAAAAAAGTTGAAAGCTTGAATCGATTAGATAATGAGTATCGTTTCAAGAGACATACTTAAAATTTATCTCCAGAAAACTCAAAACGATTGACCCAATTTTGGCCAATCTAGGCCCTCTGAAGTAAAGTGCTATAATTGTGGGTGACTCTGTCGTTAAAAAGCCTAGAAGATATCCTTTTAACACAAATTAAAACAAAATTTCACGGAATTTTTAATAGTTTTAAAAACGTTTTAATAGGTTTTAAAAACGAGCTTAAAAAAGCTTTAAACTTTTCAAACCTTTTGGTTTATTCCTGTGTGTGAGAACGACGACGAGAACAACGGAAATGATTACTCCAAGTACGATCGCCACTCCAAAACAAAGCACAATAAACGGGATTCGTCGTCGCCATCTCCACCGCGATTGGTGCTCTTCTTGCTCTTGCGAGAGCTCATTGTCATCCATTTTTTGTAGAAATTCTTAGATGATGAGCTAAAAATATCGAGATAAATTTTCAATTTAAACTTGACTTTTATAAATTAGAGTTTTATAAATTAGAATTTTTCGTAATATCCTTTCTAAAAGATGGGTGATTTGGAGAATTACCGTAACATTTGCCTATTCTGCTATTGCCTATTCTGCTATAACTATTGCCTATTCTGCTTATTTTTGATCTAATTCGGGAGTGGGACAAATGCGACGTTTTTTTCCGCACCTTGCCCATTAGCGCACCATTTTTCGCGTTTTAAAAAGCTCTAAAAAGGTAATATTAACCAATTTCTATTCCAAAAGTTGTTTTTCTAGGTAATTTTAGGGCGTAGAATCGAAATTTTGACATATCAGAGCTTGTGGAAACAAACGGACGGAGTTATACAAAGAGAAAAATCAACAATCCCATTTCTGTAATTTGATCTAGCCGTTTTGTCTTTGTCAAATCGGTTCCACAAGCTCTGATATGTCAAAATTTGAATTCTACACCCTCAAATTACCTAGATACCTAGAAAAACAACATTTAGAATAGAAATTGGTTAATATTAGCTTTTTAGAGCTTTTTTAAAACGCGAAAAATGGTGCGCTAATGGGCAAGGTGCGGAAAAAAAGGTGCGCAAATGTCCGGGTGCGCAAAAAAAGGTCGCATTTGTCCCACTCCCGAATTACCGTAACATTTGCCTATTCTGCTTATTTTTGATCTAATTCTCAATCGAATGAGCTAAATAATTCAGTAAATAAGACAAAATTTAGGCTAAACATTACGGTAAATTGTCGAAATTATTCAATTACGCAGGTAAAAACTCTTTTCTTTTTCAGTAATATTGTAAATTTTGATCGATTTGAAAATTTTTGAAGCTCAAAAAGCTTTCAAAGCTTCAAATTTCAATTTCAAAGCTCAAAAAGTTTCAAATCGCCAAACGAAAGCTAAAGCCAAAATGCACTGAGTCAACGACAGAATTCGGAATTTCGGAATTCTTGTTTGTTATCTCAAATTGTAAAACCGCAAACGAGACAAAGAAACTAAAGAGAGGAAAAGAAAGAAAAAGAAAAGAAATGACCGATTAATGAGTAACTCCTCCTTTTTCGTTTCTCCAAAGTTTGAGTCTGCTCCGACTTTCGCGCTTTCTTTCAATCGATTCAATTTTTGATCCGCTTGTTTGAAGAGGGTACTACATTTGCAAATTTTTTAAAACAAAAATAACAAAGTAATCAGAAGTGCAAAGGATAGGAACAAGAGTCGGAGCTATCAAGAGATTGTTAGGAACAAGAGTCGGAGCTGAAATTCCTGCTAAACTGACTATTCTAAATATTCTAGCTTTACTTATGAGGAGAGACTTGCTTTTTTTGAACTAAAAACTTTACAGCATCGTCGCTTTGTCATTGATTTAGTCGAAACTTTCAAAATCCTCCGTAGTAAACAGATTAGCCCTTTGTTTATAGACTTTTTCAAATTTAAACCGCGGTCAGGGCCCAGAAGTGGCTCATTCCTTTTGCAAATTCCCTTTGCTTCCAATGCCTCTTTATCAAATTCATTTCCCGTTAGAGCCGCTAGATTATGGAACTTGCTCCCAAACGACATACGAGAAATTCAGTCGCTTTTCATATTCAGGAAACGTATCGATGCTTTAGATCTAGTGGCTCTTTGCCGTAAGTAATTGTCTTATTGATTTCAGTATGTATTGTATGATTAAGTATCACTGTGCATTTCTCTATGATTTCTTTCACTTTATCGTTTGAATAAAGTATTATTATTTTTTAATAATCTTTTTCTTCTATTTTATTAGACGATTATTGTAAATACTGTAATAGAAGCGCACATCCGCGCGAAATAAGGCAAAAAATCGTTTTCTATAGGATTTTTATGTTTGAATAGCCGATTGGCGCAGAAAAATGTGCTGAATCCGAAAATAAAAGAATTTTTGAAATCCCTTCGACAAATTTTTTAAAAATCGAGTTTCAGTGATTTTACTGTGTGAAATTTCAGCCATATTTTATTGTCGAAGCAAAATCTTGGAAACAAAAGCCTAAAACAAAAATGTAAACCGCAAGTTTTATTCTACGGGCTTTTCTCTATCTTTTGATACCAAAAGCATAAAAATTGATAAACCCTATAAAAAGTTATAATCTTTTGAAAATAAAAATGTGGTTTCTGGGTTATTTTATTATCAGACCTGCGGCATTTTAATTAATCTTATTTTCAATGTTGTTGTTTCAATAAACTCGTACTGTCGCATGGTCACAAAATATAAACCATTTTTTCTAAGCGCTCATAATTTCTAAAAATGCATGTTTAGTATCAAAAAATAGCTCTGAATTTCAACTTTCATTTTATACTTAAGCGTGCCTTGTAGCATAAACAGGTCGTGAGAAAAGTGCGTTTAAAGTTAGACTAGGCGACGCTTGGACCGTCATTCTAGAGGGTCGCTTGACACTATTTACAGGAGAATCTCATTAAATCCTCTTATTCTGAAAATTATCCTTTCTATTATTGAAAGAAAGCTGTTAAACTTTCTCTACTTTAGATTTATTTTGATTTATTCAGTCGATAACTTAAGAAAATGGGGCAAGTAGAAGCCTGTTAGCCAAGCAGAAACCTTTTTTCATAGTGTAGCCTTACAGTGTGAGCTTAGACTTTTGAAAAAGTTTTTCAGATCACTCCGTAAATGGCCCTATTCGATTCGTCTCGAAATTCTGATCTAGAAAAGTCTCACTTCAAGCTATAGGATGAAAAAAACAGTGAAAAGAGGGATTGGTAGAATCTTTTAGAGCGACTCATTACAAATCCAATAAATTCATCAGTCTTCGCCATAATTCGACCAAATTCAAGCCAAATTCAAGCAAAATTCAAGCCAAATTCCAGCCAAATTCAAGTCAAATTCAAGCCAATTTCAAGCCAAATTCAAGCCAAATTCAAGCAAAATTCAAGCAAAATTCAAGCCAAATTCAAGCAAATTCATCATAATTCGCCTATCCTGAAATGTTAAAGTGAGACTTTTCTGATTCAGAATTTCGAGACGAATCGAATGGCGCTACGATCGGGAGCTGTCCCAGCTTGGTTTCAGGCATCATTTTGGTATGTATCTTGATGGAAAGTCCGTCGAAAAGTATGATGGAATACTCGACGGAAAATCTGATGGAAAATTCGATGGAATCTGTTTTTCAAATGCCATAGATTATAGTGTGAAAATGCAGCTATGATAGACATGAATCGGAATTGGAATAATTGACTAAAGTGTTCGAGTTTTGCACCTATTCTAATTGTAAGCATTGTCAACTTGTTCCCTCTAGTTTAGTCAACGATTTGTACTGATTTTTTTTTGATTTTTTGAAAAGTTAACTGTATTTTCTAACAAAGCTGTTCTTTCAATGACTAAACTCAATCGAAAAAGAAAGGAATCCCTTGTTCTGGCCTTATTTATTGCTTTTTGGGGTTTTATCTTGAACCACCGCTCAAAGAATGATAAAAAGCAAAGAAATAAGAAAAATAAAACGAGAAACGATAAAACGATAAAATAAGGCAAATATTGACTAATAAAGCTAAATTCAGAGGAGATAGATGGAGAATGTCAAGGAATGAGTCAAGGAAAACCACTGAAAAGCCTTGAACAGGTCTTATACTGAAAATTGATAGAGCTAAGGTAAAAACTTATTTGTTAAGCCTAACCAATGAATATTGATTTGACTCTGAACCGGAAATTTCAGTAATGAACTCAAATTTTTGAGTACAAATTTTAATCAGTACAAATCATAAGGGTCTTTGATTTCAAAACTAATCTCTCCTTATGCTAGAAAAAGGACTGATATGGAGCAGTTGTTGAATGGGCGTGGTGCGAAAAAAAATAGCTGCAGTAGAAAAAAAAAGCTGAAAAACAATGTAGTAAGTGAATGAAAAGTTATTGGTTTGAAATACAGCCGAACTTCGAAATAACGAATCGCTTGGGACCGAAAACTTTGATATAACGAATCTAAAACGTCTCTCAAATTTTCTTTTCTGCATAGCTTCCCTGGACGGCCAATCATTGCATTTGGCTTAAGCAGCTACGCAGAAATTTTGGGCACGTTTTAGAAGTCGTTGAAAAAAATTCAAATTCTTTGTATCGAAGTTCGACTGTACATAGATTCAAGAATGAAATAAGGGTAATACATAGTTTAGAAAACTCATAGTAACTCTTGAAAGGAACGTAAAATACTGGTCAAATTCAAAACCAAAGTTTTGAACAAATCAAGGATTAACCATAGCTAAAGAAAGAGAAAGAAATACTATAAAGAAACTAAAGAAATACTATAAGGAAACTAAAGAAATACTCAACGACTTGCTTGACTTTAGCAGTAACAAAATTAGCAGGTATGCGCTTTATCCACAAGACACTTCATGGGGAAAGAACAGCGCGTTTTCTGTAGGCCACAGAGCGCCTTATATAGCAAAAAGCAAAACTTCGGTACCAAATTCCACGCGATCTACAATAATTGCGCAAAAACGGATTTCAGATTTGGAAGTAGCGGATCCAAATCACCCTTACTAGAGAGGCTTTTGGATTTACATCTTGGTTTTGGCTGAGACCTAGCACATCTTGTTCAGTTTTTTTGCGCTGATTCCAATGGTGTATGTCGTTTGGGGATGACGGTCCTAACATTTTGAGCTATTTTGCTTCAAAGTTTACACTTTAAAATCGGGCATCCATGAAACCTGGTTCCCTGGGTGCGCGGTCTCCTGGGTGCGCGGTTTCCTGGGTGCGCGGTTTCCTGGGTGCTCAATTTTGAAGCGATAACTTTGAAGCTAAATATCTCAAAATTTTAGGACCGTCATCCCCAAACGACATACACCATTGGAATCAGCGCAAAAAACTGAACAAGATGTGCTAGGTCTCGGCCCAAAATCGAGGTGTAAATCCAAAAGCATCCCTAGTTAGTACACTTGTTTCCCGCTGAAAGACCACGGTCAATCCTGAACCTCCCCTTGATACAGTAAACGTCTATCTGTTAACAAATCACATGCCTTCTTATATCAAAACTGTCTCTAAGCATGCACCTTGCATTAACTATTGAACTGAGTAAGTCTTTCACCCAAATTCATTTCTAATTCATTTCTAATTGAGTAATTCTCAAGCCTCAAATGAAATCTGATTTTTTCATTAGATAACCCAATCATTTCTCTTGCCAATGACTTTTGAAAGTTTCTGAAAAGCTTTGTTTTTAAGGTTTTTCATTAGCAAGAAGCCGAGTGTTCAAAAACGAAGCCGACAATGCTATTTTGACCGTTTCTATCAATCCAACCTATGTTTATGACAAACTAAAAAAGATAGCGCACAAGAAGTTACGTCTTAACAGTTTTTGCAATGGTCAAGACCGGATTCTAAAAAATATTTAGAATTTTACAATCTTACAAGTGTTGTCAGGATAAACGAAAAAGATCAATAACTCAAATAAATTTATCAAATCTTAGTAGTAATAGTATTTCCGGATGAGCAGGACTTGGTTTCTTCCAAAGAAGCAAATCTTTTCACTCACCGCGTCGCAAAATTTATATGACCATAATTAAATATGTGCAGAGATAACAGGGAAAACCGCGAAATTTCCCTGTTTCCCTCGTTTTTTTTTGGTCGAAATCAAGAAGAAAACGCCTTTTACAGAGGAATTTCAAAGAATTACAGAAGAATTTTTTCGTCGGTGAAAATCTTTGCTCTTCTGGACACACCCATTTTCTTTGGGATTTTATTTGGGATTTTATTTGGGGTTTTATTTGGGATTTTATTAGGTTGGCAAGTTATAAACGATCGTTTTTTGGTAATGTGTTTTCTGAAAAAACGGTTTTGGCCAATCAAAACGGTTTTGGCCAATCAAAACGGTTTTGGCCAATCAAAAAACGGTTTGCTTGATTCAAAAACCGTTAGTCGATTCGATCTCTGGAGGTCAAGATATAAGCAGTCTAAGTTGACTGGCTTCTGTTGGTTTTCCCTAAGAAAAAACCGGCAGAAGCCGGTCAACTTCGACGTTTTCTAGGTGTTCTTGCAGGTGAGTACCTCAAACAAATTATACTTTTCTCTAGCCAAATTTCATGAGAATTCTTCTGAAACAAACCGTAAGTCGATCCGATGACTGGAAGTCGAGATATAGAACAAAGGGCAATCATACGCCATCTATTAGGTTGGCAAGTTATAAACGATCGTTTTTTGGGTAATGTGTTTTCTGAAAAAACGGCTTATCAAAATGGTTTTGGCCAATCAAAAAACGGTTTGCTTGATTCAAAAGCCCTATTCTTAATCTACAAAATGGCTTTTTTGAATTTTCGAAAAATCTTTTATTTTAGAACTTTTTCAGGCATTTTAATGTAAGAGTTGAAAATTCGGGTTTCTAGCATTCATGAGCTAATATATTTTTTGAGTGATTGCATACTTTTTAAAATAAAACGCTTCATCGATTACATAGTTTCCCAAAATTTCAGAACGATTCAATTGATCGAACCGTTCTCTTTCTTTTAATCTTGCTTAAATTCAAACGAAAATGGAAATGGATCAAATTTGATCCAAATGTGCATTTTGTTTGAGTCTACAGATTAATGAAAGTCAACCGGTTCCGACAGATTGGATTGTTCTGAAATTTTGGGAAACTATGTAATCGATGAAGCGTTTTATTTTAAAAAGTATGCAATCACTCAAAAATATATTAGCTCATGAATGCTAGAAACCCGAATTTTCGACTCTTACATTAAAATGCCTGAAAAAGTTCTAAAATAAAAGATTTTTCAAAAATTTTAAAAAGCCATTTTGTAGTTTAAGGATAGGGCTTTTGAATCAAGCAAACCGTTTTTTGATTGGCCAAAACCGTTTTTTCAGAAAACACATTACCCAAAAAACGATCGTTTATAACTTGCCAACCTAATATTTGTGATTTTATTTGAGGAGTTTCTTGAAATTAATTTTTATTTCACAAATCATTTACTAAGCAAAATGGACAAACCCGGAAAATAATCTGACTATTTAAAGGAGATCAAAAGATTCTTAAAGTAAAGTACACCGTTTCACTCAATGTGAGCAATCCTATTGTACAAAGAGAGAAATCCAGGTGCAAACGCAAGCCATCTGGCACCCTATAAGGGCGTGAAAAGCTTTATGTTTGCTCTAACTAAAGAAAAACGGTAGAAATCTTTAGATCTGACAATTTGCACATCTTTTAAATTCAAATTTCAAATTGAAACTTCAAATTGAAACTTCAAATTTCAAATTCAAATTGATTTTCATCTTTCAATGCAAATTTTAGACTCTAAAGATTCAAAAATCTTTACATCTTGGCTAAAAAGAATTATCCATGGTTGTGCTTTGTGCTAGAGAAAACATACCCTATCTGGAGCACTGAATTTTCATTTTGTTCAGAGATTTCAGTGCATTAGAAGCTAGTTTTCGTTGAGCACAACCAGAGAAAAAGCAAAACCAAAGAGACAAAGCTAGGCTAACAAAACGAGAAGTTTCAACAACAACTTTAATCAAAATTTTGAACTTTTTTATTAAACTTTGTGGCTGTTGCTTTTTTGTTGAAACTTCTCAAGCAAATCTATAAAAAATCATCAATAGAATTCAAGCCGAGTCATTTGCTTCGTTGGTCCAAGTCTGAAAGATGACCGTCACCGGTTGACCGTTCTCCTCCCATCGGCTCCAGAGTGGGCTCTGAAAATGAAGCTATTAATAGTTTCTAAACTTTTGCTAGAGCGTTGCCAAGTTGCGACACGTATTTCCTGCGGCGGAATCGCGATTTTCTGGTTTTTCTAACTAGTTTCAATGCCTCAAAATCGAAGAAAATCAGCTTTTTTTATTTCTTTTGTACTTATTTCCAAAATCTAGCTCATTTTTACTAGAAAACAATCAATTTCGATCAGGGATCAAAGTTCAAAATGTGAATTTGAACTGAGTGCGGGTAATTGTAAAGTCTGTAAAGTCCAGTATTGATGTCGAACGTCAAATTTGGGCTAAAAGGCAAAAAAAATACGCAACTTAACGCTTTTCCGCAGTTCTAGCCTTTAAGCCCAAATTTGACGTGTCAGCGAGGTCTGATTTGTCGAAATTCGGAATCTACGCATACGATTCCCTTACATGAGTACATTTTTGAAGCTCTACGGCCTTTCCTAAGGCCTATTCCAGTGAAAAAAGGTGCGCAAATGTCCAGGTACGCAAATGTCCAGGTACGCAAATGTTCAGGTGCGCAAATGTTCAGGTGCGCAAATGTCCAGGTGCGCAAAAAAGATCGCATTTGTCCCACCCCCGTCTTACTAAAAAATGCCGAAATGAAAGTCTTCCTAAATAGGACTGAAGATCTTTCAAATCTTTCAGAAAACAAATAAGATTCAGTTTTATTGGCTGAATATCTTTTACTGAGGAAAACCAAAGCCTTGAGCTTCGCCGAATCTTCTAAAGCTTTAATCACAAGTTGCCGGTTAAATAGAATTTTGAAATTGATATTCTCAAAGTATTGAAACCCACTCAATGCTATCTGAATAGCAAATCTAGCTTAAAATGCTTAGCTTAGCTTAAAACCTTTACTCTTCCTTTCACTCACCTTGCACGAGTGCTCCAACACGATTTTATTGCCTCTGTACACGGTCTTGTAGGGAGTCATTTGATTTCTGAATTTTTGAATTCATTATTTCTCTCAAAATCTTACTATGAAACGATCAGATTTTGCAGGTGCAAAGCTAAACTCAAAAAAAATACTCAAAACTAATTGAAAGCCAACTTTACTGCTCAAAACATTGAGCTAAGGTGGACCGAACTCGGATGCCAAGAATGGGAGACATCGGCACTACCACTGCACCACTGAGTCATTTCTCTTGTGAATGACGGTAGCCCTTCATCTAGCTTTGATTTGATTCGGTTTGATGCGCGCTTGCGAAATCTGACCATTTCCTAGTTAGCTCATTTTTACCTGATGCATTTCTGAGCCAACATCAATTCCACAGCTGTTCCAAGACCTTTTCTCCGATGATCCTCGAAAACGAATTGATTGTTAAAGAAGCCAGCCGGATCCAACATCTCGAACGCCACTGGTTCTCCATTGTACCGAATGCAAGCTGACGGAAGACGAGCTAACTTCGTGCTGAAATGAAGAGCTTAAGAACCGTTATTTACTAAAGCACACTGACAAATTGACATAATAAGCTCAAAAAGTGTTTTTGGTGGCTTTCGCTTCGATATTTCTTTCCTTCTCTTTCTTCCTTTCTTTCTCTTTCTTCCTTTCTTTCTCTTTCTTCCTTTCTTTCTCTTCCTCGTCTTTCTTATTTCTTCTTGTGGAAAAAAGGCGCTGTTAGCTCAGTGGTAGAGGATCGAGCAGAGCTGGTAAGCTAAGGGTTCAATGCCCCATCGGTTCCAAATTCTCTGCCATTCATTTTTCTACTTTATTAGATTACTATAGCTCAAATTTATTACTTTCATTTTCTAAAATTAGCTCTTGAGTCCAGAATCTCTTGTGTCTCTTGTGGCTAACATTAGCTCATTAGCTAACACACTACTAATATCACTTCTATTCTATAAAATTCTCTAGATAATAAGATTCAATTCAACTTATTCTATTTTGATGATATATTCTTACTCTATTATCTTCCTATTTTGACTATATTCTAAAGTTGTTTAGGTGAGTTAAATTCTTAAAATGATTAACAGAATGTTTTTGAAGTCACACACGGTCAGTTGAAAAGGAAATTTTTGAGGAATGATTCAAAAAAGAAAAAAAACTCAGAAAACCAGAGAAAAGCTTTAAAAAATTAGATAATAAATGTTATGGTTAATAAAAATTTCTATATAATTAGATTTATAATTAGCTTTATAATTAGCTTTATAATTAGCTTTATAATTAGCTAATAAAACGCACATTGATTTACAATTGCGTATGATCTTTTGATTGCATTAAACATTGAAATCATGATTTGAATCACGTACATGTTCCTGGTAAACAATGAGAATCGATTCAAAAAAAAACTCACGCAGTTTGCTCAATGTCTCCATCTTTTGCAAATTTCCACGTCGAATTTACCAGTTCAGCTTCCTCATACGGAGAAATCTCACTCTCCTCGTAACCGATTGGCACTTTTGGATCAACCTATGAACCTTTTGATATGAAAGGAGTCATATCAACCTTTTGATATGAAAAGAATCATATCAACCTTTTAGTATGAAAAGAATGATATCAACCTTTTGATATTAAAAGAATCATATCAACCTTTTGTTAAGAAAAGAATGATATCAACCTCTTGATATTAAAAGAATCATATCAACCTTTTGATGTGAAAAGAATGATATCAAAATAATTGCAACAGTAAACCGTAAAATTCTGTTTTTATGAAAATTCCGAAATTTTTATGTTCAACTTAACGATGGTTAGTCTAAATTTTGATAACACTATTTGCTAAAGTTGACTTCGAAATTTTACGCTAAAAGTGAGAAGCTAAAAAGATAAGCTTTTAGGCTAAAAAGAAACCTGAAGTGTCAATTGCTCTTGATCGCGAGTCATATAGAAAAGATTGAGGCATAAATCTTCGGCGACCAGAGTTGATGTGTGCTTCTTCATCAGCCCAGAGTACTGTAAGCAAATAGATTAAGCAAATTGTTGCGTAACACGTAAACAAAACGTATGTCTTACTATATCAGCTTGAAAACATTCTGATAAACATTCCGTAAACATTCTGATAACATTCTGATTCTGATACAAAGTGACACAAAAGTTCGAAGCCACCATGTTTTTCGGCCGTCAAATTCAGCTTTTAAGATAATAAAAAACTATCCAAAGCTATAAATTCTATTCTTATTCTTATAAAAGTTTTAATTATAGCACGCTTGTGTTAAATTTGATCAAGGCTTTTAATTGGCTTTTAATCAAGCTGATCAAGGCTTTTAATTGGCTTTTAATCAAGCTGATCAAGGCTTTTAATTGGCTTTTAATCAAGCTGATCAAGGCTTTTAATTGGCAATATATCGCCAGAATCAACCCAAATGCCTAATCGCTTGAATTTCTCTTAAAAATCATCTGAATTTGATGAAATTTTTATTTAAACGTAGCCAGTCAAAAGGAATGAAATTTTTTAAAAGCTTTCTAGAAGAATAGCAAAATTTTAGGTTGATTGCAGCTGAAACGCAAAACTTATAGCTCTACAAAGTTGGCGAGTCGTAATCGGATTTCAAATTTTTGTCTGTTGTTTCACTTAAGAAAATAGGTTTATCTACTCGATGAGAAGGTTCTATTTTTGCGAAAAAATCTTTTCTAGATCAAAATTTCATCTAGATTTCGAATTTCTAAACCGTTTTTTAAAGAATTTTCTGTTCGCCCTAAAAACGAGCGAAAATAAATACCCAAATTAAATACCCAAATTTTCAAGAGCTCAAAAATGGGTGTTTTTTTTCGATTTTCATCCGTTTTTGACGCCATTAAGCCTTTTTAATCTAAAACTATTGCTTAAAACCTTTGTAAATGTTTAAAAAGCTCAGCATTTTGCTATGCGAGAGTTGAAAAATATCGGCTAAAGCGAATTCTTCAATTGGAATAGATACGGCACTTATCCGGTAAAGGAACTAGCTTCCAAAGTAGCACTAGGACAAAAGCTATTCGATTAACGTGGTTTAACAACGTGGTTTACTTTTCAAACATACCAATTTCACAAGTTTCTCCTTTCCAATCATCAAATGTGGCCTCTCACTTCCCATGCAACCCAAGGCACGAAGACGAAACTCGCGAAGGCATTCGATGAACTCGTCAGCGATAAAAGAAGTCGAAGGCACATGTGCAACCATGCAATAAGCGCTAAAAGATTATTGGGAATTGAATTTTATTCTTCTTATTCTTCTCTACTCACTCAATGAACAAGTTGTCCTTCAACATGAACCAGTATTTTTTCGTTCCATGCTCTGGATAGGTGAAGACACGGATTGGTGACTCAGGAAATCTGAAAGATTGTTGTTATTGATTTAAACTACCCTAAAGTCTTGAGTATAAGTTCTGCCCTAATTTACATTCGCTTTAATTGCTTTGAATTTCTTTTTGTTGGGTTTTTATACATTTTTATTGTTATATAAACTTTTATTATTGTTCTTGGAGCGCGGGATACTACAGGGTGACAGCCGATCACCATTGCTATTGGTTATGGATACATCCAGACGATAGTGTTGAAGAAGACGCTGGAAAGCATCTCTTTCGACCGTCGACGTGGACTTTGGCCGGATGAAGAGGCCAGGGAGGGATTCATAAGACTGAGCACCGGAGAGGAGCAGGGCGGACGCGCCGAGCCACGCCCGGAGCAACAAATAACAGCATAAAATTGCTATAACCCTCAATAAATTTACTTCTATTATTGTTCTTAAAAAGCAAAAAAGTTATGCTGCATCGGGGCTCGAACCCTCGACACACCGCACCGGAGACAGCCGTCAATTTGCATGCGAAAACCAAACAGAACTTAGACTCGCGACTTTAGGGTCAAATTATTGAACATCCGGATTCAAGCTAAGCTATCAAAGCTGAAATAAATCCAATGAAATTTGATTTGAGTAATACTTTGCTTCCATTTCCTGTCTGATCGAGAAGTGAAAATAGATCAGATCTGGCGTGAGTTGTGTCTCCTTCAACGCCATTCTCCAGTCGGTTCTCGAGCGGATTTCGTGCAACATTTTATCTAAAATTATTGAATTTAGGAAATTTTAATAGTAAACAAGATTAAATCGATATATTAAGCTATAGGAAATTTTAAAAGTTTTGAGAAAAAGAAATGAAGGGTTTCAATGGGGAAAAAAACTGGAATTTCCATTTTTTGGCTTTGCTTTACTAATTGCTTTTAGTTTCTAATCGTACAACAGAAAAAAAGCTCAAAAAACAAACAGCTTTTACAAAAAAGAACTGAAAACTTGATTTTTAGGTTCTTGGCCGCAACGATATTTGGCCAAGAAAGGGAAAGTAGAAGAGAAAAAGTAGAGAAATAGAAGAAAAAAAGTTTTGTCTACATTCAAATGACGAGTAAATGATCAAGCTGAAGGTGAAAAAGAGCCAATTTTGAATTAAAGTCAAGCTTAAGTTAGTAGTAAGTTATGAGTAGCTTTACTCAAGCTAATAGTAAGTGCTGTTTGAGTAAAATTATTCTGAAGATAATCCAAGAACAGACCGAAGGCTAGCTTTTGGCCTGGCTATTTTCAATGTACCTAATCAGATTTACAGTACTCCTATATACGCCAGAAACCAGGCTTGAATTAAATAAGTAAATAGAATCATAGAATTAAATAAAATTGCCTGGGCTTAGTTAACTCCGTCTGGCGAAAGAGAGATCGTGGTGAGTTGTGGCGCATTAGCCATTATCCAGAGAGTTGTGGTGTAATGGCTAGCACAGTTGCCCGGTAAGGTCGCGGGTTCGAGTCCCGGCGGTGCAGAAGCCTTTGATCTACCCTAGTCCCAACTGATTTGAATCCGGCTGATTTGAATTAAAGCATTCCTGCTTTAAGCCGAACTTCATTCAGTACTTTTAAATTAAATTAAAATTAAAAAAGCCAGTTAAGCGGAAGTGCTAGCTCCGTTTTATCTAGGAAAAGTGCCCAAAAAGTGGCCAATTTCCCAAGCTTTCGAGGGTTTAATTTGTGGGCACTAGGCTAGTGAGACGGATTGGTTAAAGGGAAAAAGAAAGGACAACAGGAAAAGAGGCTAGACAGAAAAAAAGACAAAAAGACAAAAAGGCGAAAAAGGGGATCCTTTACACGACGACTTTCAAAGATGCAATTGTGAGTGGCCCGGGGGAAAGGAAGATCCCAATGAGAGGATGGGGATGAGAAAAGAGATGAGAAAAGCGATGAGAAAAGGCAAAAGAAATGGGGAAACCCTGTCTTTGCGCTATCTCAAAGAACACTTTTTTGATTTCGTCAGAAATGAATGATAATGAGGTGAGTGATAGTGAGGTGTGCAAGGTACAAATTCCGATGGTTCTCTGTAAAGCAAAGATAAGTACAATGATTCTCTGTAAAGGTTGAATCAAGTAAAATCAAGTGAACTCGTAATTAGAGTCAAAATCAGACTTTCTCTTTAGATTTGGTTTGTTGATTTATATTTGATTCAACAGTCAACATTGAACTGATTTATATTTGATTTATCAATGTTGACTTTTGATTCGTTTAATCGAGAATCAGAATCAGCTTTAGTGTTGAATTGGGGGAAAGAATCAGTGAAATCGACTTTAGAATTAAAATCTTCAGAATCTTTTTGTGCTTTTATGCTTTTTAAAAGTTGATATTGTTCAAAACTATTCAACAATTCATTTAAATAAAGTAAAGTCCTTTAATGCTAATGTCAATGTTAATCCAACGATGTTAATCCAAAATTGATCTCAACTTTGAGTTGTTTTCAACTCAAAAGCTCAACAATCAAAAGCCCTTTGACAGTTTAGTTGTTTTCAAAAGTTACATAAAGATTAATCATCGTTAAAGTATTGTTTAAGACTGCAGCACTAGTATAGGAATATATTTTATGATAGATGCGAATGGCAATGGTAATGGCTCTTGGTTAACATCTATCTTCTATTTAAACCATCAATCTCTTCAAGATCTAGAGCCCTTAATCTTTAAAGATCTGTGATGAAAGAAAAGGAAGGGATGACTCAAAATCCAGTCTTTAAAAATTATTCAAAAAAGACTTTCCCTGGGCTGATAAACACTTCAACGAAAAGGGAAATGCAGACAAAACATTCGGGCAAAAATAAACAAAGACGATCTTCAAAGATTTCTGTGGAAAAAGGGACGGCTGAAATGGCGGAGAAAAGCCCGCTTCTCTTTCCGTTCTTGCTTTTTTTCTGATGCAATATCATAGACCACTTTCGGAATGTAAATTGAGTGGGCAAAAGTGTGATGAAATCTTTTTAAAGAGCTTAAAACTCTAGACCGTCTCTAGTTAAAAATAGTATGCAAAAAACTGGCATGACAAAGATCTCTATTGAAGCTCAAGATAAGTTTTCTTATTAATCAAATCTTTTTCGCTCAGTAGTTCGGCTAGTTCAGTAGTTCGGCTAGTACAATAGTTTGGCTAGTTCAATCTGTACCTATAGCCTTACTATTTTTAATTATGGTTATTCCAAGTAACCAAAGCCAAGCTAGACAAGATCAAAAATTAGATCCAAGACTGGCTTCTGGCTTTTCCCCAGGGACTTTTTGTGGATCAGGCTTGCAAGAAAGTCAAACAAGTCAAGATCAGGCTTGCAAGAAAGTCAAAAAAGTCAAGATCAGGCTTGAGCAAAGCCAAACAAGTCAAGATCAGGCTTGCAAGAAAGTCAAAAAAGTCAAGATCAGGCTTGAGCAAAGCCAAACAAGTCAAGATCAGGCTTGCAACAAAGCCAAACAATTCAAGATCAGGCTTGCAAGAAAGCCAAACAATTCAAGGTCAGGCTTGCAAGAAAGCCAAACAATTCAAGATCAGGCTTGCAAGAAAGCCAAACAATTCAAGGTCAGGCTTGCAAGAAAGCCAAGCCAAGTCAGACAAGTCTGCTTTTAACAGAAAATTCTGACAATCTTTTATAAAAACACGGGAAAATTTCTAGTGAGTTAGAGCCGAAACTCATTTCTATACTTTAAAAGTAGGACATGAAAAACGCAACCAATTCCTCGAGATGAAGCAAAGAAGAGAGCAATGAAATGGACGTGGACTGGGGGAAGTCTGGGGGAAGCCCCATCCACCCCTCTTCGCCTCTCCTCACCCCCTTCCCCCTCGGGCGCTCTTCCTCTCCTCCTTTGCCCTTTCTTGGCCCTCCCCATTTCCCCGATGGACCCCGTTTTTTTTTCTCTCTAATTCATCCCTTTTTAACCCCATTTCTCCAAATCTCTCCTTTTCCCTCAATATTTTCCGTCTAGGAAACCTTCTCGGTCAAATGGGATGTAGATCTTTGAAATGCAAAATTATTGATGCAATTTTCTCCTCCTCTCTTCTTCTGACATTTGGGGATTAGGTGACTATTGTTTTATTGAAAATGACTTATACAATTCTATGAATATTTTCCCTGTTTTAACTCCATTCAATCAGGTGTGCGTGAGAGTTTTCTTTTTTGAACTCTTTTTGAGTTTTGAGGCGAACGCCTGAATCGATTAAAGTTTTCCCCATGGGAAAAGTGGGTAAACAATTAGTTTTTAAGTGAATGAATCGAAAAGACAATCAGTTGGCTGGACATTAGAAAGTTTATAGACAAAAATGAGTGCTGAGGTAGGGCAAATCTTTTGATGAGTTTTGAGGTAGTATGGTAGTCAAGATTTACGCGGTGGTTACCCGGTTAACCATCCGTTAAAATCTTGAAACCTCTAGAACTCCCAAGTTGAACAGGAAAAAAAGATTCAAAACTTTGCCATCACAGGAACAAAATCCAGGAAAAGTTGTTAAAATAATCGAAAAATCATAGATGGATGGGATGCTCAAATCTTCTAACATTGTTTCAACATTTATATCAAAATCTTCCGGTTGGTTTACAAAAATTTGTTGATCTAAACTTGAGTTTGAACTAGGCCAAAGCTGCAAAACTCCAACTTGAACTAGGCCAAAGCTGCAAAACTCCAACTTGAACTAGTCCAAACTGCAAAACTCCAACTTGAACTAGTCCAAAGCTGCAAAACTTTAAATAAGCTTAGGTCAACGTTTAAGCTTACGGTACCCAAGTCAAACACCAGAAAATGATATCTCCCAGCGAGATTTGTCAACTTTCTTTTGAGTGCTGTAAAGCATTTGTGCTTCTTGCCAATCCGCTCTCGAAAAATCTTCAAAAGTTGGAAATTTGAGTCAAAGAGAAAAAGCCGTTCTCGAGCTTTTTGGTCTCTCGACGCCATCGTTTGGTTGCCAGGGATTTGACGTTTTTTTTCCTTTTCCTCTGCTCAACACTTGTGAGCGTTTTGTTTCAAGAGCAGATGGGGAAGCTGGTAAACATTAGTTCGAAATTGTTAAGCGTTTAAAATAAACCAAATACATGAGTTTGAAGTTTTTGAGAGAAATAACAATAACGAAAAGAAATAACACTGAACAATGCAGTGCAGTGAGTCTATGAAAGGCTTAAATTGGTTGTTTTGGTGTGTTTTGGTGTTGGTTTGCAGTATGGATTATGTCATGGGTACATAATACATACTGCAATGTTTGTAGGTGCAGAAACAAGTCAAGATCAGGCTTGAGCAAAGCCAAACAAGTCAAGATTAGGCTTGAGCAAAGCCAAACAAGTCAAGATCAGGTTTTTTTGCTAGTTATTCGACCACCAAGACAAAATTTACGGAAAAAAGTAGCTTTTACACATTCACAACATTCACACGGTGGCCCATAATTATGGTGCCGCACTTCAGAGGACCTAGATTGGCCAAGATTTGCTCAATCGTTCTGATTTTTCTAGAGGTAACTCTTAAGTATATCTCCTAGAACGGTGCTCATTATCTAATCGATTTAAGCTTTCAGTTTTTTTATATAGTCTTCCAAAAATCCTCTGAGCGAAACTCGGCTCTTAACTTTGGAAAGTTATATAAAAAAGCTGAAAGCTTGAATCGATTAGATAATGAGCACCGTTCTAGGAGATATACTTAAAATTCATTTCCAGAAAAATCAGAACGATTGACCAAATTTTGGCCAATCTAGGCCCTCTGAACTGCGGCGCTATAATTGTGGGCCACCCTGTATAATC